CCCCCCCCCCAACGTTGTGCGGCAACCGCGGAGAAGCAAACCCCCAATCACCGAGATATAGCAAAGTATGGCTTGCAATGAGCACACTTATTCCTGACAACTTACCCTGGGGGCAGCCTAACCAGGCTGTCTTGATGCCTAATGTCTGGAGTGCCGGTCGCTGTTCTCCGAATCTGCCTTCATGTTCGGCTCTATGTGGCCGCTACGAGAACTGAATAAACCATATGCTCTTACCCTTTGTAAATATCCATCTGTGCCTGATTCAGTACTTGCTAAATGGAACATCGTCTTCAAAATTAGATGAAACTCGATGACATCACCATCATCCGCCCGAAACAATACATGCAAGCAACTAGTGCAGTGCTTGACCGTGACCGCCAATCACTGCACTCATACACAGAGATCAGCCTTGTGCACTGCATGAACGATAAAGGGCAAACTCCCGTGGCCCAAACGTGTGGCAACACGTCAGTCATTCTGCTGGCCTCTCCCCAGTTGATACGCAGTGTGCCCATAAAACGTGCAAATGTCTATCTGCGCGTGTCCTGGCTAATGTCCAGTAAGGAAGCCTGTCTGGTAAAAAAAATGCTTTTATCAGATGCCCCTATCTTCACCGCTCCTGATCAGCTGTCTACTCTACTGAGTGCTGTTTGCCACCTCTCTTTTGTTTGTTTCATGTCTTCTTTCATGTCTAATGCAATCACGCCCAAGTACCCTCATCACACGGTTAAACTGTTGACTACCCAGGAGGTCACTGTATACTTCGTGCCCTAAGCACCCTTCCCATTGTATACCTCGGGAAGGAGCAATTCTTTTAGCCTCGTAGAATAGAGATATCTGGCATTATGGCTGAGAAAAGTCAGGGAGATGACCACAGTGAGCCTGTACACGCTGTCTACTCGTTGGGCGTCCTTGCTTCTGCGTATTGCCTCCCTCAACTCTGAGGCTATCTCTATCACGCTTGCTTTCTGAGAAACCACAACTTAACTTTGGGGATTTGTTGCAAAACCTATATAATCCCGATGATGCTCGCATCAACAGTATCAATATCCCATCAGCCAACGACACGATAACCATCACCCTCAGCTCTGCCCCGCTACAACACTTTAACACAACTGGTTTATCTTTTCCGAAGTCACAATGTCCGGAAACCCTGAAAGAAGCAATGGGAAGGCAACACTTGATCTTGTCGACATAACCCTCGAACACATCGATGCCACGGCCAGGCAGGATACTCTCCGAAAACTTTTCCGAAGCCATGTACTCCAAATCTGCGGTCCCGAAAAAGTGAAAGCCTTCAATGAGTCGAATGACAAGTTCAAGCGCCATATGGTGGCATACCTGGCTCAGAAGACGGTCATAGGACTATTTGATAGTATCGCTCAGGAACTGGCCAACGAATTAAAGAAGATATGAACATTTGTTGGGCTTATCAGGCCCACGGCTTCTGAGGTAAGCTAATACCTTCCTTTGCAATTGGCCTTTTAAGCATAGTCTCACTCTATCTAACTGCAAAGCTTTATCGGTCAGTCTCAGCCCGAATGAGGTCCTTTGAAAGGCTGTTGAATGCTTGAATTGGTGGCTTCTGATTATTTTCCGGGATATTCCCAAGTTTTGCTTGATTCATACTGGGTGCGCGAGGACTACTATTGCTTTTTGTGATTTCAGTTTGAACTTGTTCCATAGAGACCCAATCCATTCATGGTAGAACCTCCTAAGAGTCCCTAAAATATCAGTAATTTAGCCAAAATAATAGATAGTTCGGACTGAAGCAACAGATGGTGGGGTAATAGTGAAACAAAGTGGGATTATCTACATTCTCGCCTTCATTACTTTGCAAAGTTCAGCTTGTGGCTTGTCTTATGAGCACCGTTCAAGCTTCTATGTCTCCATACCATCTGCTTGAACCATCGGTTCTGACCCTTCCACGTACACGCGCACTGTGTGGTACGATAGAGTTCCGATGATCCCGGGGGTTGGAAGCACCCTGAACACCTGTTCATGAAGGTATAGCTGCCCGAACAACACTTAGTAAAGCTGAGTTATACCCACGACTTGCTGGCAATTAGTTGCTGATAAGGACAATTGTTGGAAGGCTTTGCAGCCCAACATTGAGCAGAGGAACATTGAAAAGCGGGCAATTATCCTTGCAAGCTAGTGACAAGCCTCCACTTTCTTCTCATTTCAAGTGCCCTCCATATCCTACAACATTACTCAATCTCCTTAACAACTAGTCATGTGTGCATACGGCCCACAGATATCACTCCGGTGCGCCGACTATCGAGTAGGCTGGATCTGCGCTTTGCCGCTCGAGCTTACAGCAGCGAGAACCATGCTGGACGTGGAACATCGGAGGCCACCTGATCTGGAAGTTCTATCAGACTTTGATACCAATCAGTATCGCTTTGGCCGGATTGGGGGTCATAATGTCGTACTGGCCATCTTACAGGCCGGTGTGTACGGAATTACTCAGGCAGCCCTTGCATCAAGTATGATGAGACGCGTCTTTCCATCCATACAGTTCGCTTTGATGGTGGGCATCGGAGGTGGTGTGCCAAGCGAGTCCCATGACATTCGCTTAGGAGATGTGGTGGTCAGCATGCCGGTTGCAGGATACCCTGGAGTGCTGCAGTACGATTTCGGCAAGTTAGGACCGGACGGCGAGGTGACTGCAACTGGCGCCCTTAACAGGCCGGCACCTAAAGCCTTAGCAGCCATTGCCGCCATGCAGGCAGACTATATGATGAGGGACAGTGGTCTGATGGAGATCACTAGCGACGCTCTGAGAAAGCACCCCAGGATACGTGCAAAGTTTTCTCATCCAGGAATGGTGAACGATGTGCTATACCGTGCTGATTACGACCATGTCGCTGGCAATAATTGCAGAAACTGCAGTCACCACATGGCCGTGTTTCGGACGCCACGGGAAACGACAGAACCAAATGTTCACTACGGGCTTATTGGATCGGGAAATCAAGTCATTAAGAATGGGAAATTTAGGGAACGTCTGAGGGAGAAGCACGGAGTGCTGTGTTTTGAGACGGAAGCAGCGGGAGCTTTGGTGAGTCGCACGTCTTTCTACATTTCTTCCTTGATTTCCTCTTCTTAACTTGTGGTATCAGGAGGCATTCCGCTGTCTTGTCATTAGGGGAATTTGTGACTATGCAGACTCCCATAAGAACGACATGTGGCAGGGATATGCGGCACTTACGGCAGCTGCATACACAAAAGATCTGTTGCTTCTGATTGAAGGCTCGGTTTCTCCAGAATGTTAGCACCCCATCTACACGCGAATGTGTTTCATGATTGTTTTCTCCTTCGAGAAAGCTCTAGTAACAATTTTTAGCCACGGCTTCAACCAGCCCTTCCGAGGCTGATATTCCGGAGAACATCAACTTGGGCTTGCCAGCACACGGGGTCAACCAGGGGGCCACACATTATCCCTCGAACCCTCTAGCTCAAAGTCCGCAGGTTTACCAGCAACCGATAAATTCCGAGCCCCCACCGAGATATACACCGTCGGCACATTCTTTTCAGCACCCATCTATCCCAGTTATGCAGCATCCTCAGCAACCCGAGAAAACTGATTCTGAGAAGAAACATGCAGAGCAGAACACTTCCCCTCCAAGACCGTTTGTCTCTCAGTCATCCCAGCCGCCAAATCACTCCCGTGTGCGAAAATACTACGGAAGAATGGTGATTGAAGCAGCTAAAGCTGGTAACATGCCAGTGGTGAAGAAGTTTCTCGAGAAGGGAGGCGACCCAAATACTACAACCGATGATTGGGACCTTACTGCGCTACATTATGCTGCAATGGGAAGTCACAACGGATTAACACAGCTGCTACTCAGAGCAGGGGCCAATCCTAATGCACGAGCTAAATATACGAACAACACTCCCCTGTTTGAAGCAGCTTCCAGCGGTCATAGAAAGGTCATTCAATATTTATTACGCCATGGAGCTGACGTCGAGGTCCATTGTCAGCGGGGTAAGACTGCGTTGCATGCAGCTGCCGAGAAAGGACATGTTGCGTGTGTCGAGCTTCTGGTGCAGAGCAAGGCCGATCCCGACAGCATTGACGAGGATGGACATACACCTTTGGACTTGGCGAAGAAGGAGGACCATTTAGAGATAGTCAAGTATCTGCAGCGGATATAGGGCTTTCTATTCGTTGATTTATTGATTTTGAGAGACATTTGCAGTCTAGTTCTTTTATGATGCTGAACCAGAATGAGATTATAAGTTTGATTTGTATATCGTGTGACAGAATTATAACAGACAGGTTGGTCGTATATTTATCAGTTGTCTATCTTTGTAAATATATCGATCACATGATCAGGCTCCATGATCTCCTCCACGGTCCCAGTTGCCGCTTCACTCCGCGTAACCCCAACGCCACCAACTCCATCGACTCCATCATTATTACCATCATTCATTCTATACATTCGTGTCCTGGCAGCTATGGAGCCTGTCAAAAACCAGAACTCTACTTCCACAGTAGCACTGCCTTCAAAGTCTTGCCGGTCTTCATATCGCTGATTGCTTCATCATATTTCTCAATCGGATAGTTCTTGATGAGTTCCTCGATGGGATAGTTCCCTTTGGTATTTTGCTCAATGAGGTATGGCAGGAACTAGACGTTCTTAGCGATGCTGCTTTATCTGATTGTGCGGGAGCATATTTACCTTTTCGGGTTGACCGTCTCCCTCACAGCAACCTACATACTGGCGACCGAACACCAGTTGTGCGAATATATCGACTTTAGCTGTTTTTCCGGGTGTTGGAGCACCAACAGTGGCCAATTTTCCTCGCGTCCCAAGCGCCTGAATAGCTTTCTCAACAACTGCCGGAACACCGGTACAGTCAACGGCATACTGCACTCCAAGCGGTGGACAAATCGCTTGGATCTGCTTGACAATGTCCTCATCAGATCCGATAATGGTATGTGTCGCTCCAAGCTTCTTCGCAAGGTCTAGCCGATCCTGATTTAAGTCCACGGCGATAATAGTCTTTGCGCCACGTATCTTCCCCGCCATGATAGCACTCATACCCACGGAACCAGCACCGAATACCGCTAGGCTTGATCCTGGTTGCACGTCAAGTGTGTTTATCACTGCCCCTGCTCCAGTCTGGAATCCACAACCTAGCGGTGCGAATCTATCCAAAGGACATTCAGGACCCACTTTCACAACACATGATGCATGCACAATGGCCAAACTGGCGAAAGAACTCTGACCGAAGAAATTTCCACGCAGAGGATCTCCGTTCGGGAAAGACAGGGTAAAGCTCCCATCTGACCTTTGTTGACCGAAGTTGCTCGGCACCCACTGGTTGCAATATGCTGGATGTTCGCTGGTGCATTGCTCGCAATTTCCGCAGAATGCATAACTCAATAACACCTTGTCGTCTACATGGAGATGTGTGATGCTGCTGCCGGTTTTCACAACGACCCCAGCCCCTAGGTGAAGTCTTAGCTGGTTATGGGCATCCAAGCGGGATTTTCATACCTTCGTGTCCGAATACACATGGAGTAGATGCAGGTAAATTTCCATTCATACAAGACAGATCTGTATGACAGATGCCTGTCGCATGAATTTCGACTAGCACTTCGTCGGCTCTCAGGTCATTAAGACGAATGTCCTCCAGGCTGAGTGGACTATTCACCTCTCTCATCACCAGTGCTGTGGCGGTCGCAGCCATGATTTTGTTTGCTTAATAAGAGCTGAAGGAAAGAAGATTTTCAATGCAAAAGCTATCTTCGCGCATGTTCGGCCAAATAACGGAAACACCCGTTCTATTTAAGCGTCAGTCCTGCTTGGTATCCTACTACATACCCCAAAACTGGGCTCAATGGGAGACTACGAGGCATGCCAATCAGCTCGACCTTTGGATTTGCCGTGATCTGAACCCGATCCTTGGTTATATCCGAATACCAGAGATAGGCAGCAAACCCCGGATTCTCAACTGCGGGGAGAGCTGATTAAGGTTTACTAAGCACTCCACTAGCGACCAGATGCGAACTCAATGATTCCCTCTCTTCATTACCAGCTATTGATGAACCGCCAATTATTAGGTCAGTCACCAGCTAAGCGGACACCTTYTGTGGGGTATTTATCCAACAGGCTGCTATAGTTGCGCTTCCTGTCGCCGATAGAAACCATGCCGGATTATCGGGACCGTTCTCAGCACATCCCCGATGTGACTCCTCACATCCCTTTGGGAAAAGTACGCTCTCATTGGCGAACGTGATAAGAGCGCCGTGGCTCTGTAGGCAGCCAAGCCTTCAGATGCTGATCCGTTCGCAGATCTCCATCCTGCGGGGTTTACGGATTCTCATCTAGCTTTCGGGCGTAAGGCATTGCAACTCCCGATTTGATCTGCCGTCGACTACCTATTAAGCCGAATCTCCATCCGGATGTGTTGAAAGGAAGCTTTTTGATCTGGTGAGTCGCGGGGCCCCGCGAAACCCGTATTTCCTATTCTCGGGTAGTTCCCGGGAACGCCATTGATCCCGACGATCAGAAAGTGCCCATTATTCAGTCCACACTAGTCTACTTGGGCTAGCATCACTTCGTGATGTGCTCCAGCCATCACGCGTCATCACACGGCAAAACGCCTCTCGTATTCGTCGGGACGGCATGCGGTCCATAATCCCCGCTTTATCCCCACCTGGGAGCTGAAGGTGGAGTAGTTTAAGGGATAACCCATCCAGCCAAGATATAAATACGAAGCTACAGATGCTAGCTCAGCTAGCTCATATTTCAAACTTATAAGACAGAGAAATCCCTTCTCCTCGAGAGAGACAGTCCTACATCAAATTCTTTGCCCGAAGTTATACCGAGATCCTCCACCTCAAAATGGGTTCCCTGGATAAGATTGATTTTACTGTGCGTTCCGTTTACTTCCATCACCACTATAATTTCCTGCCATAGAATGGCTATCTAACTTCTTTTACAGACCTTCTATAATACTATCAACAATGAACTCACAACCACATCAGCAACCCGCCACAGCCTTAATCCGGCCACGCGCAAGCCCAATTCACCCGTTCCCGTCTCCACTGCGTCAGACTTGAACCGTGCTGTAGACAGCGCCCGGGCTGCTTTCAAAACATGGTCCAAATTAAGCCCCGCCGAGCGCCGTGGCAAGGTTGTCGCCCTAGGTGAAGCCATTGATCTACACGCTGAGGAGCTCACGGCTCTCCTGGTTCAAGAACAAGGGAAGCCGCATGGCCAAGCCGCTATCGAAGTAAACATGTCCGGAACATGGTGCAAACAAATTCCGCAGCTCGAACTCAACGATGAAGTGCTCCAAGATACTGCTGAGCAGCGTGTTATTCAACGCTTTACACCCATGGGTGTGGTCGCAGGCATCGTGCCGTGGAACTTCCCCCTGCTGCTAGCGGTAGGAAAAATCGCCCCGGCAGTTTATACGGGCAACTGTATTATCATCAAACCATCTCCTTTCACACCGTACTGCGCGTTGAAGATTGGGGAGTTGGCGGCGAAAATCTTCCCGCCTGGTGTGGTTCAGGTATTGAGTGACGATGGGAATATTGGGCCGTTGATGACGGCGCATCCGGGAATCAATAAAATTAGCTTCACGGGATCAACGGAGACTGGAAAGAAGATCATGCGCCATTGTGCGGATACCTTGAAATCGGTTACCTTGGAACTAGGAGGAAATGATCCCGCCATTGTTTGCGAGGATGTAGATATTGACGAGGTTGTTCCGCAGGCATGTCTATATTTCCCATTGGGTTACACTGAGGAAGGCTAACTAGATGAATCAGCTCGCTACATTGAGCTTCCTTGTTTCGGCACAGGTCTGCATGATGATCAAGCGTCTCTACGTCCACGAAAAGATCTACGACAAATTCCTCGAAGCCTTTGTCAACTTCACTAAAAACCTGAAGGTCGGCAATGGCACTGAGCCCGATGTATTTTTCGGGCCTGTGCAGAATGAAATGCAATACGGGAAGCTCAAGGATCTCTTCTCTTCCATTCAAACAGAGAACCTGAAGCCCGCTCTAGGAGGATCTATCACTGAATCTGAGGGATACTTTGTTACCCCTACTATCATCGACAATCCTCCCGACAATTCCAGAGTGGTGCAAGAGGAGCCATTCGGTCCTATTCTCCCGTTGATGAAATGGTCCGATGAAGACGAGGTTATTGCTCGCGCCAATGACACCGATACAGGCCTGGGTGCCTCGGTTTGGAGCAAGGATGTGGAGCGTGCGCAACGTATTGGTACTCAGTTGGAGTCGGGATCGGTGTGGATCAATTCACACTTCCAGGTTGCTCCGAATATTCCCTTTGGGGGTATGAAGGCGAGTGGCAACGGTCGCGAATGGGGTCTCGAGGGCTTGAAGAGTTATACCCAGTCTCAAATGTTGTGGGTGAAGAAGGCTTGATGATTTGAGTGGTTGTTGTCCGCACATAATTAGACCACTAGACACATTGACATAAATGTTATTTCAAGGAATCTTCCATGTCAATGACTACGTAGAGAACTCAGGCGTATAGAACGGTAAAGTGTATTCGTCACTATCGTATCTTAGGCAATGAACCTAGTACCGAATGTCACTGCCTCTCGCAGTAACATTCTGCTCAATACTACTACGCTCAAATCATCCAAATCATAACATTTCATCATCCACCCAAATCAACACCTCGAGCAAAACACTTACTGACCCAGAATACTAGCCAAAGTCTTACTCCCCTCCTCGGGCTCCCCCTTATCATCCGTCGGAATCTCCTGCGACGCAAACGCCAAAAACACCGCCTCCCAATGCCCATCCCCGAAACTAAACAACAACGCCCCATCCTCATAAATTCCATTCTCATATGACGGCGCACTCCCCTGATTCATATGAACATCATGGATCCCTGACCCATACGACGACCCAAAGATATACACCGTTGCTTTCTTACTGATCGCATCATTGAGAATAGGCTCCAATGCCTCGAGCACAGCATTGTGCGGCCCGGTGTCGGCCTCAGAGAGGACCGCACCCGACTCGATATTCACAAGACCCTTTGTGCGGATGAAGTCCAAGCCCTTCAGCTTGGAGGAGGATTCTTGGTGTCGACGACTGCGGTGGGAATAGGATTTGAGGAGGTGGAAGCCCTCATCGAGATTAGAAAGCTGCTCGGTGATCGGGTGGCTGAAGCTCCGGTCGAACCAGTATACGAGACGAGAGTCTTTGCCGGTGGATTTGACGTTGATGGCGGCTTCGTAGTCCTTGCTGGAGGAGGAATCGTCTTTGAAGTAGAGGTAGATGTGAGGGGACTTGGGATCTTCTTCTTCGGTTTGGGCGGTGTAGCGGGTTGGTTGGGCGATCCAGACGCCGTAGTGAGGGATGGTCATTTTGTGAGGGTTGATAAAGGATATTGACTTTTTGGGGTACTTTATGGGAAAGTTCTGATATGATAAGATTCAATTACTTATTGTTCAACAAACAAAGATTAAAAATAGCAAAGGGGAAACACAACCATCCCCCTCTTTATACTACTTACCTACAGTACCACCCCACCACTATCACCCCCGATTCATCATCACGCCAGCCACAATTCACTCACCAATAGATAAGACAAGTACAGAATCGACACATCAAACAAACAAAACCAACTTCGCCGATCGGCCAACCACCCAAATCCAAGCGATAAGCCAAGCGGGAGACTGGTTTTCCCCACGTGCAGTCACTGCCGACCGATGGCGGCGACGGGATGCCCGTCCCGCCAACCAACCAGCCCGACCCATTCAATGCTTAGCCCCCGCTGACCCGCTATCGCTATCGTCACCTCTTCGATCTGCAGATACTCATTGGGAGTTGGCATCGCTTAATCTTGGTTTGGGGATCGGCGTTGGCTGGCTAGCTGAGTATGTACATGCACTTGGACTTAACTTGACAAGTGTAGAAGGTGGGGTGACGTAGTGCGTCATTTCGATGTGCGGTCTAGACTGGATACTAGGCCATTGGTAAATAAGTGTACTGGGCGTATACAGGTAGGTAAGATATGGGACGATCAGAATGTGTCAGGTCTATGTGTCAGGCCACTCGTCATATTGGTGGCGTTGGGGTTGACGATATGCTGTGCTACAAATAGTGTCTTGTGGGTTGAGTTGCTGATGAGGTTACAGCTTGCAATTGAAGTGGTTTTTGACTTCCCCGCGCTGGAATTACTTGCTTGGTTTTTGTGGCGCGTTGGCGACGTCATGGGCTATAGTGGACGTTATTAAGATATAGTTCATCGACTTAAGAGGTACTTTATATTCTGTTGATGATGATCTTATAATATAGTGTATTCTATATGAATTGGAGATACCTGTTCAGAATAAAGCTACAATACCAATTACCGACATCTACCAAGTCTAAACTGCCTGCCCTCGAATGTGGGCCATATTGTGTTATGCTATTTGCTACTTTTGACACATACAGGGGTAATACATCAAAGGTGAGGATAATGCGACAGCCTCGGAATTGGTCTGGGTCTACCACCGTGCTGAAACAGTATCGGTAATTTTGGGTTTGCCTGTGCGGAAATGACAAGCGTCATCTAGGTGCTACAGTGACTTAGGAGGAAGAACATTTGTATGGGCCTAATCAAATAGTGGCTTGGATTAATGGTCTCAAGACCGACTCATATATGCGATTATCAGTTGTATCTGGAGAATGGTTTACGAAAAGCCTAGACTTCCTGCTCAAGAAAAATGGCCACAATTTAAGGTTCTTCAAGGCCACTTCAAAATCACTACCAGTATGCAAACATATCTTCGTATCGTTCAGTTTCACTGAGTAATTGTATCTTGCTGAAATAGGATAAATAACCCTATATACGATCGCATAATCCTACACTTCCCAATTCATACTCTCCAAAACCGTCTCAGTATACGCCCAAATCAACGACGAAAAATCAGAACAAAACGTCAACCCAGTAAAATACGTACTCCTCCTCCCCTGCAACGCATACAACTTGCGATAAAATCCGTTACGAATATCCTCCGGCGACACCATCAGAGTCTCCGGCGAACTATCCCCAAACACCACGATTTGAGGATCATGAATCGGGTATGTCCCCTTTGCCTTCATCCGCGCAAAATCCGCCGCTAGAAGGTCTCTTGCATCTTCCTCGGTGAAGTTCATATCGCCTACTAACTTGCTGGTTGAATACCCTGGTGCTCCCATATACTGCAGCAGGAAATCAAATGGCATGCGAGGTAAATACCCCAGTCCATTAGTCGGGTCTGTATTGGTGACCCACAGCTTGTCCGGGATACCGGTATTATTCACCACGGCAACGTAGTATGTCCTCCAGAACCATTTCTGGAATAGTTCCGTTTCTGTTTCATCCAAATCGAAGCCTTGGAGCTTTTTTATGAGCGGAGGGAAGGTAATGAGGAGGTTTCTGGCTTTAATGAGCTGACGAGTACCGTTCGCATGCTGAACTGTTACCTCCACGCCGGAATCGGACCTATTTGTTGCGATCACGTTTGTCTGGAACAGCACACCCGAGCCGAGTATTTCCCTCGCTTGTCTGTAAAGCTCGTACATGCCGTTTTTCGGTGTGATGTATCCATGAATGAGAGCGTCAACATGCGGGACCCCGAAATTCTGGATCGCATAGAGGGTGGGCATATCGAGCAGATTTCCTACATTCTGAGAAAAGAGAAATACCAACTGCAGAGCAGCTTCGAGGGAATGTTCCTCGATGAATTCACGGAATGGGCGGAGAAGTTCTTCTGGTACTGGGTCGGGGAGGTCGTAAACCCCTCTTGTGAGAAACGTCCAGTGCTTTATGGATGAGCGGTAAAGAAATGTTGATACGAGGGCTTGCAAGATTCCTGCTGCGGGGTTCACGCGTTCACCTGTCGAGAAGTCGACAAAGTCGGTTCGTTTGTTCAGTGGGAGTAGTGGCTTCCAGTCTACTCCGAGTCGGAGGAAATAGTTGCGGGAGAGCTCGTTGTTGAAGACGCCTTCGACGCCGTAGTCGACGTAGTTGCCATCTGGCAGGTATAATGTCGCTGCGTGCCCTCCTAGCCTGTTGTTGGGCTCTATTACTACCACGTGCTTCCCTGCATCTTTGAGTTGGATGGCGCTGTACGTCCCTGAGCTTCCACCTCCGAGGATGCAAATGTCGCAGGTTATTGTCTCGAGAGAGTGGTGGGTTGGTGAGGGAAGGGCAGCCGCTGGTAGTAAGCCTACGAGGGTATAGAATAAGCTTATAAAGTGGACCATCAGAGACGAATGATAATATAATAATGGTATACAGTGAGTGCTTCTGTGACTGGCTAGTACATTTAGTCGGCCACCTCAAATGGAATAGTGGCTTTTAATATGCTTACTTATACGCCGGTTTGAAGAATAGCCCAGTTGGATAGTATGAGATGATACATCCCGGCATCCTCATGACAAACAGGGAATCATATGCTGCGCTCATCAGATTTCCTTGGGAGTGGAGTGTGCCAGCGTGCCTGGTTCCTGCATCTATCTGTTTGTGGATACCGTTCCTACGAAGAAGACACCTGCACCTGACTTCAGCCTCGACACGGTTATCTTACTTCGCTAGGTGATAATGAGTCTATTGTGAGATTGCGGGTTTTTACCGCAACTGCGGGGCAGGGATGGGGTTGTCTGTACAACATCGACGTACATTTGATCTCTTACTTCAGGTATATGACCGGATTGGCATCACATGAATACCCTGTTAGTATCATGAACTTGTGACAATATCTTCTTTCGTGGGACTTCTATCTCAACCTCGGGGTAACCTGTGACTAATTACATCTCATATGCCAGAGTCTAAACTATGCATCAAACAAACAATCTATTCAGCCTCTCCCTCCAGCGCAGCAATCAATTCCCCAAACGCAGCCTTAATCCCCTCCCTCTCCCCAGTCCAATACCCTCCCTCACCATTCAGTCCCAGATCCTCCCCCTTAGCGGCCCTCTTAACTTCCTCGATCTCCGGAAACCTCAGCTCGACCATCCTCTCCAATGGCCTCATCCTCACCCCCTGCAACACCTGCCTCAATTGCGCCGCCGCCTTCCCGCCCCCATGCCCCCCATAGCTCACCACCAACGCCGCCTTTCCCTTCCACTCATGGAACAAGTAATCAATCGCATTCTTCACGCTTGCGGGATACCCCCAGTTATACTGCGGTGTGACGAAAATAAACGCTTCGTGGCGCGATATCTCCCGTGACCAGGCCTTTGTGTGCTCGTGCTCGTACTCGTCCGCTGAGTTGATGAACGATGGCATCCCCGACTCATTGTAGAGTGGAAGGTTCCATTTTGCTAGGTCAATGGTCGTAATTGTGGCTGTTTCGGGGGGGTAGGATTCACGAATAGTATTGTGAATGAAGGTGGCGATTTGAGGGCCTGCGCGTGGAGTGCGTTGGCTGCAGATTATGAGGCCGATAGAGGGAGGCATGATGATCAATTCCAATTCCTTGTCTTTTGGTTGAGGTGCGTGGATTTTTTTGTTTCTCTGTGTTACATTTGTGGTACAGTCTACCAGGTGTATGGTTATTTATGTGTTTAAAGACTGTTTGGTATGTTATGGTTCTTGCTGTCGGATAAGCAATGTCCGAAGGCCGAGGCCGAATGCCGCTTGCTGATGTGAGGTGAGTCAATGTTATGGGTGTTGATTGATAATGCTCTTTGCTGGTGTGAGATTTACTGCGCCTGACCGAGTGCATTTCGCTGAATCAATGCAATTTTGGGTGTTGAATGGCTTGCAGATTCTTCGGCGTGATGCCGAGCGTGGCGAATCACTGTAGTTTCTCCGTAGACTGATTGCACAGATATGGTGCAGCACGTGTCTCTTACCGGGCTGGGTATCCTATCTACTCCTACACAGCGGGTACGCCAAACATTCCATACCAGCAAAAATATGACAAAAAATAGAAAAAAATAAACAACTCCTCTAGCCCAACGCGGGGCTCGAACCCGCAGCCTTGAGATTAAGAGTCTCACGCTCTACCGATTGAGCTAGCCGGGCAAAGGGAAAGAGGAAGTTGGACAGCCCAACGCGGGGCTCGAACCCGCAGCCTTGAGATTAAGAGTCTCACGCTCTACCGATTGAGCTAGCCGGGCTGGCTTGGTGATTGCTGCTTTCTTTTAGTGCTACAGAAGCCAGGGCTAGCGAGCAGCCGCTCTGGGTATAGTGTCTTTTCCATGTCATGTGACTTGAATTTGGATGCTCCGTGTACTACGTTTGTTACTGTCATACACTTGATTTTCGGTGATTATGTGACTTTAGAATCAATTGTTTGGCTGAGGATGTTTGGAAGGGCTATTTTCGTGGAGTGGTGATGGTGTGCCTGTTTCACTCCGATGTGTCAAGATATATATTGTGCGGATAGAACGCATCCCGGACTATTTCGCAGGAGAGAAGCAGTCTACAAGTTTTAACAACAATTATTACTACTAGCTACAGTGCGCCTACTCGCACGAAAATGCTGATAACAACACCAAAAGAGACAGTCTACCGACAGAAAAGACCACGTGCTACCATGAATTGCCCCAGTCCTAGTCGATGCATACATTCACACACTCCCGTAGATATCGATCTGATATGATCTAGACAGACCAATGAGAGGAGCCCGCCGACCGAGATGTCGAAAGTATCGCGAAAATCCACTTCTATCCCTCCCCCAATGAAGACGCGCCGCCGTGACGCGTAGATGAGGGAGTATTCACTGTTTAGCGATTGTGAGGAGATACTGGGTGGTGGTAAACTAATTGACTGAACCCTCAGATACACCGGGTAGGTGCTGCGATACGCGGGACATACTATGACCTGCCTATACTGCTAGTGACCAACGCACTGTGCCAATACCATGGAAGGTCTACAGTAGCGTCGAGTCTGCAACCCATTGTCTATGTGGTGTTTTCTATTCCCTCCAAAAAAGGTGAGAGTTGCTTCAACATTATGTCCGATCCCATATTAGAAATCTGCCAACCCGGACTAGCGCCGTGACAGTACACTAAAACCCATACCTTGCCACTCTTGTTGCCAGAACACTCACAAAGCACAAATCACCCAACTATCACTAAGGTCTGGATTCCAATGCACAATATACTCAGAACAGACTATGTTCGAATTTAGTTGATCGCAGCGATATATGCCGGCATAAAAGTGCAGAGTGTCAATCTTGAGAAGTCTTGCACCACGAGTGAGCACTAGTTCAATCCAGGAGACTTGATTGGTCTCAGAAGGCCTCCCTCATCATGAGTCATGTTGCACTCATTCCAGATCCTGCACCGCCTCTCCACCAGGTGGGTCGCGGATATTCCACTTTCGGTAATCATATAGATACCAAATTTGTATAAATGAGGAATAAATCTTGAATTTCGTTGACAATCAACACCAGTTTCATTCCAAGGCACTCTCGCAGAGCGAAAATCCAAGCCAGAACCAACACACCAACATAGAATCGAGCATAAGTGATCAATGCCACTAGTACAAACCACCACATCATCAGATCACCACAAAAAGATGGAATATCCCAGCAAACAATACCCCGTACCAGCAGGGGTACACATAATCCCAGAACACCTCCTGGACCTCCGCCCAGACTCCGAAGTCGACTATGACCTCCTCCACCCCCGACCCGTCACAGACGAGAAGAACATTTGGCTTTTCTGGCACAGCGGCTACTCCACCATGCACCCATATACCAAGCGAAACGTGCGCGCATGGCACCGGCGCTTCTCCAAAGCCGGATGGATTGTGCGTGTCGTCGACCGCCATCCGTCCTCCCCGCTCAACATAGCCAACTTTATCGACGTCAATGATTCGAACAACTTTCCTCAAGCATTCGCCGAAGGCACCATCAGTGGCACTTACGCAAAGCAGCACACATCCGATCTCGTTCGCTTACCTCTACTTCTCAAGTACGGTGGTATCTATGCCGACGTTGGACTAATCCAGATCGGCGACGTGGATCGACTGTGGCGCGAGACGGTCGGAAATCCCGACTCGCGGTTCGAGGTTCTCTCCTACAATGCTGGCGATGTCGACGAGCGCAGTCTCACCAACTACTTTCTCATGTCGAGGCGTGATAATCCGCTATTCAAGCGATGCCACCGTCTACTGTTGAAGTTATGGGAGGGAAATACGAGTACGGAAGGAATGCATCAAAGCCCGCTGTTGAAGGATTTGCCGCTCCTCACTGGAACCGGTAATATGACAGAGCAGCAGTGCAGAGAGCTGACGGACTATATTATCCAGGGGCAGGTGATGACTCTGGTTATGGGGTTAGTGGATAAAGAAGATAACTGGGATGGACCGAAATATGTCGCGGAACATGTCTATGGCATTGAGTTCATGCAGGGATCGCAGCTGATCAATGACATGACTGCATGGGACGGTCGGAAGGCGTTTGAGCTCATGTCATTGTCCCTTCCCAAGGAGGGCGAGGAGGAAACCGCAGAGCAGAAGCAGGCTAGGGAGATCGTCGAGGCTTGCCTGAAGAAAAGTTTCGGGTTCAAGCTCGCGCACGGATATATTTTGGAGGTAATGAATGTGACACTCGGGTCGCTGTGGAGGGAACATGAGGGATCAGATAATGTGCCCGGGACGTATGCGCATTGGCTCAGGCATGCAATCGTGCACTGGAGTCAGGATGCGCTTCCGCCGACACAGCCGTACACGGCACTTGAGCCGATTAAGAGGGGACCGCTATTGCGGGCAGAGTAAATAGACACCATGATACCATTATAGATAGCATGTACTAGACTCTCAATGCATAGACCATCCTCACCTCCGAAACAAAGAATGACTGCATGGCCTATACTTCCCAAATCGGTTAGCACACACCACGCGCCACACTCACGTGCCAACACTATCTGCATCAGCCACAAATTACCTAAGCATCACGACCTATCAAACAAACAAGGCCACCTAGACCATCCATACATACAAAGCACAAGCACGTCACCACCATCCCTCATAACCCCCCCCACGCAACCATGCTATCCGGAATCCAAAATGTACGGCAAACAGCCATCCAGCTGCTCAACTTCGGGCTGGTCCTGAGTACTGCATTCATGGTACGATTATTTTCACTTCTTCCCATTACCGATCATCGCAAAGAAAGATCATGATGACAAGATCAATTGAATGTATGGCACTAACACCTGGAAATCTATAGATGTGGAAAGGCCTCTCGGTCCTCACAAACTCCCCCAGCCCGATAGTAGTCGTCCTCAGTGGCTCCATGGAGCCCGCTTTCCAGCGCGGAGATCTCCTCTTCCTCCGGAATACGCAACCTACACTGAACGTCGGAGAGATCGTGGTGTATCAGGTGAAGGATAAGGATATCCCGATTGTGCATAGAGTGGTGAGGCAGTTTGGTGAGGGGTGAGTGTACCCACTTTGGACATAAAATCGGGAAGAAGGTAGCGAGTGCAGTAACTAATCTGGTTACGATTGAATCATGCAGATCCGAAGCCAAACTCCTCACGAAAGGCGACAACAATATCGCGGATGATACGGAACTCTATGCGCGCGGACAAGATTACCTTGATCGGGACGATGTTGTGGGAAGCGTGTTTGGGTACATTCCATTCGTGGGGTACGTGACGATTCTTCTGTCGGAGCATCCGTGGTTGAAGACGGCCATGTTGGGGGTTATGGGGTTGTTGGTGCTTTTGCAAAGGGAATAATGGGTCAGGAGTTAAATTTTTCTGGATTCTTTCCGCCTTGTTTGTTGTCAGGGTCATTTTGGGTTTTGGGGTTAGCCGGGTTAATAAATGCATATTGGGTTGCGGTTCATTCAGGTGCTATTGTGTTGTAGGGGTGGTCATAAGTTTGTGGTGTTGGATTGTGTTCGGTTGGAGGCAGAAGTAGCTGGATAGACTGCGGTCGTGGAGCTGTGACTGGTCAATGACGCGATCGAGTATAGAACGGAGCTACTGAGTATGCTCTGTCGGGGTTCCCGCGATGATTTGGTCAAGTTGAGTTTCATCTGCATCAGACCTCGGTTGGCAGCAGGCGATCAATGGCATGCTTGACTGCTAACAGCTGTAGATCAGAAACGCCAACTATGGCTGTTCACATGATATCATGTGGTCGCTAGTCTAGAAGACATTGGCAACATTCACCTGCATATGACACCGTATAAAAACCCGGCACCTCAGGAAACTAAAAATGCTTTACACTAGACTAAGACGTCAGTGACCACCCGATTCATGATAGCAGTGACCTCTAACTTCTGCCTAGTCTCGCCATAAATATCTCATCCGCTGAATAACAGCCTTTCTCAAACCTCGCAGTGTCCACTGAAACATGCCCCGACCGGACACACTCGGAACCAGATTCCCTCATCCGGGCCTGCTCACCTTCCAAAGTCAATTCAAGCTGCACAGCTCACTCCAGGTTTCTACATGAGGCAATATGCTGAAGCTCATCTTGCCACAGCGGAAGTTTAAGCTTGTATATCCATAGAGTGAGAGGCAGAGAATCAGGTTTCCGACTATCTCATGACGACTGACCTGAGGTATATGATGAGTATACTAATAACTCTCGATAGTAGTGTGCACCGTACTGCGTAATCGCCGAGTCTAGACGTCTAGCCCAGTTTACGCTAGTTCATCAGTTGCAACAGGCAAGACACTAGTCTAGTGCCATCCAACTCGCAGCGGTTTACTCTTCGCCACACCTCAAGTTTTCCTGCCAGGTCATCAATCCTGGCCACAAACTCCATGGCTAAACTCAATTGCAAAGTGTGCGCCTCGCAAGCAGGATCGGTTCGCCTCGAGCGCCAATCCAGTTTGAATACCCGTGGACGTCAACCAAACACACACAGAATGTGGAGAGAGCAATACTGAAGCAAGTTAGCAGCAATCATTAGAAATGCCGCACAAATGCCATGCATTGGCACAAATTATGTGTCTGATCCACCTACTCCTTCTGGGATATACAAACGACGCTAAATGTGTCGAGATCTACTTCCTCCCCACCCACAAGCAGAACAACAGACCATCGTGAAAGAAAATTCTTTGACCCCGTTGGAAGGACACCGCCCATGGAATTCTCGGCAGCAACATGCTGGGTCGCCAGGAACAGGGCGCACAGGGCGACGCCCTCAAACGTGTGCTGCCCTGCCAAGGAGCAGCTGCGTTGCCTTTCTGAGAATTCCAAGCTGTGGACCCACGGTTCAGTCTCGCCCAATAACCGCTGACTGTGCATGGATTTTGTAGGCGATGTTTTGCTATTGGCCGGGGCGGATGTTCCCCTGGACCGGCTACATTTTTGACCAATGGGCGTTGTTGTTGCGCTTGAAAGCGGAACCACTGCTTGCGTGCATTGGGTTCGAGCCCCTGGCCCAGAGATGCATAACCATGGTTGATGGGGACAATTCGTGGTTTGATTATTTTTGCGGTTTCTTCTTTTGTGGGCTTTATTCCTGTCTTGGCTGTGAGGTCTTTGTGTGCTGCTGGTGAGTTGAGGCTGGATAGGGACTGAATGGTTGTAGAGGCAGGTTGTTGGCGGTTGGAGGTGAGTGAGTGATAGGAAGGAAGCAAAGACCAGTTGGACAGTGAACAGATACGCTTGGCCTAACCACTGTCATCGAAAATAGTGCGTACTAACAGCTCCACAACACTATAGAAAACCCAGTTTTTCTGAGCAGTTTGTCGTCCACTCCACTCTGCATTGGCGTTTTCTTTGATCCCTTGGCCCGCTTGGCTTCCGACTAAACACACACATTCTCATGCATCAGCCATGTGGCCGTTGAATCTGAAACAGCCTAGTTCTTACACACATACAATGGAAGTAACAGCCTCAAGCCACTTTTTGAGGCATGAATCGACGGCAGTGACGCGCCCTTGGAACAGCCGACACCTTTGCCTGAGTTTTCAAAGGACTTTTCTCACTGTCACAAACCTATTCTCCCCACCACCAAGAAACCCTAATCCACTCCTCCACCGTCCCCAGTCCAGATTCATGGCAGTGGATGCCTCTAAACTTCATCCCAAGCCAATGTTCAGCCAATGGGATTACTTTGCTTGCTCTGACTTTCATAATGGCTTGTAGACCCTCCACCGCGTCAACCCACCCCCACTACTTCAATCCATGGCATCCAGGCTGACGCACCCCATCCCCTCCCTGTTCTGGACGCATCCATTATTCCCAGTTCCAGAAGAGAGACAGCCATGGCACGCTCTCCAGCACAGGTATATAGACCTCGTCTTCTTCTTCTTCCTCATCCATCTTTTCCCTGATCATTCACGACATTGTGATTCCCAACTACCACACAGTCTTTACATACCAAGACTCCGTCGTACTCTTTCGATAGGCGTACGACATCCATTCATTACATTCACACTTTCGTTGTAACAAACACACACTCGCTCGACGCGACACATTCTCTCTCTCCACACACACACTCTCTTAAAAGAACAAGAAAGATGTACTTCAGCACCCCCCTCCTGCTGCTGGCAGCTGCTCTCCCCAGCGCTCTCAGCCAGCCGACCCCTACCAAGCCCCAAGGCCACTCCCGTCGCCAAATCGACATCTCGGCCTCTGCCTCCATCTCCGTCTCCGCCCCCTCCTCCAGCTCCAGCTCCAGTTCCACCAGCAGCGCCAGCTCCTCCGACTGGACCTCCACCCCCAGTGATGGCGACTACTCGACCTCGGGCTTTGGCTCCAGCACCTCCGCCTACGGCAGCGGCGACACCTACGTCGGCAATGTCGGCAACCCCTGGGGAAGCAACATGGTCGAGGTGTCTGCCTCCGAGGCCTCCAACTACAAGTACGTCATGCAGGTGACCGGCCAGAACACTGAGGACTGGACCGTTGTCTTCTGGAACAAGTACGGCCCCGACGGCAAGATGGACGGCTGGTACGGATACTCTGCTCTCTCGTTCACCCTGTCCCCTGGTGACACCAAGTACGTTGCCTTTGATGAGGACACCCAGGGTGGATTTGGTGCTGCTCAGGGCTCTTCCCTCCCCACTGGTAGCAGCGGCGGATATGCTTGCACCTGGGGTGAATTCGACTTCGGATCCACTGCCAATAACGACTGGTCTGGATTTGATGTCAGTGCTATCCAGGCTCAGGATAATGATATGAGCGTCCAGGGCATGCAGATCTGTGATGCGCTGGGCTCGACTTGCTCCAGTATGACGGCTGATGCTGCCGAGGTTGATAATGCTTATACTTCTGCTGAGACGGACGAGGGTGGTATTGGTGGAAACCTTTCTGCTGGGCCTGTTAGATTGGCTGTTGTTATTGACTACAGTGGTTGATAGGTTTATAGACTAGAAATGGAGTGATGAGTTTTTATTTTTCATACGTGGAGTGAGTTGTAGTGAGGCGTAGGGTACGATTTATCCGTAGATATGGCTTCAGGCTTATCTTGTGGCTGATTATGGCGGATGGCGGATGGCGGATGGCTGATCACGACTTCTTCCGCCATGGCTACAGCTAATAACGCCACGATCTAGCGGTCGATCATGTCGATCATGATGATCTTTCAACGACTTCACCTATATCAAGACAGAGTATTCTTCGATTGTTCCTTGTCAAATATCGTGAGCCAAGCATGTAGTGTACAAAGTAGTGAGCCAGACTGGACTTAAACTTTCCTTCAAGGCACTCCTGACTCGCTCTCAACATAGGGGATAACACCGGCTCCAACTCACAGTATAATATTTTGCGACCTATCCACGAAAATAGTAGACAACCAAGAACAGCTGTCAAAAAGTAGCAAAGAACTCAGTAGCACCTGCTGGGGGATATAACCCCTCAAGTACTTCTTCCCCTATGTTAGGCCGACCCGCACTAACAATCAGCACCGATTATCACAACCAAACAACACCTTCACCCCCACGTCTACCACTAACCACTTTCACCACCACTACTCCTATACGTGAATAAATCCCTCAACGACATCCCCAAGAAACAAGTATCTACCCTCACCAGCCACCCATCTACCACCCACACCCTCAAGCCCCGGTCGGCCACTGACTTCCCACTAACCAAGAAACCTATCCAAATCCCACCTCCGCCGACACTCTAGACCATTCCATCACTACGTACATAAACACGCCAGCACAACATTTCAGGATCCAGGATCCAGAAGAAGACCCTAGTCCATCACATGATAGCCGACTACTTCCGCCGCCACCCTGCAGAATAGCAACTCGTAATTCCCCGAGTACTCTCCGCTATCTTTCTTCAGACAAGAATCGTGGGAGATTGTCACGGAGTCCCCGCGGAATCCCGTGCAGACATTATCAGGGGTTTGGAAGTTGAGATAAACACATGCATTCGCATTGCATCGCATGGTGTCGGGAAATGCCAAGTGTGAAGATTAATTCTTATGAGGGGGGGTTCGGAGGACCGATGGAGTATTGACTGGGTATGCGATGAAGACACTATTCAGCTATAGTATATACTCTTACGTAGATGGAAAGGTACCGGGAGGGATATCCGGAGGGCTGATAGAACAATCTCGGCTAGGAAAGGAAAGTTTGAATGAACCAACTATAATTAGTTGATTAGTATAGGATGATATAGTAATAGTGCAAATAAACCCCATGTCCTGTCCTAGCGCTACTCCCTTCCCTGGCCAAGCTGCAGAAAATCAGCCCAGTCGTGCCTGGATTGAATGACCGGGTTGGTTCATGACATGACCCTTGTCAGTGACACTATCAATAATATCCCTGTTATGCAAGAATAGCATTGTTCGAAGAAACCAATAATCACTCTAATCTATTATTGCTCTCGGTAGGAGATAAATATGCATATCCGGCGTATACCGCGTATAACCAACCCATGCCATGTCATGACTTGTCCAATTTGTCTGTGGTATGTACCTTGCATCTCCGATGAGATGAATTCCAGGATTATGACTGGATGATTAGAGTATAATCATGATGTTGTTGCATGGGTTATGAATCGAGTCAGGGGTTCAAGCGGGTTTTCCGACATTCCGCTTAGTTGGCTAGTCAGGAAGGATTTCGCCGGTATCCTACGGAGTACTAGTACCTTAGTAACTATCTTCTGATTGTCAGTGATACTACCTGCGTAGTTGCCACTACTTATCTTGCATAATGTTCCTATCGGTTATACATCGGGGATTGATAAGGAGGGACTGAACTTGTTTGCAGTTGTAGTAGTGGGTACTCTGTACTACTTACTGCTCCATATGGACAGGTTCGTGTCGTGTGCTTGGTTTTACACCGCAGCTGCCTAGTATGCCTAGTACTCTGTCGCAATCCGGAGAACCTCCTAGAAGGGGAAGGTCCATTTCCGAGCTGGAGCTGGAGCTGGAGCCCATCTCGGAGCTAAGTTTGTATGTATCTACGGAGCTAACTTCAGGATGAGACTGGACAACACGATTGGATTGTGCAAAGTACAAAGTGCAAAGGAGGAATTGGGATCAGCAAGAAAGAGATAGAAGACACAAGATACTACTACTCGATTCTAAACATATCAAACCAATCAATCGTAAGACTGGGTTAATTTGGGTGCCTGCAGAAATCAGCTGCGACTGAAAACCCGGAGATAAATTCGCCGAAGCGGATGAGCATTAGAATAACAAGCGAATGGCAACATTCGTCAAGGAGTTTAAGCTCGATCAAGAAGGGATCAGCCGGACGGATCCCGCCGTTAGTCATAATTGGATGGATTATTGGGTTCCCCACACCAACAATCCTTTTGTGGCATTGTCTGACTCTTGTATTGGATCTGATTGGTTGCTTACCTTGTCACCGGCTTTATCTCTGCAGAATTAGACTCCTGCTTTTAATCTATTCTCTATACCACTAACCCTCATCGTTGTTGGTGCTGTGCCCGATTCGGATTCCCCCTCGCGCCTCGTCCGTCATGATTCATTTCAACTCGATCTCCACTGCCCGTGCAGACTTCAACTGCCAATATATCGCAAGAAACATGTTACATCCTATTACGGCCAAGACACGCCGGCTCAAGCCTCGATTTGTCTAGCCAGCTTTGTTCGTACTCGGTCTTGTTGTTAGCCAGACAGCTAGCCAGCCAGCCAGCCAGCAGTATTCTAGATACTACGGAGTAGATACTAAGTACTGATTTAGTACGATTCCTCTCAACCCTCCCTTATCAAACCCCTGCTGGCCAATTGATGACTTTCCCCGCACACCTTTCCTCTCCCCTTTCTCAATCTATCTAGTATAGTACTACGGAGTACTAACCTTGTACTATACTCTTTCCATCCCAACCTGCGCCCCTCCCCTAATTGCTTATCATTCGCCCACAAGGCTTGGACGAAGCTTGTTGTGCCTGCGCCGGTGCCGCTTCCCTCCCCTCCTCCCCTGCCTTTTCGGGCGACGCCATCCGCGCACTAACCCTCCACGTATTCCAATATACCAAATCTGCCCAAAGCGCCAGCCAGCTTCCTCAAGCCTTGCGGTCAGATAAGGCCCTGTACCTAGCTAGTTGCCGCTGCTCCCGGCGCTGGGCCAAGCCGTCGGACGTCCGTCCCCCCTCTTTCCCCCTCCTCTCCCCTCTCCACTGGTGGAACGATGTCTGGCTGTTGCCATCGTTCTCAGAAGCAACGCCCCCTGGATCGGGTGGCTGTCGTACTATTGCATGTTCGTCCGCGCTACTAGGAAAGTTTTTTTCCCACCCGGAGTATCCGTGTTTAGTCCGCGGGCTGGCTGACCGGCTAGCTGGCCGTGCCAGTTGGGTAAGGTTCCAAGGGAGGACCTTACTAGGTAGAAACGGGATCCAACAATGAGGGGAAAAGGGCGGATATGGCTTGCCGGGGGTTCATTGCGGCCTGGACGAAGAAAGGGAGATGATCACTAATGCAACACAATCTTGGCTTGCAAGGAATTGCGCTCCAACCAGAATGTCTCTGCGTAGGGATGCCAATTCGTGCGGGCCATGCTGGATGGATAGTACGCTGCTCCACTCTCGCTCGACCTTTTGCAGTCCACAATCGTTTCCCCGTATCGTTGGGCGGGGGCGTTTTTCTGCAGCTATGGTTGCTGCTGCCCCGACGGTGAACCTTTCTGCATCCCCGGTTTTAGTCGATTTTAGTTGGCGGGCCTGGAGATTAAACTCCGTCGGACGAAGAGGAGCAGTGGTGTCATCGTCGGCGGATTGCATGCTATCGGAAGAGCATGGAAGAGGGAAAACATCAACTTCATTTGCAAAACGCTCGAGCATAAATAGAGGCCTGGATTCCGCCGTTCTGGTGTCTTTTCTTCTTCATCCAGCATCGCAAGTCTCTCAAGCATCGCCTGGTTCGTTCTTCTCACTCTTCCACCACCAGCCTTGTCAATAAGTTAGCTCTTCATCTTTTCGAAGAAACCAATTCTCCAAACGTCAAAATGAAGTTCTCTACCATCCTTACCGGCTCCCTCTTCGCCACTGCCGCTCTGGCTGCTCCTCTCACTGAGAAGCGCCGTGCTCGCAAGGAGGCCCGCGCCGCTGGCAAGCGCCACAGCAACCCTCCCTACATCCCTGGTTCCGACAAGGAGATCCTCAAGCTGAACGGCACCTCCAACGAGGATTACAGCTCCAACTGGGCTGGTGCCGTCCTGATCGGCGACGGCTACACCAAGGTCACTGGCGAGTTCACTGTCCCCAGTGTCTCTGCTGGATCTAGCAGCTCCAGTGGCTACGGCGGTGGCTACGGCTACTACAAGAACAAGAGACAATCCGAGGAGTACTGCGCCTCCGCTTGGGTTGGTATCGACGGTGACACCTGCGAGACCGCTATTCTCCAGACTGGTGTCGACTTCTGCTACGAGGATGGCCAGACTTCCTACGATGCCTGGTACGAGTGGTACCCCGACTACGCCTACGACTTCAACGACATCACCATCTCCGAGGGTGACACCATCAAGGTCACTGTCGAGGCCACCAGCAAGAGCAGCGGTAGCGCCACCGTTGAGAACCTGACCACTGGCCAGTCCGTCACCCACACCTTCAGCGGCAACGTCGAGGGTGACCTTTGCGAGACCAACGCCGAGTGGATCGTCGAGGACTTCGAGTCTGGTGACTCTCTTGTGGCTTTCGCTGACTTCGGCTCCGTTACCTTCACCAATGCTGAGGCTACCAGCGACGGTTCCACTGTCGGCCCCTCTGACGCTACCGTTATGGACATTGAGCAGGATGGCACCGTCCTCACCGAGACCTCCGTCTCTGGCGACAGCGTCACTGTCACCTACGTTTAAATGCATCTCTATGCATGAGATATCGGTCGCTTCAATGTCTTCGAGACGAAGACAAACCCTGGGGATGAATGAAAAAATGAGTGATGAGCTATCCGGATTGATCTGATCTTGTTGAGTTGTTAATTCCGTTTCTGTTGATGTTTTTGAATGATTATACCTACTTTTAAGTAGAAGAAATGGATGAGCGCGTGCATGCTGAAAATGACTGTCCCTGCTTATATTGTAGAAGATCTTCCAGAAAGCTGTGCTGCCGATCTGAAGATCTGAAGATCACTAGTGAGATCTCGCAGCTCGGCTGTGTAAGTGCATTTGCTCTGTCGATCATAACTTTGTAAAAGCTTGTATGCATAGCAGACATCTGTCGATTATTTAGATGCTTCGATTTGATCATCTTTACTAGAATCCCCATTCGAGTAGAGCTTCAGAGCGTCGGGTGGAAATATCGGGTCGTGGATGGTATCGGAGAAGTCTCACAACATGAACGAAAGATCCGCGGTATATGGCCAGTGTATGGAGGAAGCGCTGAAAAAGTCTTTCCATATAGTTAATAAGAGAATTCACAGTTAGCTAGAGCTTAAGGAATAGAAATACCAGACGGGCTGGCTTACCGTTCCCCGATAATAGCCCGCGAGCCATAATGACATAGACATGGTCAAAGAGGAATCGAGCACAGCCAATACCTGGATATAAACCCTTTCCATCAGACTTTGTTCCAGAGAAGAGAGGGGGGTATTTGTTAGATTATTTTGAATGTCCAGGGGCCATATGATGGTCGTAGCTCGGTTGCAGTGATGGATGTAGGCCATCAAAGTCTCAAGTTGGGGGGAGACATGACGTTGGGGAGGTACACGTGATCCGTATAGGCAGCAGTAGCGCCATATCTCGTTTTGTAGTATTGATGATAGCAGATAATTTGGGCGCTGCGTTCAAGGTTAGCAGAAGAAACAGCTATCACCTTGGTAATCATCGGTGTCTTTCTCTCTTTCAGGAACGCAGATGCTCTGAAGTCTTCAGCCAGGAGTAATGCGACATGTTACCCCCGACAACTGGATCACTGCTTAAAGCACTGTGCGTAGGAAGCTATAACGAGTATACGTAGCAGAACATCTGCTTTCATCCGTATTTTGTGCACCGAAACTTCTCAGCAGACGTGACAAGAGAAAGGATGCATAACAACGACAGTATCATCGGCCAAAGCGAGCTCGTGCCATTAAGCTATATTAGCGATGAAGCCAATGCAGGGACGATGGGGTCCGTTCTCGTTACCCTGAAGCTGTCAGGTACAGGGTCTAGGCTAGGATAAGGTAGAGATCCCACCTGTCGCCATACTTCCCTTGAGGCTCGATTGTGACTATGCCGAATCGGGAATGTGCACAAGATGTGCAGTGCTGACATAAGACATTGAGCAGAGAAACTACAGCCAATAAGGATAGAGAATAACGCCTTCCTGATTCGGTACTTAATGAGTGCTTTCTCGGATGAGCCATCACTACGTAGTAAGTAGTCACCGATTATTTCTCCATTGTATCACTGTTGATGGGCTGTATGCATACAAAGTAGGCGGCAGATATCTATATTTCATACACATAGGAAGTTGATGTTGAGTACAGATCATGTTCGCTCAGTCACAAATTCGATACATCAATTACTCAACTCCTCGAAAATGACAAGTCTATTCCGTAGTAGTATCCTCTGAACTTTCCTGTTACAGTAGAGACGTACAGATTGATACCATAGTACAAGTCATGTAAGCAAAAGAATGGAGGACAAGCTAGTAAAAGCCTAACATACAGCAATATGCCTGTCGATGACACAGCCCGATAAAGTTAACTATCTACGTACATGCATCGAATGGCCCGTTGACAAATCTTATTGTTCATTCACTCGTATAAATTGAACAGACGGAGGAGGAAAGTTCCATATTCACCAACTCAATATGACATGGGGCCAAGATCCGTTGCGGCTGCTGCCGTGCCCCTCCTTCTGTTTAAGATCCCTCTATTTATGATAATCACTCACCCACATCTACCTTTCCACCCATTATCAACTCTTTATCCAAAAGCCTCATCTTCTTGAGACTCTCTCACATTTCTCTCTCCATCAAATAACTCCTCAATACTTCCTTAGTCAATCATAACAACCATGTCCAGCTCCGGAAAGGACTTCAGCTACAAGGGCTCCGGAACCAACAGCCAGGTAAGTGCCATCGCCTACCGCATGTAGACCTCATCATCACAGCATTTAACAATATCATTCAATCAAAAGGGAAATCACTGGTGCTCCCGCGACTACGGATCCGGCAGTCGTAACTCGAACTCTTACCACTATTCGAACAGGTCAGCTATCCATCTCAATAACCTAGCTATACTTCCACTAGAGCAAGCCAACCCCTGTCTAACAACTTCTTCGTAGTGACGGATCCTACTACTACTCCAACCCCAATGGAAGCACCTACTACAACAACGGAAACGGTGGTTCGACCTATACTCCTCCCAGCGGAAACGGTGGCTCGACCGGAAAGAAATAAGTGTGGGCTTAGATCATTGGATTCTGGGAAGGATCAGTTTGAGACTTAGTAGCAACTTAAAGTGATATATCCTGTAGCTGTATCAGTGATTGTTGGGCTTGAGCTTCTTTCTTCCCCATCAATGACACTAAAGATATGCTGATATAGCGTCGGAGTATCTTTACATTGCAGAAATCTGAATCTGACGTTTGCTTGGTCTTCTACAACGCAAGTGCTCCGATTAAGTGCTGATCTTCAAAGATCTAAATAAGCTATCTACTATCTAGGTGGGGTATTGCTTGGCTTGAAGATCTTATTATAGATCGTATATTATAATTTCGTAGCGTTCCGCGTTAAATTGAAACGGTTAAAAGTTGTGCGTACCTGAATACCTACCAGGATTCATAAGGCTTATTATCTAAGATGCTACTAACGGCATTTAGTATTAAACAGCCATTACCTATTGAAATGGAAATTTGACTGTTTAATGATCAGCTGGCTAGCAAAAGTATAAGCTGATAGTGAACATGTTAAGCATATGCATACTTCCCCGGAAACTTCGGAAGCTCCCAAGCCATCCTTTCTTTGCCACCATAAATGCAAAGCAAACCACATATCATATATATTCATATATAAAGCCAAGCTATTCATGAATGTAGTTTATGTTGTATAGTTTGAATTAAATCATATCGATTGGTTGTGTGACTGGATCCGCTCAGGCACACAAAACCTCGGCAGGCAGAACCATCCGCTTCCCAATAACGATTAGCGTGTCTCCCGGTCGGCGTATCTCTTAACGCGACCACCGCATGAATTGCCCCTCCACACCTGATCATCATTTACCATTGCTATCCCCGATTCCTGGAAATTCTCTTCTAGTCAAGAACTTTCCAGAACAAAGTACTTACGGTGAGCATGTCTCACAGACTCTTTATCCTCGTCTACAGAGGCGATCCCCTCGATTACAGCGAATACCGACACACGGCTCTATACGTGCAGTTTGCATCGCAAAAACGCAGTATCCTACATATTCTAGGCACCCAGGGTCTCTACAGATACGTGGAATACCCTGGAGCTGACCCGATGGAACTTGGGGATTTGGTGCGTGCAGTGCCGGTGGCGGACTTGTCGGCCTCCGTCGAGGAGGATGAGATTCGGGAGACGGTGGCACGAACGCTGGTGCGCAATGGGTATTTGGATTTGGAGTGGAACTGCCAGCACTGGGTGGGGGATGCCTTGGCCAGATTGGTGGACAGAAGTTGGGTCGCAGGCACCGAGCGGGCGGATGCAATCGATAAGATGACCGACGCTTGCTTGGAGGCCCACGATGACCAGCTGCTTGCCGCTCAGTGATCGGATTAGTGCTTATTCAACAATGAAGTATGTATGCGTATATCCCCGCTCGCTCATACCTAGAAGATATAGATTAACTCTCCTAAGGTTTTCACCAGTGGTCATCTCCGAAGGTGGAGGTGATCTCACGCCTTGGTGGCTTGGAGGGAGATCAGTGGTTGAGACTGCGTTGCTGCAGTGTGGGGTAGCACCAGACTAAAATGCGTCACTTGAACTATCTTTGCCCACCAGCAGCAAACTCCATAGTCTATCGGTACTTGCGAGAATGCGTGTAGGCGACAGCATACGCAGCACCCATTCGTGGTGACATTGTCTCGTGCGGTTTTTAGTGCTTATCACACCAGTCGCACTTCCGGCAGGCAAGCGTGATCCCCAATGAGGCCTACCTCTATCGACAATACTTACCGAGTAAGTTTGGAGTGGTTACACCCGATCGAACCGCTTGAGGGTCCGTCCACCTGGCTGAAGATGGCTGGCTTTATGCTGGATTATGTATGTACATCTCGGTGAGCGTACGGCTGGTATTGTTAGGGGAAGATTCGAGATTCTGCATCTTGAAACGAGGTCATCATGGCCATTGAGGGGCGGAACAGAAAACAAGAAAAGAAACTGAACAAAGAAAGAAGCAATATACCTTCATCGTCTTGTGTGATGTCATTCGGGACTTTACTGCGGCCATTAACCGCCCATGGTGATGAGTTGTCATGTTCAGCTGCATAGCTGCGGTGAACATATTAAACTTGGAATTTGACACGTGAGAGATGAGCTGCGCAAATCGAGCGCTTCAAATCGAATTGATCCTTCCTGCAAGCATCTATACCTAGCTGAAAGCCAATAAGAACCCCGCACAACAGGGATTGAGCGGCTGGAGCACTAGTAGCTTCCCCCCCCTTCCTCGCAGGGTCATCATCTCATTCGTATCTCTCTTGATGGTTATGTCAGCATGCTAGTCTGCTCCTGCCGCCGAGGCTGTACTTCACTCCACATGAGGAGGCCCTGCTCGCCAATGATTCAGGCATTCTAGCGCTAGATGTGCGGTTCATCGGCGTGAACTCTCCGTTGGAGCCGTCCGAGTTGCGGCTTGCCATCATCTGATCCATCACTCAAGCGCTGCTTAAAAGGACTTCTGGTCGCTTGTCAGCTCAAACTCGACAACTCATCTCCATCTCTAGACAGAATTGTAACTCACTATGGCTTTTGACAAAGTTGATCATCCTGTTATAACGATTGCGACGGTCATTCTCGTTCTTTGGTATACCACAACCTACCTGCAGCGGAAATGGACGCACCGTCGTATCATAAAAGCGAACAATTGCCAGCCGCCGCCATCTTATCCTCAGAAGGACCCTATCTTCGGTCTCGACATTCTGTTTGAGCAGATTAAGTATTCCAAGAAACATAAGATTCTCGAGCGGGCAATCGAGCGATTCAAGCTATACGGCAACACTTTTACACAGCGTCGATTCACCCCTTTCATCATAACATGCGAGCCGGAGAATATAAAGACAGTTTTGTCCCTCCGATTCAAGGATTATGGCTTAGCAGGCCGCATCGATGCAATGGGTCCACTTTTGGGCCATGGCATCTTCACCACCGATGGCGAGCACTGGGCCCAGTCGCGTGCCATGGTCCGTCCAAATTTCGCGAAAGAGCAAGTCGCGCACTTGGATATCTTTGAGGAACTAGTGAACGAACTGATATCGCTGATTCCAACCGAGGGCAGAACGGTCGATCTACAGGAGCTATTCTTCGAGCTTACGATCGACTCTGCAACGGAATTCCTCTTCGGGCACAGCGTGCACAGCCTTCAGAAGCGGCGGACTGGGGCCCGTGACAGTACAGAACAGGACTTTGCCAGCGCTTTCAATTATGCACAAAAGGCTATTGTGGCAGATCTACGCCTTGGTAGACTTAAATATCTCCGCCGCGACCGCAAAGTAGGAGAGTGCATCCGAACCTGCCATGAACTGGTGGAGCAGTTCGTCGACAGCGCAATGAGAGTGCGAGAGCAGTCCAGCGAGCAGAAAGCGCTCCCCGTAGGGGACAGTCATGACGCAAAGGAGAAGCAGAAATATTTATTTCTGCATGGTTTAGCCCAGCAAACGGGGGACCGCAGGCGTATCCGCGACGAGCTAATAAATATCCTCCTGGCCGGGCGAGATACCACGGCGTCCCTATTGAGCAACTTGTTCTTTATGCTAGCAAAGAACCCTCGCATCTGGAACAAATTGCGCGAAGAGATTGCCTTCTTAGAAGGCCGTGCGCCGTCGTACGAGCAACTGCGTAATCTGACATATGTGAGATATTGCCTGAATGAATGTGAGTAATCATGACTTTCAGAAAGGCCTGAAAGAGAGCTCTCTGTCCCCATGAAACATGACTTACTTGGCACTATAGCTCTTCGCCTCCACCCTGTTGTTCCAGCAAACTTGCGCTTTGCGAACACGGATACAGTACTTCCCCGCGGTGGCGGACCAGACGGCAAGTCGCCTGTTTTCGTGCCAAAGGGCTGCACAGTCGCCTATAATGTCTATGCTCTTCACCGTCGTGAGGACATTTTCGGCCCGGATGCAAACGAGTTCCGGCCTGAACGTTGGGCTGAGATCCGTCCAGGGTGGGAGTACCTGCCATTCAATGGGGGACCACGCATCTGCGTTGGTCAACAGTATGCACTAACGGAGGCAGGGTATGTCACGGTTCGGCTAGCCCAGAAGTTCTCCGTGCTTGAAAGCAAGGATACAGGGCAGTGGGTGGAGGGCTATGCACTGACACTTTGTTCGAGGAATGGGACGAAGGTGGCATTGAGCTAGTTCGTGTCTGTGTATGTCTAGATTTATAGGGACGATATTCAACTAAAAACTTGTTGCGTACATAGTACGGCCTCAGTATATGGATGGTGGAATTGAGGACTCGGTAGCTGCCAGTGTCACAAGCGAAGGAGAGTCAGGCGCCAGTTGGTCACGAGATTCCGCCCGGGTACCTGACTCGGACGGAAGGCAGTTCCATGTCAGGCAGGACTCTGTAGCATGGAAGTGTCCGACATGTGCCGCAGCCCAGAAGAGCCTTAACCTAATGCAGCCGCCTATTGCGTATAGTAGCCTTGTAGGTGATGCTCCCTGCCTGGCATCAAGGCTTCCCAATATCCACAGAATTTCAACCCCAATCTAATGAGAGGACAGATCCTCGTATAGAGACATGAAGCCTCTATACAGAACATACCTAAGGAATTAGCTTGAGATTACGTTCCCCTCCCTCTACCATGGTAGAACTCTCGGTTATAGAGGAATTAACTTCCCCTAGCTTCTCTTCATGGAGTTCCTGGGGGTAGAACAGGTGCACATAACGGGTTTCAAACCAGTAGCCCCTAAAATGTCAGAAAGATGGCCCCCAACCTCATCTTGAACAACTAGTAGGGCCTTCCTGGTGACGTCCATTACGCCACCGAAGGCTCTTCCCAAGATCCCTGAGCATTGTAGACGGATTCGGTCTGTCGAACAGCCCAACAAGTCAGTGATGCATCGTATCATGGTTTTTGGAATGGATCAGTCGTTGTAGCCCACGTACTGTGGAGCGAATGACAAAGACTGTCATCAACCTATCAAACGCTTGTTTGATTAATCCGACGTACATCAGTTGCTATTGGGCTACTAATAGATAGCAAGGGAGTGTACGTACCTAACGCGTTTTGCCTGAATGGAGCTGTGGCAGCTCTAACACCTGTAAGGAGTATGTCATGCAAAGTTACATCGCTGACATAGAGTTCGATTCCTTCATGTTTCTGCAGCCAAACATCCTAAATAAAAGGACAGAGACTGGTCCGATCGTGTGTATAGGTTCTATTTGGATCTCAAAATGTTAGTTGTCATTGTAGTAGTGGTCAAGGATTGGGTGATACGTGGCCAGAGTGAATAAAATATCTCAACAAAATGCATAACGAAGTGTCCTACCCATGTGTCTATCTCGATCAGAGAAACAATGAATGCCTCACTTGATAGCAGTTCTGCTGGATGCTATTACTCTGCCTGGTCACCTTTTCTACAATTGCTCGAGATTTATCTGCAGCCACCGTTCTGAGTGTCCACTTTCTTCTATTGAAGTGATATATTTACTCTTAAACCCGAACAGTGCTCTATCACACTTATCTACACTGGTGATTGAGCTGTCACTTACTGTATCAGGAGCCAGGAAAAAGCAATTTAGAATGTCTCAACGATTATTTCCTCCACCAGTGGGCTTCGGAGAGTTGTAAAAAGGGTGGCCAGACGGAGTATGTGGGGAACTACTGCAAGCTCAACAAGGCCATGGGCTGTATAGCCATGGACGGAATGCCTGATGTCGCACAAGAAAACCGGAGCAAAGGGGGAGGCGGCAAGAAAAAAGTATCGGAAAGAAAGGGAACACAAGATTCGTGGGCGTTCGACGACATGATTGCCTATTATTAGTAGGTGACGAGGAATGGAGACAAAGGGAAGCCCAAGCCAAGGAAAACATGCAACTGGGGCCCGCTGCCTTATAACAACTGGGCGTGACACAGCAGCATAACATATCTGCTCGTCTGGCTGGGAAGTAGAGCTTATAACGAAATAGGGAACTCGTCACTAGGCAAACCGACATGACAGGCCACGTCTAGCGTTTCGATCCCGCGTTCTGTACCTGTCGTCGGCTGAAACGAGGCTGAGATGTATCCTGTCATATGATGGGTTTGCATGCGACGACAGCTGGTACCTGGAATGATGCCTGTTGGTTTGCCATGCTTTCGCACCAGCTCTAAATCCGACTAGCCGGTTAATATCAAGAACCCAGCCGGGTTCCACAACATTCAGATCCAATGGCCAGTCGCAGAGATGGGAGGTTATTTATCGCCTTTGTTGTTGGTGCTGACGCTTCTGGCGGTGAACTCAACCCTCACAGGCTTCCACAAGCCATTCTTTGAGCCTTGGGATCATTTTCCTTGAGGCTGGAATACTGATTATGAGGCGACGGAAGTGGCGGTGAAAAGGAGGCCTAGAAGATTCCCGTCCCACAATTTATCTGCCAATGGTGCTTTTTCCGGCATTCAACCGTATGAAGCTGTGGTCAGTGGTGGATCTCAGGGTCCTGCAAGATGGACAACGGAATCCCTTCCCCGATTGGACTATTGATCGCCTGAAGCAATTGCCAGCCATTTTTGCGCAGATGTGGTTCAATAGACGGGCTGACGGACTCCATCCGCCGCGGTCCAGCCGATCGGAAACACGATCAATCGCGATACCCACCGAATTAAACATGTCTGACTTTCTCGAATAACGCATCCACATCCACAGTGGAGCCCGCAAACGGAGCACCTCGAAGAAGAAAGGGCGAAACTTCCATGGATGGATGTGTCGATCTGCATCTCATTGCTTTTTTCTGCATCTTTTTCTTCTTTGTCGCCTGTCCTCCCTTTCTTTCTTTTTGAGTTCCAGATTCCGCCCGGCGACCCGTCTCAGTCGGCCCACCCTTACCAACATCATCGTCACTTGTCGCACAATCAAATCCATTGCTACTATAGCCTAACCGGCTCATCGGTGCCCAATACCCGGGATCAAAACTAGTATGCCCGGAAGACCATCCGCGTGAACGGATCGGAGAGTAAGAGGCCAATCAGACCAGAACCGTTGATCCCGACAGTCTGTCACACAAACCCTCACCCTGCGAACTACGTGTTCCGTCCCGCCCTTCGACTTCATTCCGATGTTGGTCTCTCTCGACTTCCCCGGCCAATCGGGAGCCGACCAGGCTGAAGTCCCAAGGACTCGTCGGTCACGACGGGCTCAGTTTGGGAGGAAGGGGCCTGGCGCACTATTGTCGGACGGTGGTATTCCACAGAAGTTGACCTGCATATCCACCGCCTGTCCACTCTGCCACGACGGGGAAGTTTTTTTCCCCCCCATCAGCAGCGGGGCATCTCTTCATTTCTTTGAATAACAAATCTTGTCCATTCCACGGAATGCAAGGGAAATGTCGAACAAGGCCGATACACAAGGGTGTGGACTCTTCGTCGACGGGCGGCCACATGGCACGGGAGAGTGAATTATCGGGTCGATAGACCCAGAATGATGAATGGAGTTGACGTCGGGGTGCTGCCACTTACTTGTCTATAAATATGCTCGCCAGCCTGCTAACCGGTAGACCTAAATGATCACTTTCCTGTGGGAGCTTATCTTGCGTTCAGCCCACCTCCTTCCTCTTCGAAGCTTATTCCTGCCTTACGAACGTCTCTTCTTTCACTTGTGTTCAACCGGCGACCATACAGCATACTACATAGTAACACACAATGGACCGAAGTGCTACCAGCAGAAACACTGGCTCAAGTGGCCATGCCGCTAATGGCGCTCACTCCGATTTACCGGACCTGGCTACTTATCAAGCACAATGGGCCAAAATCCATGATGATACTGTGCGCCAGATCAACGAAGCCCTAGGTATATATTGTCCATTATTTCTTTGTCTTGCACATCTTTTTTAACGCCGTCGAATATCTAGAACAAGAGAAGAAACGCATAACAAACCGGTCAAAGCAATTCCCTTCAAGCTAGCGATAAATGATGAGTATCCGGAGAAATTGGCGATATCGGGTGTTTATCGGAACTCTGTTGATTCTGACTTTTTGTTCGGCATCTGCTTGCTTTTTCGCTTGGGATGATCTTCCTTTTATTTGACTTAAATTTCTGCGGTCTTCGTTTATTGGCCTCATCTTTGATTGCATTTCCCTTGTGAAGCGGATTCAGCGTTCTTCATTCTATACCATTTAACAAGTCTTGATATTTCAACAAGTGATTAGTCTGTTCTTTACTCGACACAGATAATCGTCACATAAGCCACTTACCAACTCTCTTCTCTCTGAATCACTACAAAGTATCTGTTCTTCAGCTGCCCCAATGATGGACAAATTGCCCGGTGATGTGCTAAATCCATAGCGTGGGGTGACAATGTCCATGCGCCATAAGTTAGATTAACCCCTGACGTCACAGCTGCCGGTGTACCCTTCGCTGCCTAATCATACGAAGAGCTCAGCTGGTGTTCGGTAATCAAAGGATCAGGTTGATATGTAGGATGACGTTCTTACCTCTCTCACCCGGGGAGGAGCAACAACAGCACCGCCACGAAGTTCGAAGTGATACTAGTTCCTATCGCTGACGGGACATACCAACGTCAGCACGCCACAACACTAGACTATCGCATTGAAACCATCCCGACCGCTAAGATAAGTTACTCCCCGGTATATAAACAGAAACAAATCAATAAACTGTCCCACCAACGCCGAGCTCATTTCCGTTGGGGCCAGACTCACTTTCTAGACAGACCCCAATTACGAGTCCTGCCACATCCATATACTAGTAAAAATCGAAGCACTGGTGGCTCCACCGGGTGTCTCCGATTTGATGCAGCCAAAAGTACCATTGCAGTGCCGTTCACCGCGGAGAGTTCCGAACCCTCCGTACAAGAGATGGGTCCACGCCGATCCCTTCCCCCCTGTATGTAGCCCTCAAGCAAAAGTACCATGCCTCCCTGCTAGAAAGTACCGCGACCAGTAACTGGTTTGGGAGACTAGCTGCTTGGCCCCCCCATCCATTTCATGCATCATGTCCTTTTGCCTTTTTCGTCGTTCGTTGCTCATATGACTGATGATGTAATTGTATGTGCGCGAGGATTTATCTGGTGACTGCAGTCCGACTCGTTTAGCCGCCTTCGTTTCAGTTCACTTTTGCTGTTGGATGATCATTTTCGCCGAGGCTGTTGCTGACACACGGGGCAGATGCAGAACAAATTGTTGACAAATGGCTGGACAGTTTGGCCTGCGGGCTCAGTCGAGTCGCATTCGGCGCGTAGGTTTTCCCGGTTTGGGCTGCTTGCTGGGCTTTCGGGGAGATGTGGATTTTCGCGACTGTCGCGGTTGTAGATCTATTCTTTAGTTGCCTGGAGTGAGTCATTTTATGAGATGCACTCGTACTAACTGAGATGCTACTCGCCTAGCGCAGAAGGTTGTCGGGGATTGTTCTCCAGGTCTTTCAGGTGCTATTGCAACACATGCGTGATTGATTGTTGGGTCAGAAAAGGCATTTGTTCTCGTGGTTCCGATTGAGGAACAGGGACAAAGTACAGCTGTCCATGCACTCGAAGAATCAAGGGATGTGCTTCCCATCTTGTAATAGCTGAAGCTGATAGTTGGCTATGTTCGTCGTTGTTGACGGAGCTAGCTGCATTGAGAAAGTCACGTTCTCGGTCTGCAGCCTCGAGGTCGTCCCCAGCGGTGTTGGTGTCACCTTTGTCCTCCCGAGAATCTTCACCTTATCTGACGTTCCATCCTTGCCTTGGAATCATTTGGATCATGGGGAGTCAATCATCTGATTATTGTTTCTAATTATCTGCCTGCTTCTGACTGACCATAAAATCAAACATGCTACACCCCTGTCATTGCACCGAGAACAGGTACGATGGCCCTTGATATCTTGATGAATCTAAGTGTTCTCTTTACGTATACTCCGTGCACTGACCTCAACCCCCCTTCAGGAAGATCTCGGACACAACCGCCCATTATTGTTCCACGAATACGGCAAAGGATCCGTGACTTGAACTTCCCAGTCCTCCGACCCCACCGCCGTAAGAGCAAAGAACAAACCGGTCGGGTCGTACTTCTGCTTCAACTCATACAGACGTGGGTAGTTGGCACCATAGAACGCCTGCTGGAAGTTAGGCTCCAACAAATCACCCTCATTCATATACGCGCCAGAGTCGGGAGAAATCTCCCGCAGAGCATCCATCCAATCTGTCACAAAGAGGGAAGAATTATAGACCGTCTCCCAGCTCGAGGTGAAGTCCCATTCTGTTGCGACGATGACGTGAGAAAGAGCGTCACGCCATGCCGGCAAAACTGCAATGTTCGTCGGTGGCTCGACAGCGCTTCCTTTGCCGCTGATGTGAAACCCCATGATGAACAAACCCTAAGATGGTTAGTAACCGTTACAATTACGATCATATCAGCCAGCATACCTTGTCAACGGCGTCCTTTTGAGCAAGAAAGTTCCGGTTACGGAGGTCTTGGTTCTCGAAGACATTCCGAGGCAGAAGACGTGACGCCAACTTGTATATGTCCAATCCCCCGGTTTCCAGAGGAAAGTTATCTTCCTCCCAAACTTCATAAAAGTTATCCGCATGGCTGTAAATGGGGGTGAAGCTGACATTTAGGCTATTGAGGGTATCGAACCAAGGTTTGAGAAGGTTCTGCGTCTCCGGAACGGTCATGTTGGGAGCAACAAAGGAGACCATGCGGAAGTTGTAGTCGGTTTCGCCGGAAGAAGCTTCCCCCTTCTCAGCTCCCGAGGATCCCAGAAAATAGTACCCATATGTGCCAGCGTTGACAAAGTCCTCGAAGTTGTCTAGATAGGACTGAAAAGCCGCCCAAAACGCTTCAGCATTTGGAGTATCGTTCATAGTCCAGTTGAAAGTGACGAGTGTTGTGGGCAACTGGGGATACGCCTTAACAGTCATGGATGTTACCACTCCAATTGTGCTGCCTCCTCCACCGAGAAGCATCCAGAAGACGTCTGAGTTTTGCTTGGAAGTCGCAGTGATAAAGCGACCGTCCGCCAAGACAACTAGACATTGATGAGTGAGAGGTCACGGATAATGAAAGGTGAACCAAAGGGAAACCAACCTTCCAGAGCCAAAACCTGATCTGCTGCCATGCCATACATGCTGCTCAATGGCGAGTGTCCTCCACCAAGCGTGAAGCCACCAGCAACTCCAACAGAGAGGCATCCGCCTCCGATGACGGTCAAATTCAACTCTTTCCCAAAATCATACGCCTCCGAAACTTGCACTCCAGCGCCAAGCTTAATAGCAGGTCCAACATAACCACCGTCAGCTGTGAACGAGGGGTAGAAAACCTTGTCCTTGAGCCGGTGCGTCCAAATCGACAGACCTCCTTTTCCAGAGGGCTTGCCGTTGAAGTCATGGCCGGTGTTCTTAACTATTAGGCGAAGGTTCTGGTTTCGGGCAAAGTTCACGGACAACTGAATCTGAGCAACAGTGGATACGTTGACGACGTACGTAGGGTAACCGCCTTGCGTACATGTGCTGGTGTAGTTGTACCCTACGGGCATGCACGAGCGACCCTCGTCCAAGGGTGCCATGATGGAGCTAGGATCATCGTAGCTTAACGCTTCTCAGCTTAAAGTTACCTTGATATGAAAGTGCGGCACTGATATACTCACTGCAGAGAGTCGTCAAGCCAATTCGATGTTATCTCGGAGCATTGCTCGGTGTTATATTCAGGCCAGTCTGGATAGCAGGAGGCTGCCAAAGGCGCAGGCTTAAGCAAGCCCCCACCGAGCAACTGGTCAAAAATATTCCAAGTCGACTCAGTTGGCCATGTCGCATCTCCTGGCATGACCTTGCAACTATGCTGGGGTGTCCCGCTGTTGTTAGCCGAGTCACCTGCCCCGAAAGCAAATATCCTCGACAAGGACTGGTTATTCAGGGCGGTATCAACTCTAGCCAGTGCATTCTCAGTCAGCTGTACTTTTTCCCAGGGAAACAATGGCGGCGCAGCAGAAGGGCTCGTTGTCACAGTTGCCGCTGCTGCACTCAATGAAGCTACAGCCCTTGTAGCCTGTGCATATGCTGCGGGCGCCACCATTGAGATGGCCAAACCCCGAGAAAGATACCCCTTCATGGTTACAGCTGACTCGCTATGGGGGAAAGAAAACCACAGGCCCGCTGCGAATGCAAAATTCTGGGCGAGCAGTGGCTACTTTAGTACTATAAGTATTCCGCGGCTAGCGGTTGATTGACACACCGAGAGGTTCACATGATCGATCCCCACCTTCGTGCTCAATTACAATAAACATTATTGATTCTGATTTTGTCACAGTGAGCTTAACATATTCTTCTTAAGGGCCTTATGACGTACGGGCCCCGCGGAAGTTCAGATTGAACACTCCTGAAGTCGTGAGGTCATCGACATCTTCTTGTATCGTTCCCTACTTTATAACACAGTGATTATAAACACCAAGGGTCGGCTTACCTTGTGACAATAAACTGCCTTTGTCCATGCTATATGGATGGTTATTCCTCACCTAGCAGACTATCATATTGGGTTGAGCATATCGTGGTACACCGCTTATTTCAGAGAAACGCTCATAGTTTGATTGACTGGCATTGATTAAGACTGTCACTTTTCGACTAACCTGCTTATCTAAATACAAGAAAATTCAACTCACTAACACTATCCAGGATGGGTGTCCGGCCTTAAGCAATGTTCGATTCAGCTGAGGCGCTTGATCGGCACGATTATGGCGATATGCAATTGCTAATTGCAAGCGACTTACCTGAAAGATAAGTAAGCTCTGCAGAAAAAGTAATATGTTCAGTCTCAGCTCCAGACTATTGTCTATAAATGTGGGGACGGCGCACGCTTCGCAAATCGCAATAACCTCTCGGTATGCAGCTATTGCCGCTAGTCAGCCGCGGCTGATTTAGTGCGCGACGGGTCACTAATCACTACCTGTTTACTCTTTGAACACCATTCTGTTTCTGTGGTGTTCTCGATGCTGTTAGGTTCAACTGGCCGAGTTCGCAGGATTAATGCGTTACCTCGATGCATATATTGGTGCACTAAATGCCATAGATGCAATTGAATAGATAGCTGCTTATTCAAGGTGGCTTGGAGAAAGCTAATCCTCGCGAAAATATGGGAAACGCACAGGTCACATGCCATGTGAAGTCATTCTAGAGGCAATTCCTGGATCTTGTCTGCAAGTCCACTCTCAGTCGCTTTTTCTATCCTGTAATAAGTGGGCCGAAGGCACTCTTCCACGTCCGATTTGGTAATTGAGTACTTCGGTGTAAGCGCGACAGTCTGCGTTATCCGCCACTCCAGTACCGGAAGCCGATCAAACAAGGCAAACATAAATTTTTGAGACAAAGGGCAGGGGTGGATTCAATTGTATGTGTATGGTCTATCTGGGTCTCAAAATGATGGTTGGTGGTGGTCAGAGACTACGTAGGTAGAGATGGCTAAAGATCAGGTGATGCCTGGGAACCTCAACATACAGTATTAATAGGGACATCTCAGAGCACCATTTGCCACTTGACTCGAGTTTCCTTCACCATCCCTAACACTCCGACAGGCAGGAACTTCTGATCCACCAGCCTGATCCCTCCTAGTCTTTCTAGCACCTCTCCCGCATACAATTGCAAATGCCACAACTCTTCACTGTCCAGCTTGCCGACTTGCTCATGTGTGAGTGTTTCCTGGAGAGCTCTCCTAAGCTCTCGTGTTTCATCAATTGGCTGCATTGTTGGAACGCACATCAAATCGATATACATCCGTCTGAGACCGCTGCTTTGGGATTCGCGGAATCGAGAAAATTCCTCGAATGACATGAACGTATGGACTTCCCGCTCGGTGACCAAGTCTCCTTCGAGATCTGCAATAGAAGCACAGATTGCTAGCATCTTTCGCCGGCGTTGAACACTCAAGTCTTCGAACTCCTTTTTCCGCTGGGCATACAAATTCTTCTCTTCGTCTAGGAATTGCTTTATCCTCGCTAGCGGTGGGCCACTCATGATACCCTCAACGAGGAGCACGGACGTGAAGGGATTGCGTAAGCCAAGTCCACCTAGCTCTTCAGGGAAGAAAAAGAAAGCATCAGGAATCTCAGTCTCGCCAAACCGCCTCGTGATCATTGCTCGCAGGTGTTCCGGAATACTTGTGCTCCCTGAAATCGAGCTATCCAATATCGTATCTTGGATCTTCTTGTACGTGGTCAGAATGGCACGGACATGTGGCTCTCCAAAGCAGTAGGCAGGCTGACCGAAAGTATTCTTAAAGAATCTTCCGATGCAACTGTTCCATGTGCGGACCCAAGATATTACACTATCACAGCGATCCAGTTGATGTTTGAGTTGTCGAACGTGCGCATCGACAAGGGTCTCATCAATCACCCACTCCTCGGTGTCTGCATCCAGTTTCAGAAACCCAAATGTCACTGAGCCCTTCGGCAGCTGGGCAGCGATTCTGGGACTTTTGGACTCAGCCAGATAAGCCGATCCAGTTTTGCTGTAATTAAATTCCAGCCCTGTGACCTTGGCGAATTCACCCATCACTTCCCAAGCTCGCACACACTTGGCTGGCTCGCCGCACAGCCATAAGTCATCATGCAGGCGGTATAAGAGCAAACCTGTTTCACGATTTACTGCTAAATCCATAAAAAAGAGGATCATTTCTCCAAGCAGTTTCTCAGCGGCATGCGAGAATGGGATCCCCCGCTTCCTGATGCGGGGTCCAACTGGTTCACGTCCTTCATAGGAGCTGTCCATGTTCAGGGGTGCTTCCAGGTAACGGCGATAGAAGTCGATCCAGTTTTGCGGGAAGCCAATATACTTCATGATAATGACGATTGTACTGTGAGGCAGACAGGTGGCGTACCATTTCATGTCGGACTGAATCACCACTGCTGCGCCGTGCAGGTGTCGCCGGACAAGCGCCTCCGTGGCAATTTTCCTTAGCAGCTGCTGTCGGAAATTTTTCCCTTCGTGCCTCGTTGAGCTTGTTCCAGCATTCTCATTGTCATCATCATACGAATTGCCCTTCTCACTCAATGTTTGCTCTGTTTTTGGAAGCTGCGACAAGAAGTATGTCTCCAGGTACTCCGTGAATCGCAACTCCTCGGCAGTTGAATATGTACTGTCACCACTCATGTAAAATTTCCGTCGAAGGCGATCGCGTGTCGTCATCTGTCGCTCGGGTTTCCAGTTCCACACCGAGTCCTGTTGGACAAATTTCAATAATAGCAGCTTCAAAATATTACAATGTCGCGTCCCGATATACTGCAGAAAAATTAACTGCAGGAGATCCTCGTCCATCCAAATGCGATACTTTCCATTTGCCTGCTGCCTCGGAACAACAGGGATTCCATTCTCCCCAGCATGCCAGGCCCAGTTTTCGATATCACTGTATCGCATATTCAGCACATCAGCAATCTCAGTTAAAGCGACCGGTGTCTTCAGAAACGAATTCATAATTTCCCGCTTCTCCTCACTGAGAAGCTCTTCATTCAAGAGTCCACGCACACAATACTCCACAGATTGCGAGGTGAAAGGCTCTTTTACTTTCCACAATGACATTGTAGAGTCCCTGAGCTGCCTGCGAAGATTGCCCAAGGCTTCCATACTCTCCTCGTCCGGAAATAAGTCATCGAGGAAGGCCCGGATCCGCCCTTCGTCTGTCTCCAACGGCTCGAACACGGACGTGTCGAATTGATCGCACAGTTGCTGCAAACGCTGCTTTTGTCGCTCATCCACGACCATGTAGTCGTCGTCGACCGCCATCTCGCTCTCATCCCGGGCCGCGACAGGCGGGTCTACCCACTCCGTCAGCAGCCGCGAGTACAGGTCAGCGAGGTCTAGCTTTCGGCTCTGGATGTTGAGTTTCCTGAGAAGCTCAGTCTCAAATTCATGCAGCTTTTGTGGCGGGATTGACGAGTCGTAGCTTGATTGATGGATCCACCGCTCAATGTTGGCCATAGTGGGATCAGTAGCCGCTGACGGGTAGAGCACTTTTGCTCCATTGAGCAGGTATTTGAGTCGCCGACGAGGGTCCTGAGTGGACTGGGCCGCCTCTAGGATGGCAAGCTTGCGAGCCTCATAGCTCTTGCGTCGTTTCTCGAGCTCGCGAATTTTGCTCTGAGTCAGGGACTGCAGGGTTTGCGAGAGGGCGGAGACTGCTGGGGCCATTGTGGAGCTGCACGATGCTTGACAGATAGTTTATCAAAGTCTGAGAGACGGATGTTGGCTGCCTCAAGCCCAGACCATATCCTCAATGATTTTATACTCCCCCAGCTGGCAGCTTGGCAGCACTTCTGCCTGCGCGGCTGCCTGGCGATCGGCATGCATCCACATTCCGCCAATGAGGCTCTTCGCCAGTCTACATACTATCTGCAAGGGATAAACAAACATGCCAGGGTCTCTTTTAACCATCCCACTAAGCTTCATTATCATCCAACCGTAGCCGCAGCCTTTACCAAAGAATGTAAGGAAACACGAAACCATCCCCATTGGACCTGCGCACAATGTACAGGGATAAATCCCCTACTAATGATTTAATCAATTCTCCAAACTAAACCTCGCCAATCCATCCACCCACTCCTGATGTCCCAAAAGCATCGGATTCGGCTTCTTCTCCGCCAACCCAGCAGCCGGCTTGCCCGCCTGCACCTCCTGCGTCAAAATCCTCACCACTCCCCACTTCATATCCTCCACTATCCACGCATGATACACCTCCAGGGCCGTCTCCTCGTCCCCTTCCTGCCATGCGCGCCACGCCAACCGGCCGGGTGAGTTTGCTGTGGGCGCTACGCATTCGCAGATCTCTGCTTGCAGGGGCGGGAATCCGAACGTCGCGAAGCTGAACTTGTCACCGGGGTTTTGGAACGTTGCGTCGCTGGTTGGAGGAGGTGTTACTTCGTCCACGTTGCTGTAGTAGGATGTCCATCGCGATGGGGTGATGAGGTTCGGCCATACCCGGGAGGCGGTTAACTGGGGGACGTAGATTTCGTTGGAGACGAAGTTTTCGGTTGTGCCGGGGAGGAAGCGGTGGGGCCAGTGGATTGTGGACATTTTGGTTGTTTGTCAAGGTTGGTGGCTGGGTGTATGTTTGTGTGGGTTGATTGCTGAGTAGGAAGATGAGGTTGTTGTTGGGGGTAGGGTTAGGATGAGTGATCACGATGTGCGATGTGGTTTCAGTGGAATAGTTTTGACTGTACAGATTGAAAGAAGGAAAAGTTATTAGGATGATTACAATCATGGGTTGAAAGTCGTCCTTATATCATGTTTGGAGAAATATTACATCATATACCCCACGGTGCTAATCGGTGGATCCGGCCGGCTATCCGAGTTCGACGCAACCTTATCGATACCATTTCATGGTTCTGTCTGTTCACTATTTCATGACGTTCCGCTCTTTAATTTGACACAAAGTAATATGTTGGCCCAAACGACTAGACATGGGTGCCGCCAAGTTACAGCTTAAGAAGTAGCTCTATGCCCGCCCGCTAAGACTAAAGGTGAGAGTCTTAGACTCACAACGTGAGACTAATCAACCCAAAGATATCCTTAACAGAAACACGTGAGAGCTCAGACAGATATTTCAGGAGAATAGAAAAAAACATTCTGGATTGTATGCTCCCCAGGATGGGAGAGCGCAGGTGTTTCTAGGTGAAACAAAATGTGATAGTAATAATTCCGTATATTATCGGTGTATAGATTCAACCGGAGGCCAGGGCTCAGGGAACAAGAAAAAGAATTCCTTGGGAGAATGCTTAGGCTGTAAGGCTGGAGACAAGCGGCGTGAGATTTTAGTGCGGGTGCTGGGTTCGCTAGGACCCTGTACCTCGGACAACTATGCATAGACCATCGGTTTGCTCTTTCCTAGAAAGGGAATGGTTTCATATCTAGTTACTGTTGGAGGAAGCTTGATGATAGATTGCTGTCATTGTAATGCTATTTGAATGGATATGTTGACGTCAGCTGTTAATCCTTGTCAGAAAGAACCATCCCATAGGCCTAGTCAAGCATAGTGGAGCTACCTACTATACAAACTAGTGCTACTAGTCTGAGATTTGTTTCACAAAGAATCAGAACCGAGGGTTCTCCTTCTTCCGTTCCTCCTCCACAAACGCCTCGAAAGCCGCAATCTCCTCCGGAGGAATGTACACATCCTTCCACAATTCCCGTTTCATCCGCATCACCACCTCATGCATCATCTCCTCAGTCAGATCGCTCGAACAGACCACTGTCATCTCATACTTGGTTGCACTGATGTTTTCGATTTCGTATGCCTTTGCCTTTACATGCTCCGCAATAGCCACGAAAACATCTTCGATCGGGGGTGGGAAGTCGGTGCATGTAATGAGAAATCCGGAGCCAGGTTTCAGAATGATCCATGTAGCTTTGATGAATGGAGGACCACAGATCACAAAGTACTTGTCGGCAATTTCTTCAATGATACCGGTAGTGGGATTTTGGAATTTTCCATCAACGATAGGCACCCTGTGAACAGGATGCCAGTTTGAGATGTACTTCATTTTTTTACTCGTTGAAGCCTGAGCTAGATTTGAGCGTTGATTTAAAAGGCAGTCAAAGGAAGAAAAGATAATGGTTTTTGGGCTATATCTTTTGGATGGGACAAGGAAGGGCGGCCTTCTATAAGACATTTTGATACTATTGATGACTGGCAGGTTTCCAGCATGACATAGACTCTGGCCTAATATCGACCCCTGTGAGACTGGAGAGCGGGGCTCATATGTCCACGACTACAGGCTCATTCAGAGGTAGCCCTTCTGGTCAAGCTTGAATCCCTGCTAAATGTCTTACTTCCCCTCTTTGTTCTTTGTTTATGACCAAAAATGCCGCAACTACCCCCTCCTGTGATGGCATAATGTAACGTTGGACTCTTGAGATCAAGTCAGACTCACAGTAGCGCAAAGGATAGATATATTGAGACAAGGTCCATTGCTGCCAGGAAATGCCCGATAATTGCCCCTACAGTAATAGCCTCCAGGACCCTGATTCGTAAGCCAACAGTCCACAGAGATTGTCAACAAATACACTGCCTAGAGATATCAACGAAACTCGATCTTAGTTACGGCTATTCTTCACGCAGTCTTTTGGTAAGCAGATTCAACAAGAAGTGATAGGCTTAACCTCACCAATAAATACCACCCTTTCACTCCATCTGAAGGCAAGAACCGGATCCACCGTTTACCAAAATCCCTTGCCTATAAATCGGCTTCTCAGTAGATCTGGCAGTATTTCTAAGCAATCCATCAATATTCTCCAAGATTCTGTTATACTTTTTGTCCGTCAGCTTTCCTCGCTGTTGTAGTCGAATTCACAAAGCAAGCAATGTGGCAAGACCGGGGGTTGCGGACCATCCGCCCGCTTCTGGCTTAGTCTCCATCCGTTGCACTAACCTTAATTTTCCTAGCGGGCACTAAGCCTTGTTTGGGAATGCCATGGCATTGGCTGGGGGTTCGCACCAGTACGATAAAAGTTAGACCGTAGATCAGGGTCTGTCGTGGCACGGTTGTCCCTGCGTGGTGGCCTCATTAACACATATCTGATGAGCTTCATGCCATCAAGGGATGAGTAACAGTTGTACTTAATTATAATCATACTATAAAACAACATCTTCTCCTACAGAGACATTGTTGGTAAAATAATACATATAACAACTGACAATTACTGAATGACCGAAGCAAATATAACCGCGTATCATGGTCAAAGATCGCGTATACTCCACATCTGCCACCGAATGTACAACACGACTCAAACAAACACCCAAAGACAATCGCCAGGGACAACAGCTACATTATTAAGCTGAATTAATCATCAAGGTCACCTTCTGGAAGATGCTGCGTGCAAAAACACTGTCCGAATCCAGCTTAGCCTCCGCTCAGAACAAGCGTGGGCGGAATCTAAACCCTTTTCGGATGATTTTGTAGACTGCCCCGTTTGTTCTTCAGCTTGGCTCTGCTCGATTCCATGGACAGAATACCCGGGGAAAAAGGTATATAAGTACAGACAGACATGGCATCCTCAGATCCATCTTTCAAGCTAACACTTTCCTCCTATCCTTCACTTGAGAGTTGTAAGACTCCAACGTCTCTGCCTTGACTACTTCTCTCCATTCTCATTACCTTCTCACATCACACACAATGGCTCCTCAACTCGCCTGGCTGGGCCTCGGTAACATGGGCCGCGTACGCTCTCCCCGTCCCCAATAACTTATTAACAGTCCACAACCTCTAACCTCAAAAACAGGGCATGGCCAAAAACCTCGCTGCCAAAGGCTCCCTCGCCACCCCCCTAATCATCTACAACCGCAACATCACCCGCGCCCAAGAATTCCAAGCCGCGACTCCCAACACCACCATTGCCAACACCGTCTCCGAAGCCGTCACCAAGTCCGATATCATCTTCACCTGTGTCGGCGACGACGCCGCCATCCAATCCATCATCGACGCCAGCATCGCCAGCGGCTCCCCTCTCACCGACAAGCTCTTCGTCGACTGCTCCACCGTCCACCCTGACACCACAACCTCCATCTCCGAGAAGCTTCAGGCCAAGGGTGCTCGCTTCGTCGCCAGTCCCGTCTTCGGTGCCCCTCCCATGGCCGCCGCCGGCCAAGTTATCCCCGTCCTGGCGGGTCCCCGCGAAGCCGTCGAGCAGGTCAAGCCCTACACGACTGGGGTTATTGCCAAGGCGGTTGTGGATTTCAGTGATCAGCCTCCGGCTAAGGCGTCGCAGTTGAAGATTCTTGGTAACACCTTTGTGTTGGGTATGGTCGAGAGTATTGCGGAGGGATTGGTGGTTGCGGATAAGTGTGGACTGGGCACGGATGCTCTGCATCAGTTCTTTGAGGCTGTGTTCCCCGGCCCCTATGTGGCTTACTCGGCTAGGATGAGGTCCGGTGATTATCATGAGCGGAAGGAGCCGTTGTTTGCGGTTGACCTGGCTCGGAAGGATGCTCGTCATGCGATGGATTTGGCGGGTAAGGTGGGCGCTAGGATGAAGGGAATTGAGTTGGCCGATGACTACATGGCGAAGGTTAAGGAGCATATGGGTGAGAGGGGAGATGTTGCGGGTATGTATGGCGCTGTGCGCCAGGAGGCGGGATTGAAGTTCGAGAATGCTCAGTAGCTTGATGTTGAGCCACCTCTTCTGTCTACGGGGCCTTACATCTTACCTACCAACCAACCAACCAACCATCATCTTGAGATCTAGATAGACCATATACGTATACTTGAATCCATTTCTGCCCTGTTTCTTGAGCGTTAATGTGGTTCGACGAGCTAGCTGAATTGAGCAGGTCGGTCACCTTTGTCTTCTCACCTTTCATCACCACATTGTAGCATTCCATCGATTTGACAAATCCAAGTCATTTAAAGTGCTCCCCGTATTTTGCTACCCATAATCCACATATACCTACTATACTCTCTGACGAATGGCTCGCAGAAAATCCAATGAAGATGCCAGTCTTATTAGAAGATTCATACGACGAAGAATTCTCTCCCTTCTGAGGACTGAGAAAGTTCATTTATGCCCATTGCATGTGTCAAAACAAGAAAAAGGAAAATATTAATGTGGATGATCAGAACCTAGCAACGAGGCATTCTCAGTAAATTATGAGATCAATATTACCAGGCAAGAAATTGCCAAGAAGAGGGCGAGACTCAGTGAACTACAAGCCGAACTGAGAAATAGACCATCTGTCAGTGCATAAGGCTTTCTGCTTATGATCATTTTGGCTAATGACAAATGTGGTGAAACGATAGACACCGGTAGAGGACCAACATAACACGACTATCGCTTTATATATCGGAAACGTTGGGCTATAGTTGAGATTATAATCCATAAGTCTGGGAGGGAGAATACTTGGGTCTTTTAGGATATGTTTCAACAACAATTATTCTAGTAGTGTTTTATTGGTTGTGATGCTGTGTAGAGAAAATGAGGACGAGAGACACTGTAAAACAGAAGGCCACCGTTCGGAGTAGCGGAAATGCTCGTAGATATAACCCTGAAATGCTCCATAACAACTAACACAGGTCTATTAATTGATTTATTGACCACCAGAATGATAAAATAAAAGAGAAAAACATACAACAGAAGGGATTCGCTGGTGGTCACCCACCCAACTACTAACCTCCCGGCGTGTGGCTTAAGTACGGCTGAGCGGACGGGAAGCCCTGTTTTCCACACCCTGTGGTCGTATGTACTCATTGCTAGTCATGTCTGGGTTATATTCTGCTAAAAATATTACAGAAGAAGAATGTTCTTGGCCACCGAGCGGCGCCCCAGATGGTCTGTCGCTGCTTCCTGGTATCTCATTTTTACTATTATTGTTGACATCGATCGACTCAACACTAAATCTACGTTGTTCGTAACAACGTTCAATACATCACGCTTTCTTCAGCTTTATGCCTTCATGGGCTCATCCTAGACCCTGGGGCTCGCTGGACGCAGTAGCTGCATAGATTCTCCTCGCTGACTACCCTGAACCAATATATTTTATATTATAAGGCGGACAATATTAACAGAAAGATTCAGGCATTTGGGGTAGCATTTGGCTTTCATACTTGTTCTATGGCTTCAAATCAATTGCTGACTGGTTCACAACCGGACCCGACGAGACAAATTGCCTCCCGTATATCGGCACTGCTCGTTGCGTTCCGATCAGCCGGATATATTTATTACCTCGCGGCATCTCAACTTCCTGAGCCGCTGAGCCCGACATATCAATTTCTGTTCTTGGTTAGACAGGCGTTCATAGTTTCGTTTTGCAGCTTCTGGCTTTGCTGTACTCGTCGTTCCTTTGTGAGGATCTTATTCTGGCGGGATTTTGGGAGCATGGAGTGGCAGGCTAGAGTGGTGAACTGGGATAAGAAAATCCTTCAACGGCTACTAAGGATGCGCCAAAGGACCCTCGCCACAACGAGACAAAGGTAGATGCCCCGCATAGCCTACGGAGTGGGATACAACCAAGTGGATTTATCACCTTTGTTATCATATGATAATCATAAATAACAGTCCCTCTGGCTCTCTTCTCAATGTTGATCCCATTAAAGCCAAGGTTACTCGTCACTACGGCCAGTTTTGAGAACATACACAAGATGACGTATGAACGGCAAATCGCACCACATTCGCCTACCTATTGCGAGCGAGAATTTGCAAAGACGTGAGTGGTGCATATCATCATAAATATTGGGTATATTCTCCACGCGTCATTCCCTCTTTTTCAATCAGTAACGAACTGTATTGGAGATGGCTAGCCTATGGCCTGGAACCGAGAGCAAATATTGGAAAGAAAGATTGAATAACACTGTCCGGTAGGGTGTAGTTTCCTGGTTCAGACTATGGCTCTGGGACTGTCATCATTGTTGTACAAGGGCCCATCCAAGCAACGTCATAATCCGCCGTAGAGACGATGAACCTAATATATGCATAGGCGGTTGTGGGCAGATTATTTCCTTCATTATATCCTAAATTCCTAGGTATCACGTCTACGATATCTAGTAAGGTATCGTCCATAAAATTTGCTATCCCTAGGCGCCGTTCGCAACCCTCCCTCTGGCAGCGGGGAGATAATATTGTGGTTCAAAAACACTATCACATAACTATATCATCAGAGTTAGTAATCGTCAACAGCCGCAATGTGGCATATACGGTCAACATACTGCGATGTCTTGGTAGACGGTGGTCCAAAAGATATCCTGGGCGCAATTCTAACTGATCGATCCATTCGTAAAGCTTAAACTCGTATTGATCTTATAGACATAGATGTCGTGGGAGTACAAATTGCGCAAACCTATCGCGCTTTCCAAAGGATCCATTCTGGAAAATCTATGCTGGCGATGTGCAATCCACCGCATACGGAAGAAGCCAATAGTGGGAATGGTGTCGCGCAAAGTATTCAAGAAGCGGCGCCAGAGAGTGGACATGGCCTCGCGTAGCTCTGGTGAAGGATCCATCCCTACGGGGATGGGGTCATCAAAGCTGACTGCGATCAGGGTCAGAATCTGCAGGGTAGGGGCAGCCGTGCGCAAGAAGAGTTGGAAGCTGGGCTGACTGGGCTCGACCCAGCGAAGATGGAGCTCCGAGAAGCAGGTGAAACGGACTTGTTGGGCCAGGCCAGTAAACAGATTCGAGCTTAAATTATAGAATTGATCCCACAGACCAAGCCGGAGGATGTGAAGATTCGGAGCAGCCCGGATAACGAGACAAGGAAGAGACTGTTGTAGCATTTTAATTTGAGGGTCCGAGACGAAGTTCCAGGTCTCCTAGCTCGGGAAGAAGGAATTGCAGGATCTCGACTCTAGAAACTGCAATTGTTCCTTAATCCAAAGCCCGATTCTGGATTTATTCGGGACAGCGATGCTTACCTAGGCACCCATCCTGGGTAGAGTCACTAGCATGATAGCCGTAGGATTCATCTCTATGCAAATGAGTCACTCATGCATCCGTGCAGCTACTGGTGCTATATGGCGCCGAGCACGTGCATATGCTGCGAGACACAGCCTTCACGCACGCCAGTGGGGAAATTGAGCCTATATTTTAATCGAACGGTCAGAGTGCGCATTTGTCTGTCCCAATCACCCAGTCGAGGACTGCCAAAATAAATTCACAAATAGAGCGGCTCAGTGTGTATGCAGCCTCGAAAGGGCAATCACTAAGTGAACACAGTATTTCTCGAGCAGTCGTGGATTTTTGTAAGGCATATTGAGCGCTTTCGGTCGGGTATTTCTCCAACTATCGTTGAAGGCTTGTAAAGGGTGGTATGGAACCCCAAAATAACAAGGATATCGCTCTCAGCTAGAAATGAAGCCTGAAAAATGTGATAGAGATTTTGATGTATTGGCGATACTCCAAATCTTGCCTTCGCAAAACTGAGAGAATCCCACGAAGACCAGGTAAGCTAGCTCGTTCTTTCATCTTACAAATGGGGCGTCGACTTTTCGACTGGATCAGGTAAGGAACATCATCAGCTTCTAGCATTAATGCAAGGCTTCTCGCTTTTCAGTTCAGCTTATGTAACTAGAAGCCTGATTTCCCGTGATTCACTCGTATCCTCTAGCCGCCCGTTTCGTGTGTTCTCCTCCAGGCAATAACCTTCTTCTACCATACCGTCATCCTCAGCCTTTCTACTAACTTTGCCAACCTTCTCCATCAAAGATAACACACAATGATTCGCTGGCATGATCCGAGCTGCAGACGACCAGCTGTCAGTGTGGCAAGTGGTATTCCATGCTGCAATTACTGCTTTGCCATTGCAATCGTCGAGCAAGAAACAATAGTCACAGATTCATCGGTGCCGCTAAACAAATCCTCTCATAGTTCTCCCTGGCCATCATGCCTCATTTCAGGTAGCCAAACTATATCAAAGAGAAGCACACAACATGGAGAAAGCGAATTCCGAACAGACTCTCAAGAGAGCTTATTCCCAACACTGCCCTCCGAAGATCACATACGGCTTGTCAGATTAGACGCTGGTCGTATCGATGGCCTGCTTCATGTTGACCTGGAAGTGGTGCACATTTACAATCAACCGGCTCAATTATTTGAAATCTTGTCATATACCTCTGCGAATGAAAGCGAAGGCTCTGACAGTTCCCATATTGTCTTTGTAGGCAAGTACTGGGACATTGTTTACGTGTCATACAACTGTCAACAGGCGCTTCGCTTTTGTCGGAACCAGGATTTTGACCGACTCTTATGGGTGGACTTATTATGCATTGATCAGGCAAATCTCAAAGAAAAAAGTCAGCAAACCTCCTTGAGAAGAGAACTTTGCCTGAAGGCGTCTAAAGTTGTCGCCTACTTGGGAGAAGAAACTTCCGACGGTAGAGAAGCTTTGGAATTTCTCAAGAGCATGGCTATAACTGTCCAAGAAATGAGAACTGGCCATGAGCATATCAACGAAGTTAATCGAAGAGCTTTGAGAATCCTTCTAGAAAGACCATTGTTCACCCGATTATGGTTTCTTGTTGAAGTATTATTAGCTCGGAACCTTGAGTTAGTTTGCGGTGCACAGTCAGCTCCATGGCCTAAGGCGCCTTTTGCGCTGGCCCATGAAGATGTTCCTATACCTGACTGGTTGTTCAAGGGAGAAAAGTGGTACGGACTTACTGATCGTGATCTCTTACCCATACTATCCCAGACATCATCTTACAAGTGTTCCGATCCGCGGGACAAGGTGTTCGCGGTGCTTAGCTTGATATCCCAGAGTGAACTTGACCCCGACTACACTGTTTCCGTTGAAAAGATATACATCGGTCTAGCTGCGTACCTTATCGCAGTTTGCAGTTCGATGGATGTTCTCGAATTCGCTGGTTTAAATGTGAAAACATTCGACGTCCCCTGCTGGGTCCCAGACTGGTCCCAAGCATTATCCACGTTCAGTCAAGTCCTTTCTGCAAGCGATCAAGACCTCAATCGGAAACGTAACAAACTCCCAGGCGCACGTCATGTGCTATTTCATGATTATCTTGCCTTCAAATGTGAAAGTCATCTGAGCGTGGCCACGCCAATCCTGCGCACTTGCTCTATCAGGATCTGCGGGTTACAGGGCAGCATCAAACGGAATCGAGGTTATGTACACATCAGCATGGCACTTGACAAAAGAGCTACTCTGTTTGTTTCCTTCCTCGATAGAGGGTATGAAGAAGGGCCCGATAGCTTGTTTCTTCTGGGTGGGTGCAAAAGCCCTGTCATTCTCAGAGAAGGCTCTGCTCCTGGCTCTTATCTTCTCGTATCGGCCTGCGCCCTTTCGCTCGGACGACCTCCCTCCAATTGGCTGCTCCCTTGGGCCAGCAGTAGGGTGACTCAACAGATCAGCATCTTAAGACTATCCTCTGAAGAGAAGAGCTTGATTCGTGAAGTTCATCTGGTTATAGAGCAAACTAGACGGCAATCTGTCGCCTTAGATGATACAATTCCTGTGCCCTTCTCCAGTGCCAGAGACAAGGTCTTCAGCTTCTCTTTATGCTTATTCACGGGATTACCAGAGCTCGACAGGCAGTTATGGCGCACATGGGAAAAATTTAACACTGAACTTGGTTGGATGTTCCGTGACCAACAAGCAACATGGCTGCTTCTTCAATTGCTCAATAACTTGGATGCTGCCGAAATACAAGGGCAAGGCCAAATCAAAATAGACAGGTGTTATGAGTTCCTCGCGTTGAAATATTCCGGGGTGGAATATCCTTCAACATATGCATGGGATCTGAGTCGATTTGTCTGGTCGTTTTTAAAGCGCCTGGACCCGGAGCAAGCGACCCAGAAACCACAATGCACTCCAACTCCAATCCTAAAGATTATGATGAAATCTCTTCTCCAAATTCAACAATGGGCAGCAACAACGGAACAGTTACTGAAGATATTTGAATATACTCAGACTGTGCTCGGCTCCTGCTGGGAATCATTCCCTGGTAGCCACCTGCCTCAGAAGTGGGTTGGTAACTACGAGAACTTCAACAAGGCCGTTGGGACGGATCTACATCAAAACATAACGGACTTAAGACCATCATTAGATTTATCCTGTCACTGGGACATACAAGAGTTCGAAGACAATGCCAGAGCCAGAGATCGTTTATGGGATGTCGAATTACCTCCCGAACTAGAACCCACAATCGATAATAACATGGCGGTGCATGCAGGCTTCAGGTCCTTAGGACTCGAACTATATGACGAGCGGATAATCGATATCGTGTGAGCCGTTGACCTTGTTCTAATACTTCTCCCCAAATTAAAATTCCGCGTCTTTGTCGAAATCACTAAGTTCCTATGACTTATTTCCTTCTCATAATGGTGGCTCGTCTGTCACTCTTGATTTATTAATTCATTCTGCTGTCAATAACCACTTTACTAGCTATAGGTTCAGTCAAATTAGCTAGAACACAGAGACAGATGAATGGCTAAACAAGACCAATGTTGGTCTGACCAACACGCATCATGTTTCCTTTTCCTGCCTTCCCCCCCTTTTTTTTTCCTCCTTTTTTTTTTTTTTTTTTTTTTTTTTTTTTTTTTTTTTTTTTTTTTTTTTCTCTATTTTCTCTCTCTCTTTTTTTTCCCTAATGATTGTTCCATCTGTCTCGTTCCCCCAACCCATCCTGCCGTCGGCGACCGCTTCGCAGGCTACGGTGTCATTCAGCTTAGGTAGGAGACAGAGATAGAGGAACGGCTGGAGCTAAACTACATGATGAATAATATTTTACAATGAGTTTTCATGTTTTTTTTTAAATAAGTTGTTACACTGATTATTCTTTTACTAGCAATATGTATCTGATTATGAGCTCTACGATCGTAGATGTGAATTTCATGAATCTGATTTGCGTGTGGGGACTTGTTTTCAGTAATAGTATACGATCGTTGATTATTACATCAATTTGAATTTGAGCTGCACTGAGCTGGTCTGACTGACGGATAATGCTCTGAGGTCCCTTTCTGGGCTCCATTTCTTCTAGGGTTGTGAGTATCTAGTGCACCCGCTTCTTCCAGGGTTTGAATCTTATGCTGATCGTGCTATGCAGTGATTTACCCACCTTTACCTACGACTGTCACCCAGAATATGACTATACAACCGCCTCTTCACCAATACAACGATCATATGTTTCCCAGGAAAACCCCTTTATTTTGAGCTGTAACTTATATCAACTTGCATCCTCCCACTTCAATCCGCGCTTCCTATTCTCCCGCTTCGTCCTGTCTAGACTCATGTAGTGTGTGTCATACTTGGTAAGAGCAGTGTGGATCTGCTGTGGCAAACCTACGAAGTCCCTCCTGGTATGTCTCCTCGGCTTTTGTTTCTATCGACTTCCCTAATTCCGACGAATGTATACTGCCAGGTCGCCAAAGTGCTTATCATAATCAGGAAATTCGAATTCTTCATAGATGTTCCGTAGGCAAGTCATCACACGTGGAGAGGCAGGGTCGGCCCTGTACAACGATAAGTCTGCGCATGCTGAAACTTGAGAAGGGTGGTAACTCACGAGTGATCATCATCATCTTCATTCCTCAATTTGTCCCATATGAGGACGGCAGGTCGAGCTAGATCCAGAACAATCTGCCTTACGGGAATGTCTGGGGCGCATGAGAATACCACCGTGGAATCATCAATTTCAAGAAATCCGTCAGTGTCTTCCAGAATCGTGATTCCAGCCTCTTCAGCGGCGGTGATATCAACTATGTTGCACATCGGGTCTTGGGCAAAACACGGAATAGATTGCTGTGCTATATTTTGCATATTGCAAGATATATCACGCAGAGTCAATAGAAGGGCATGCTGGAAAGCTGATCGATCTTGCAGACTAGGGTAAACGGTTGCGAAAGACCCGAGCGCAAGCCCCACAATCCTGGATATAGAGATATCCTTTCGTGACATAAGTATTGCCCGAAGAGCTTGACACTGTGCGGTGTTCTCCCAGATACGCGAACTTCTTCGAAGAAGCTCGCTTGCATCAGGTACCGAAGCCACTGAAAGGTCTGAGTAAAGCTCCTTGGTGTGAATATTCCGCAGAAAGCGATAATGACCGATCTGGATGTGATTGTAGGCCAGATTATCATCCCTCAGATCGCAATCTTGAAGCAGTTCCTGCACAGATAAATATTCAATGCAGGGGTTTCGGCTTCACAATTTAGGGTTAGTGATTAAAGCACTCTTACTACGTTGCAACACCGGGTAAATATGAATCAGACAGAAGAAAGAAATCCAAACACAAACACTTACACGATTAACTCCATTCCTTGCTCTGGTGTCGGGAAAACCTGCCCTGTCATTACCGGAAACTCAACAATAACCTCATCCACTCCGGGCACACGGATAGTTTGAATGATCCCATCACGAGCACCCCGGAGTTGCTCTTTGATACACTGGAGTAAATCCTTGGTGTAGAAGGGCCTGCCAGAGTCATATAACGACTGGATATGGGATATTATATCCTGGACGGGGGGTAGGGGCGATGGATCTGTACGCGTTGCGAGCCCCACCAGAGTCCGAAGATGCGTGACTGCTACTTCCATGTTGTCTTTGCGAGTCAAGTATGATTTGCACTGCGAATATCCTCAGTGGGCAACGAAGGGATGTCAAAAGAGACAAGATAGCTCGGCTGCAAATAGGGATCATGCGGCAGTCCCCTGAGAATCTAAGGACAATACGACAGATGTCGATGATATTATTCTCGGGTAGTAAATTATCCCCTCCGAAGCCCTGTGAGCTATCTTATGGCTTTAATATAGTTTCACAGACAACACTGCCTTTTACCTATATCTTGGTCATGCCGCCAATGCTAAGGCACGCAGATGAAACGATATCGCCGGGACAACTTCCTCCTCGAACATCTACATCCAGGCGGGATTGTCCTTATTAGCTGTCATCGTCTCTTACCTGGAAGGAGGGCAGGTAGCCATAGTAGAGAGAATTTTGAGATGACGCGAAGGCTTCCACGGTGATTGTACGCATCTAGCACAGGAAGGTGAGGTTGACTATTGGGAAATTCCTTCCTACAAAGGAAGTGAAAAGTTTCAGGAAAGGTACGAATCATTGTCCAGATCCCTAGCATTGATAAGCACCCTATATTACGAGCAGGGATTCCATCAGGCTACGGAACTATCCTAGAGATGACAGCCTATGCAGCACATGCTGCATTTAGAGTACAATGAAAGACCATGGTACCAAGGCAAGATAGTAGCCTCATCACTGCCTGCTATTTTCTTTCAGTAAGTGCTTTCTTCCGGATAGTCGGACCCAAGTACTAATTTGACTGTGATACAGAATCTTCAATGGATAACAATACATCAATCAACCCCATTACCTCCATTTGCGGGATTTCACTTGACGCAGATGCATAGTGCTGAGGGCTTCCTGCGGGCAGGCACTTGACTAACTCGTTGGAGATGTTTGTAAGGTACGAATATAACTGTATCTTCCGCTGTTGTTCATTGACGGTTCATACTCATATGAGTACAGATGCCACTCTGTTCCATTGGGTACAAAGAAGGCAGTGTGCCGGTGAGATCTTGGTATGCTACTCTTATCCTCGCTCTTGTACTAAGATTTGGACACGTGAAAATAAGAAATCCTCGATGGTCTAACGGTCATGATTTCCGCTTGTCAATCCCTCTCGGGAACAAGCGCGGGAGACCTGGGTTCGACTCCCAGTCGGGGAGATTTCTTTTTTCGTTTTAGTTTTTCAATCTCTTTTTCACCCTTCTCGGGTTAAGGTTTTGATGTTGATGCATTGTTTGTTATAGAAGATATTTTCTCTGGGGTATTCGAGATGTTTCCATTGAAGGTGAAGACATGTCTGGTCTAAAGTTCTTATAGTATAATATGGGTTGGATGGTGGTAGAACCAAAGTTCTTCGTATCATGCATTATGTGTCATGTAGAGAATCACCATCTTATAGATATGTTTGAATATCCAGATGTAGGATAATTCTTACCGTCTCATAGAACTTCGGGGCTCCCTCTCTATACCAACATCTCTAGCGAAACACAAGGAAACAAATGCAAATATGGGACATATATCGTGATAACTGAACAATCATATTGATGAGACATCGTCACATCATGGCAGTCTGCATTTTCCATGGTTGTAGTTATAGTCAAACGCCGAAAGGATACCAATCAACTGAACAACTGTGGTGAGGGCGACCAGAACATGAAATACCTGATGAGAGCAGCCGAATATGTCAAACCTCCCGGGCTTGATTGATTCCGGAATGCGCATCTAGATCAATCATTAGTATGGTATCTTGCTTCTGTGTCAGGGTACTAACAGTATAAAAAAGTGCACCTAGAATAAGAAGCCCTCCTTCGCCGAGGTAGTATGGCATGCCAGACTGCACCATCATTTTAGCAAAACCAAAGACGCTGATACCGTGAATCAGAGGCGCGAAGCCAGATAGTCCAGTGCCGACGAAAGTGCAGACACGGAAGGTGCGCCAACGGGGTCCTTGAAATTTGGGGTTCACGAGGATCATTATTGTAATGCAACTCAGTGAGATGATCTTCCAAAATCCATTAGCTTTGTGTACAAAGCACTGGAGTGATCGACCATACCATGCCCCAGTATAATCGTCTCAACAGAGGCTCACAGTAGAATACCATATAAATTCCCGAGACAAAATCTCCTAGGGTCAGGACGATAATACCAACAAAGTCGAGTCGTAACCATAGCTCAGAGACTTGGAGGGAGTGATTCATTAGTGTGTGATAGGTAGTTGACAGACCCAAGCATATAACAGCAGTCAAGAGGAAGAAGGCAAAAATTGCGTGGTCGGATAACGTGGCTTCGGGATATTTGACTTGAAGATGCTGATAAAACATGCCTTCTGCTGCGAGGAAGAAGACGGCGGGAACAAGATGCGAATAGATGTTCACGGTTTCATTGTGCAGATACAGCCAACTGGCAAAGCATGCATGAGTGGAATTAGAGACGGGTCGATAGCCATGTCGAATAAACTCATTGTCTTGATACCATTCGGGGATTTCGTCATAAGAGACAAGGATGGGGGCACCATCATTGAAGAGAACTTTCTCGGGAGTTGCTGGTTCTTCTGCGAAGGCTCCCGGGGGAAGAGAAGGCTTCCGCTGGCGCGGGAGTGTTTCCGTTATCGATGGACTGTCCGCAAATGTGGCTTGCATATTGGATGTTGTGTCTTTTCAATTTGAGAGCAGAATGTACAAAGAGCTGAGAATGGTTGAGCGGACTGAGTGAAGATTGTACTGGATGGATAATTTCGGCGAGGAATTGAGCTGGGAAGACCCGGCCGACTGAGAGGGAATCAGGCCTGTCACCCCAGGCGCTGGGAGGAAGAGTTGGGGGGTGCTTCCCAGGAGGGGCTCATGCAGGATGAGGCCCACGAGCCTATCACAGGCGGACGTGCACGAGAACCGACAGGGGTTGATGCTTCTTCAGTGCCTGGGTCGGGCGGCACAGGGTCTTGCCATCACGACACTGGAATTGTCGGCCCTTGCTATCGTAGTCTGTTCTGTCATGACGAGCCTCTGTTGGCTCCACAAGCCTAGCGACGTTCGAACTCCAATCAGACTAGAGCTTCATGTTAGCATAGAACAGATACGTAGGGAAGCCGGCGACCATGCGATGGAACCGTACAAGCAGACACCACTTGATTTCATCGAGGACCTACTCCCAAGTTGGTCCTTGAATGTACAGCTTTTCATGAAGATGCCTGTCGCACCCTTCGAACGGCCATTGCCGCGTCTTGGCAACGATAGACTTCCTGACCTGAAGGGCTATCAGGAAGTAATACTTTGTGTTGCCACCTTGTTGTATGCCTCGATTCATCTCATCGGCTGGAATTTCGGGTTCCCCACCAGGGCAGAGCTCATCCTCTGGCGGGTATGCAGCATGTTTCTGTTCGGAAACACGGTTGCATTTTGGGTCTTCGAAACGTCAGCTGCCTGATATTGGATAGGACGCTGGCGGCGCTTCTTCTGCAGAATCTTCTGGAAATCTAAGCTGGCAGATGTGGAGCAAGCGCGACTGACAAGGGAATCTGCCAAGGTCCCCAAGGAACTGCCACTGAAGGCCGAATTCTGGAGTATATTTCCCCCTTGATTGCACGTATGCTGCTGCAAGACTATACTTGATCGTCGAGGCTTTCGTTGGGGCTAAGAGATTTGGAAGTCAGCGCTTATCACACAGTGGATTGGGCGACATTTCTGCCTCACCTCTGAAGACATGGAACATGCTTTAGCAACAAATGCGTACCATCTGACTCCTAATTTCCGGCTGATCATCGGGGTATTTTCTTTTCATCTTCTATTTCCTTTTCTCTATATTTTCTTATTTTGATTTCTGTTTCTTCTTCAGGTTGAGTTCTATCGATGACGAGTCATGTCAGTTTGACATGTTTTAGTAGAGATGCTGGTGACATCCAGCCGAATGAAGCTTCGAAACCGCGCGACCGCTGGCGGATAGCGCAGTGTACCTTCCTTACTAATCAGACTATTATCGTCCTCCTAGACTTCAGTAATCTCTCATTATCAGTATCATCCAATAAAACTCATACAAAAAGCAACATTATTGACTTCAGTCGCGTCAATAAAACCCAAGCTGACATCTTCGACTCGGGGGATGTATGAGGTGTAAAGCCGGCCCGACCGCAATTTTGTTCCGCGCGGCATCGCGCGGCATCAGAGGAACAGAGCACGACATGTTTGACCGAGATTCGTCTCGGTTATGCAGGTGCGGCCAAGGAGGGGGTGGTGACCTGCATGCAGGGATGGTCGGGAACTGGCGGCCTATCGCGGTTCAGGCTGAATATCAAATTAGCCGCTGCAAGAGCGGCATTGTTATCGTCGGCCCGAAGTTTTCTATTCCAACCACGGAGTTGGTGGGATGCCAAGTGGCTTGGGAGCCGAGTAAGCAATTGCGAGTCATAAGGTGCATATTAGGATAATTGGCTGTTTGAGGGCTTGTGAAAGGATATGTTGTGCGACCGTATGTGCAACGTGGTGCTGGTGCTGGTGACCATCTGGTGAGTCACTGGGATTGCCGGGCTCGTGGACCGGCAACACAGAAAGAAAACCATACTTTTCGAAGAGGAAAGGTTGATGTCACTGACAAAAATAGATTCTGAAATCTAATCTATGGGTCTTCTATACTCTAACTGGTATCCATTGCTGAGAAAGAACAAAAGCACGCTATAACTCCAATCCCAGACAAGTGAACAAAGGAAATAGTGACAGGCACACATTACTTCCGAACATCGTGGTCGTTGAAGCCCGCTTCAAGAACATGATAGGGGAAGGTACATCGAGATTAATGAGAGTGAAGGAGATAGTGATATGGACTTCACAACCAGAAGCCGGCGTCAGGTCAAGGCTCTCGACCGGATGAGAGCGCGCTAGTCTCGAACGGACTGGCGGGATGAATAGGACTGACAGGAGACTCTGACGGGCAGTCTGGGTGACGGTGAAGCACCATTGATGTGGGCGCGGGTACCCGAAATGGCGTGATTACCACAAATAGAGATGGATATCATCATACTATGGGTAGCGAAGGTTGGTGGCGAAACCGATCAGCAGTAGTAGTGGGAGGTTTAAACCGAGAGACGAGCAGGCCAAGAGATGGACGGGGCTTCAAGTGACAACGGTAACTCTAGACTGTGCCAAATGCACGTTGTTCTTGCGAGGGAAGAGCTTCTCCAAGCACTTGCGACCCTTGTCGAGCAGACTCGATTTCTCGCTGGGTTTGGGTGACACCGTCACCCGTGGGGCTGCTGCGGCCTTGGAGCTGCTGCGGGACGATCGGCGCGACGGTGGCGGCGGGAGGACTTCGTGATCGAGGAGCTCCTCGTCGCTGTCATCATCCATGGCCATTCCCATGGAGCGGATGTGGACGCGAATGTCTCGCTTGACCATAGCCATGGACTTGGCGTGGATGTGGGCATGGCTGAGGCAGCGACGGAGATCAGGTTCCTTGGCACTGCTTTCCTGGTCATATTTCTCGCCGGAGAGCAGGCTGAGACGGAGATGCAATGAGGTTCTTTCCAACGGAGAGGGTCGTCTAGTACGAGGCGCGGGGGATGGTGATCTGGAAAAGCGGGAGGAGGAAGTGTAGGACATTGTATGGTCTAGCGTAGTTCTGTTATGCCTCTCTGCTGCGTGTGCTAATGGAGGGGCAGATGCGCAGTCCCGCACCCGAAGTGGGAGAGGGAAGGGCGAGAGTATCGAAAAGTCCGGAGAGGAAGAGGAAGCTTTGGCTTTGGCTTGTCTGGATGTCAAAAGAATTCTCTCCGAGCTGGTCGGGGAAGGTCTATATACATTTGGACAGGGTGGAGGATGAGCAAGCTTGATAACCGCCAGGTCATGGGACAGGAAAACCTGGTGGGCGAACGCTCTAGAACTCGGTCTGCCAAAGCCAAATCGGCGTCACGGTGGATCGCCCAGTGGAGACCGACTGTTCCAGCCCGCAATTCAGGCCGACAAACACAGCCCAATCGCGGGTCCCTCCTGGCGAACCTGCTCTTTCTGCTGTTCCTGAGACGCGTCTGATGATGCAGACAACTTGGAGCCAATGGGCTGCGTGTGAACAATGCATCTGGACACGAAACAATCACACCCAAATGGAATATTATACAATTTTGAAACAAAAATCGTAATTGTAAAAAGGGACCGCATCAGCCGTTGAATCATGGCGAAAGACCGCCGATGTTCCAGAAGCCCATCCAATCAGTCCGTGCACGGGCACGTGGGACTGATAAGCTCGCCGGCTTTTTCTTTTTGTTGGCTTTTCTTTTTCTATTTTAATTTTTGTGTCTGTTTTGTTTTTGTCCGTCTTTTTTCTATTCTCGGATACTTGGTGGAGATTTCTGTCACCGTCTCAGTTTCTCGACTCGCTTGTCACAGTCACACTCACAGTCACATTCAATCATTGATTTGATTTTATGGTTCCCTCCACTTTTCCCCCCCAGTCTGGATTGTCGGAGATCACTGGTGACACATCCAATTCGTACCACCACAGCCTCCACGACGTGCTCTGTACATAGAAACATCGTACGTACCCTGGTGGCGATCCTTCCCACCATAACCGGTGCTATCCGCAGATCCCATCACGTCTGTGGCAAATGCGACCGCCGGCTTATCTTGCGTGATAAGACGCTAACGTGGGCGATCCTGTTGACCAGGAACTCCCGTCATAGGGCCCTGACAATCCTTGTCTCCTGTCTATCACGATCGATTTCATAGAACGGTCGCAGACCTGTCGCTCACCCTTTGGGTCGCTTGTGACTGACTGACTAGCAATGTCAATGCTTCTGTGCTCTGCATATGCACTCCACTCTTTTACATCACATGAATGTCACCAATGAGGGATTTCCATCGAGGTTATCGCTGGACAGATATCCTGATTAAGGGGAAATGTCATCCAATTACGAGCTACCCACCATCTGCAATAGATGCTGTCGCGAGCAGAGGCCATAGCTCCAATGTTGGGCATTCATGACTTTTTTCAAAACTATAGCTATTCATGCAAGTTTCAGGCTAACACAACCATCATCAATTCATCTCCGTGCACCACTACTCGGTCTTCAATTTCTGGTTTCTACCCATCGCGGTCGTTTTGCGCGCCAACGCGCCCGGACCATGGGCGTAAAAGGGGCGAGAAAAGTCAGTCAGCGCAACAAAGCCAGGGCCAAGCAGCCGGAAAATCGAGGTGGCTGGGAGGGAAAGAGGGGTGCCAAAGGCAATAGTGCGCGAAAATTCCAAGAAATGTTTGTTTGGCATTTTCTGTTCTAGTCTTTAGCTCTCTTGCCCCTCTCTGTCCCTCTCACACACACTCTCTCCTATTCTTCCGCGCCCCTCCCAGGAGATTAACCTCTAGGTTTTTGATCCCACAAAAATTTTCTCGAGGTACTAGTCTCACCGTCTTACCATTGGCTCGTACACTATCTCCTATCCGGTGTCCTGGAAATGCGCCACTGCTGCCGTGGATGCTTACCAGTCGGACCCCTCGGGTAGGAAAACTTTATTGGAGTTGCATACTGAATGAGGTGTATGTTTGCCATAACCACCCACCGCACAGGCACTTCACATTCATCAACACTCAAACGCTTACGGTCTATTGACTGGTCTAGAATTCCCTGTGATTGCTGATAAGCTCTGTCTGCAGCAGTGTCTAAAGAATCTCCTGCGATGCTGATAGGCTTGTTGGCCCCACGTGCCTAGACCAACCGCCGCGAAAGAGGTCAATCTCCAGGCATCCTGTCAATGAATTGGCATGGCTTCGGGATTTGACCATGTCGCACAAATGGGAAGATGACACGATCGGGGATTGACCGCCGAAATTAACGGTGTGGGCTCCGGCTCAGTCATATCGCGCAATATCTCTCAGGCCTTCGAGTGGGTTCCCTGAAGGATTGCCGGCTAGTCTTTGATAAAGGAAATTTTCGATCATCCCAGGCCTCTTAAAGGGGCTGATAGCCAACGAGCGCATTGGATCTCGGTTGTCATTGCACTTGTGCGTCGGCTTGCCGACATATGTCGCCTGATTGTTGCGACACTGATGATGTCCGTCAGGAAACCAATTACGGTGGTTTCCCTGCATGGATGCCAAAGTTCAATTGACTGTGGCGGGAATATTCCATGTGACCATCAATTTAACCCCCTCCAGCAGTGGAGACTTTGGGAGTGTCTCGTCATCAAGGAGGGTAGCAAATTCAATAGACTGGCGGGTCTTGGAGATGATCCTCCCTAATATGTATGCATGTTCATGCTGCCATCCCTGTTTTCAAACCTGCCTGGGCATCACCCAGGCTTGCGGGTCTTTTTCCAGTCGCTGTCCTCGGCAATTAAATTTTGAACCCAATGGTGTAATCCGTCACTTGCGCGGCGTCTTTGTGAGTATAGACCTTCTGTCACCTAAATCCGGCTCTTTTGTGGCCGTGCGCGGATGGCGCCCATTATGTGGATTGTTCAGAGGTAGTATACATGGTATAGCTCGAGACAAATGAACGACTCGAGACAAATGAACTACATGCCCACTATAATCCTACAGCTGACCTTTTTTTCGTAATCCACAGATAATGTTAAAACAGCGATTTGTGACCAAAACGATATATCGCTGGCTACCAAGCAGCAGGGTTGACTCAAACGTTTTAACAGATAATGCAGACGAAATGACAGCTTTAATGGAAATCCTTCCCCCGCTGAAGAATACCATAGAGGATTAAGAATCTGTAGACGGCGCGAGTGCGATTGTGCGTTTCGTTTAATGGTTACTAGACTAGTCGCAGTCCCTGGTCCCGATCGGGCCTATAGTAGTACTATGATCTAACTAAACGGCTCGGCAGCAGCCGCCCGACAAGCTAGCTACCAGTCTCGTCTCTCTCCGTCCCCACCTCTCATCTTCCCATTCTGCCTCCCTCTCGCCGAGGTTCATCACAACGGTCGCTTAGTTTATGCTATGTGGGCCTTGGTCAAAGAATGTCATGATGAGTCAATGGATACCGTGTCTGAGTTCTTGACTCCAGATCGTCCTTCGGAAACCGAAACCATCAAAATGCCCTACCGCTCATTTACAAGCAAGTGAGGTCATCTCTTGAGTTCCTCTGCACAGGGAAATGGAGATGACAAGCTTCGCCTTGAAAACTTGAGCTGGCTAAACAGCCAGCTGGTATTGATGGCTTATCTGTGCTAAGTAGCTACGCTCTAGGTTATCACAGCAATGCGAAGCTCATCTAATAATGTAACACAGCAGAGTGACCAGTCCTACGGCTCACTTGGCAAGATCCGGCCACGTACAGAATCATGTGAGTGGACAAGGTTCACTTCAGCTAGATAACATAATGGCACATGGGAGAGACAAGCCCTTTACTTCAGGCTGACTGAGACCACTGTGTTGACTTGATCTTTCCAGTGGTCGCTCTTTGTGACGTTCAGCTTGCCCTGTAATCGAAACCAACTAGTCAAATATCGCGGTGAAAACCCTCAAGTATTCCACATTTAGTCAGGCCGTGGTCACGCTGGCTGCTACTTTCGGTCGTCTGGAATTCATCATCCTCCTCATCGCAGCGCAAATATTACGCTGAACTTTTTATTCTAATGTATGGACCCTAGTGCCCTTGCAGATGATCGTCAATATCATCCATCAGTGTTTTTTTTTTTACTTATTTTTATTTTTATTTTTTTTGTTTGTTTTTCGACTTCTGGAAAGACTTTTCAACCCGTCAAAGCTCACATTGCATGTCGCGGAACGTTCAGATTGACTATACTTATGACCAGGGTGGTAGAATGGCGATTACTCAAGGCGACAACTGGCTTTCGGCGGATGAAATTGAGTCAATATGATTCGATGCTTCGCCAGCTTTTCTGCGTCGGGTTGCAATCCGGCGCATTGATTGACTGTTAGACACCTTTGGAACCACGCGGAGTTAAGTTCAAACGACGCCGAGTTGCGAGCTCTTTCTGCGTTCAAGCCAGTAGGCAGGGACCCTGACACAGATGGAGATATTTTCCGGTTTATGACTATAGTGCCCTCAAGCTGACATCGGTATGGCTTGACGGACTGGTATTGAGCCTTTCAGTGCCTGTGGTCGGACAGAAATTTTACATATAGCCTTTGCATTGACCCAGTTCGGTCACAACACCTGGCCAGATCATGCAGCGTTCGCATCGCGGCTTCGTCACTCTGCTTCATCAGCTGCAAAGTACCAGCCAATAAGAGGCTTCTTCGGGTGTTAAGCTTCAATGATCTCCATGCACCCTCTATTGTCCTCCCCAGATAAGCAGAAGAGAACAGGGAACGAACATGTCGATCTCCTCTTCCCTTCGACTATTGACAACAGCTTGGTCGGTTTTAGGACCAATAGGCGAATTCTGCTTCTATAGACCGCAATTCCTCTATAGCTTGATTAGCAGTACAATATGGTGATGTCGACTCAGTCGAGCTCCACCGATGATATCGTTCTTTCGCTCCACTATTTTCTTCGCTCGAAGTGTTCGCCATGGCTGTTCCCTCGGATAGCGACGCTTCTTCAATAAGCCCCCTGTCCGTGGATCCCATAGCTGTACCGAATACCGCAGAAACAGAGAAACAGTCTGTCGATGAGGACTCTACTCCTCTACCCCCTCCTCCACCCAACGGAGGTATCTTCGCTTGGGTTCAGGTAGCCGGCGCTTTCTTCCTTTTTTTCAACTCCTGGTAGGTCTTCCTGGGTTATCCCTGTGCTGTCCCGCTTACTGATTCCGTGTACTACAGGGGCATAATCAATACATTCGGCGTCTACCAAAGCTACTATGAAACCAGCCTGCTGAGAGACTACTCTCCATCCTCCATCGCCTGGATCGGAACGGTTCAAAGTTTCCTCTTACTCTCATTGGGAATTATCGTCGGTCCGATCTTTGATAGAGGATATATCAAGTTCTTGATAATAGCAGGCACGTTCCTGATTGTGTTCGGACTGATGATGACCTCCATATCAAAGGAGTACTACCAATTCTTTTTAGCTCATGGCGTCGCCGTCGGCCTCGGTTCTGGTCTTCTCTTCATCCCTAGCGTTGCTATACCCGTCACGTACTTCACCTCCCGACGAGCCGTGGCCATTGGAATTGCCGCATCAGGGGGCAGCGTCGGTAAGCCTCGTCCTCCTCAAACAATTCCATCGAACTATATTCACCTGAAACCCACATTCTAGGCGCTGTAATTTTCCCGATCGTGTTTCACAAATTAATCGACCGCGTCGGGTTCGGTTGGACAACCCGTGTAATTGCTTTTGTTGCCCTAGCCAGTCTCCTCTTCTCTATAGCGGTGATGAAATCACGCCTTCCTCCTCCTACACAAGCCCGTCAGCTCCTTGATCTCATGGCCTTTCGTGATATTCCTTTCCTTATCTACTGCCTCGCGCTCTTCTTCGACCTCGTGGGCCTCTACTTCCCCTACTTCTATCTCCCGACCTATTTCACTACCTACCTCCATGCAGGCGGTAACATCTCCTTCTACGTCCTTTCCATTCTTAGTGCTTCTTCTTTCTTCGGTCGTATTCGCCCAACATGCTCGCTGATCGTCTGGGATCGCTGAATGTCATGATTCTTGTGAGTCTTGTGGTCACTGTCCTCGCATTTGCATGGATGGGCATACACAGTAACGCTGGCGCCATCGTCTTTGCTGTTATTTATGGCTTCGCGTCCGGAACGGTCGTCGCGCTGATGCCTCCAGTTCTGGCGCTATTGTGTCCAGACATGGCTGTTGTGGGGACGTGGATGGGCATGTCTTTCGTGTTCGCGGGGCTTGGCATTCTCATTGGAAATCCTATTGCCGGGGCGTTGTTGGATCTGGAACATGCTGTTTTCTGGAAGGGGCAGCTTTTTGCGGCGGTTATGGTAGGAGCAGGGATGGCATGTTTCATGGCGCTGAGGTTGTGGAAATGGAAGGACGGGGCGGGCTGGAAGCTCTGATTGGGAGACTGATGGCTTCCTTTGTGCTTCAAACCAGAGCATCTGATAACAAGGTACGGAGTACTATATTGCACTGCTATTTACTGCGTACATACTTCGGGGCTCAAAAGCCACTAGGATTTAACCAAAAAAACGGGACATGCAAATACATAACATCATCAAACCATGATAGATTCAGCCACTCGTCTACTCCGACTTCAGGCTCTGGCGCAACTCCTCGCGCTGGACGGCTCCAAAGCGCAGGTTCCCGACATCAAAGATCTGCAATCCAGTTAGTGAGCTTCGATATCACCCCTTAACGCCAACAGCAATGCACTTACAGCATAAATACTCTTCAAAAATGTGTCTCCCAAGATGTCCATGGTCATATCACCACGACTTTGGATTCCTCCATAGACATAGCCCGTCTTCGCCTCCGAAAACGCCAGGTCCTCCTTCTGCACCACGAACTGCTTTTCACCCACGGCAAACGACACAGTGGGTAGCTTATCCTGCGCCGTATCGGTCGGATAGATCCAGCCCTGTACTTCCTGATCATAATAGGCGCCGTCAATTGCACTATAAATGGCCTCACACGTGTCATCGTCCACCAAGGCCAGCGTCGTACCGGTATCAGCAATGGCGGTGTTACCCGACCGGTTAATGGTCTTTCCATTTACCGTCGCGGAGGTCGAGTTGAATAGCCAGAAGCCTTGACTGTTATCGACAGGGGTGTAGTAGACCTCTTCACCTGCCGTCTTCACCAGATCCTGGTCAATGAAGCCAAAGGTGTAAAACGACTCGTCATCAGTGTCCCGCCAGGTATCCAGCTTGGCCGTGAACAGCTCAGCCGACTTGGGAATGTCATCCTGCAGGATCATGTTCTCGACGGGCGTTTTCACGGACTTTGGCTGTACCGTGTTGATGTTGCTGAATGCTAGACCGAGCAATCCGTCCCCTTCGCCTTGGGCGAATGTGCTGGACATCTTCTCTGCCAGCTCAACGGCTTGGTTCTTGACGACTACGCCGCCAATGTTGACGTCGTCGGTGCCCACACTCCCTGATGCGGAGGATCCATCTCCGTAGGAGATTTGCCAGGATTCACCTTCCAAGGTCTTGAAGGTGCTCGATTTGGACGAGTCGAAGATCGCATGGGTCTTGTTCTCGGATAGAAGGGTTGAGGGGAGTTTGTTGGACCAGACCTACATCTGTCAGTGACGCTCGTTTCCATATTAGGTCTTTCATAATGGGGGTGTACCCAAAGATCAGCTGAACCAGTGTCAAAGTCCAACTTCAGGTTCTGCGCCGGGGTTCCGATCCCCACGGTCGCCAGATACATGGAGTCGTTCTGCACATCTTCGGCCGGAACCTCGCCAACCTCATCGCTGGTGGTGCTCTTCTTCCGCACCAGCTGCCGGATATGGGCCCGACCCCCGATGGGCTTTTCAGTGTACGGACGACCGGTCTGTTGGATGGAGCTGCTGAGAGTGTAGGGACCAGGCTTGGTGGGATGGAAGCGGTACTTGCGCATCAAGTGCACGTAGGACTTGGTGCCTGAGCGCTTGTAGTTGAGATTGGGGATGAGCTTGATTTTGGTAGCCATGATGGAGGATAATTGATCAAAGTGGAGGAGTTTTGAAGAATGGGTATGAGATGAAGAGAAAATGACGAGAAGAAGAGAGAAACCACCAGGCTTTTAAACCGAATCCCTAGCTAGCAGCTAAATACTAGGTGGCTAGTCAACTAGTAAGTGACCCAGAATTGAGACGTCATTCTCCCCCTCTCTTCCAGCATAACATTCATCATCCACTGACAATCTCGGCAGCCGACCGTTTCAGCTGGCCCTGAAATCTCGCCCCCAGTCGGGTGATGCAAATTGATTGAATGATTGGTTTCAGCTGATCGCGAGATCGGCGCCGATGACGCGATAAGCCCATGACTTATCTTATCGTGGAGGCCCAGAACCGGGACACTCGTCGCACTATTCAGGCCGATTTCTGTTAGGGCAGTTAGTGGCGTGGTGCGACGGGCCTGTCATCTTGTCTCGTTGGTCTTTCAAGCTCCGGTGATCGTCGAGCTTGGCGTCTCCTCCCCGAATTGCTTCAGGTCAGCCACTATCAATGGCATTGTATTATTGGTGGGATTGCTTATCATCATTACGCAGGTCTTCTTCATGATGTGATGTGATTTATCTTGTTAGTTTCGGCTATTATTCGTGTCGTGTGTGAATTGTCAGGTCGCCACTCTCTCTTCTCCCCCATCACTGAGATTCTGTCCCGTATTTTGTTCTCCTCCCGGGCGGCCCGGCCCTAACCGGGTGGCTCTGACTCCATCTTCTGCTTTTTTTAATAGCATATCGTAGACATGTTGTGAGGAACAAAGAGACAGCTATACTACACGATTGAGCGATTTCTAGTCAGTCGGTACAGATACACCGAAGCCGAGTCCTACAGCTGGTTTCGACCTCCCCTACGCAGAGACGATATGCTGCAGAATGCGGAGTAGCGGGCCTCAGAAATGCCTCATGCCTCACAACAATCTCCTCCTATAATGCATTCTCTATGAGACTGATCTAAATCAATGATGTCAACAAGACAGACAATGAGGGGATATAGCTGTGATATGGTTACGATGCAAAGATGCCTATGTAACTAGTCATAATTGCACGCAAACCATGACTGAAATCACCTCATGAAGTTTACGTCCTATCTCTCCGGTGCGGTACGCAACGTACTAACTCTGCCACGTTCAGAAACGATGATACTTCATAAGGGCCTTATAGATATATTGACTATGCGATAATAGGAATTACTGCTATACCTCATTATCTGCTCAGAAGAATGCAATCAATGGATTTAGAATAACCCAATCTATCCTAGAGTCATTATAGTACACATTTGAAGAGAGGGCAGAGGGGTAAGAACCTTAATAGTGTAAGAACCTTAATAGTAACCAGCTGACCGCTCATCGAAACGAACATGACATGTCTCATTATGTCCTCTCTCCTAGTAATAATAATCCATGCAAGAGAGATCGCACATGGTAGTGTACCACGGGTCTTTTTTCGTGGGTGCTGGCAGCCTCCCTTTTCCTCTCTCTCTCTCTCTCTCTCTCTACCGAGGAAACCCCATGTACCAGTCATCACAATGTGCTGACTATACATTTCTTCCAATCTTTCTCTTCAAAGCGGAAGAAGCATGCTATGAGTGGCTATGGATGAGAAGAAACATTCTAATAAACACTCTAGGATAATTCGGTAAAATTCAATACGCTAAAGTGCAAACGTACTGTTGTACTACGTTATAATAAATGCGTCAAAGCATGATACTAACTGCATATAGTACTAATCTCCTCAGAACCTCTCCACCAGTTCAAACTCACAGTCTACTGGCATCCTCCACTACCACAGAAGAAAAGACACAAAAAGCTAATATTAGCTTCGCCACAGGGCTACTAGATTCCAGCACCGCGATGAGGTGTGAGCTTTATCGCTGGAGACCTGTCAATCTGTTGAATGCGACACAGGTACCCGCATCCACTTGAAGCCTATGCAACATAGGCTCAAGTTTCTTCTGCTGGGATTTTTAGAGAGATGAGGCAGATGGGAGTGTCCCTTTTGCTATGGAGTCTTAGGCATTAGCTAATGTCAGTCAGTCAGGTTGTCGAGAAGTCTTACCTCCGATCTTGCAACCGTGCAACTCATCATCCAGCCTGCGAAGAGAGATAGCTTGTCATACATACTATGAGCAAAACATACCGGTTTCAGAAGCGGAAACATTCTGCAGGGTTTCGCCAGTCTTCAATGGACCCAAATGGTATCCTAATTTCATCAACATCTCCTTTTACTAGGTGACATCAAAATCATCATCATCATCCGGTGATTCTGACGCTGCACTGGTGTGCTTCGGGCACCACCGCCCAGATGTCGCTCGTTGCATGGCCCTCAAGTGGGGTGGCAGGTGATGGAACTTGCTGCAGATCGGTGAAAGCAACGGTGTTCCTGGGTGTCTGACCACTAGACAAAATAGACTGCGGATGCTCAAGAAGATAGAGGGAGCGGGAGTGCGCGATGGCGTCTACCTCGACACGTCCCATGTCATCCAGCCTGCGAATGACAGTTAGCGAAGCCTTTCAAATTAAGAATGATATGATAATGTGTATGAAGACTTACGCATCAGTCTCAGGACCGGCGTTCTCCTGTTAATTCTCGCCGGATGGCTTAACCGTAGCCATCTCGATATCGAGATGGACATCTTCAACCGAAGCATCGAGCACCTCTTGCGGTGGTTGAACTGCCCCTCAGCATCATCAGTCCGGTTGCCTACTGAGGCATTGTTGCTTTCAGCAGCCACGTGCACAGGGTATGAGATCATATTGGTATCACACTCCTTGGTGAAAATATGCTTGCGAAGAAATTGGCGACTGCAGAGAAGCTTTTCATCATCAGTACCAGGCGCAGCTTCCACCATCTCGTTCAGCCGGGCGGTACTCATGGTAACATCTGCATTAGTGTTGGAGCGGACGAAGGTTCGATATTCATCTCCAACGCTTGAACTTTTCTCAGGTCGACTCTCGCCAGATGGCTCAATCGTGTCCATCTCGGCATCGATCTGACCATCTTCAGCCGAAGCATCGAACGTATCTTCCGCTGGATGAGCTATCCCCTGACATCCTCACTCCATTTCCTACCGAGATAATAATATACCTTCCAGCAACCACGTGCACAGAACGAAGGTTCGAGCCTCCAAGTACGGGCGTATTAGCACCATACCTGGAACCACCACCATGCGGTGTCGCTAATGACGCGACTTAATTAAACCGCTGTGCCATTGGCTTCGGCAGCAGGGAAGATAAACCGAACTATCGAATCTTCATTCAAAGCAGTAGCCTGCATTTGATCCTTTCTTTTGTGAACCAATGACTACATCTTCCTGTGGCTGAGTTATTCCCCAGCATTCCCGTTCTCGTCCCGGCTGCCTGCTGAGGTATGTATGGTATTCTTGCTCTCAGCGGCCACGTGTAGAGGATGAAGGTTCGAACCTTCAGCTGCGGGCTTTTTTTTAGCGCCATACCTGCTTTGCCATCGCGAGGGGGGGGACTACAATGTCGTTGATGAAGCGACGTAGTCGAAGCGCTGTTTGGGATGGTTGGTTGGCTGGCTGCGTGGATAGAAGGAAGACCGAGCCTGCGTTAGAAGAAGGCTTCAGATTGGGTCGCGAGTAGGGCTGAGGTGGCCTTGGTTTATTATAGAGGCTTTCATGCCATTTAGCCTTGTGTGGATAGATATAAGTAATTTCTCGAGAGTAATATTATAATGGATTTTCCGTGAGCATAAGAGTGGATAAAGATTTTATGTTTGAAGTTATATATATTTAGGAACTGTATTAGCCGTTCCCCCTCTCTAGATACTATATATATATATATATGAAGGATTCTTCTAAGAGAGGAAGTAAAAGGAAGAGAAGGAAAAAGAGAAAGAAGCGGCCTTATAAAGACGAGGCCAATAGAGAGAAAGGTGAAGTAGCCTATTTACATTGAATCCTCAATATTCCCAATGAGGATTTGATTCAAGCTACTATCCAAGTCACTCTTCTCATCTTGATTAACTAGCATCTACTGTATCCGGTGATTGCCACATCAGAGGTCAGGGAGGTGAAAAGGCCATGTGGTGAAAGGAAGAGTAAGAGTGAAGATCTATTCGGAGGTATGTCGCCAATGAGTATGTACGGATCCCGACTTACAGTGATTTGTGAAATCAACAAGGATACAGAACAGACTACGGTAGATAGTTGATCTCGGGTTGACAATCGGCTAGGAAGAAGGCGAAAAAAAACTCAAAAATGGAGCTGCGGGGAATCGAACCCCGGACCTCTCCCATGCTAAGGGAATATTATACCACTAAACCACAGCCCCATTTGATGGGAGATGAGTGGATCTTAGGAAATATTAAGGGAGCTGAGAGCCTTCTTCTACGTTCAAGGGTATTTCAGTTCGAATGGGTGATGGTCGGTCGTTGCGCTACGGGTGGGTATCGTTGGGTTACAATTATTCAATGTACCCACGGAAAATAACAACCAAATACAGTCATATCAAGTGGTCAACTCCAGTGAAATTACCGTATAGCAATAGTTGTTTGATTGGAAAAAGTGGGAGAAACATCAATAAACATCATCACTCATATTCGTTCCATTACATTCCGTCCTGCACAGCAGACTCTAGCACTAGTACTATATATTAAGTTGAAGTAGATTAAAAACCAGATAAACTTTTGTTCCCGTGCACATTAATCTCATACCACCCACATCTAGACAATTGCATGTCCCGTTTGCTGCGCGCGACGACCCGTTCCCACACCATCCACTCCGCGCTCCTGATCCTTTCCTAGCCACGGCTTCTTCGCCTCACCCATCTCGCCCTCCATGATGAAGTACACAAACAGGCCAATGACGATCAGCACAAAGGCAATGGGATACAGGAATTGCACGGAGTAATGGAACACCTGGATACCGATGATCAAGCCCCAGAAGTTCATCGTCAGCAAGGAGATGTTGAAAAACATGGCCGATGACACGCGTAGCATGATGGGCGCCAACGTGTAGAAGATAAACAGCACTATGGTGTAGCCCGCAATGTACCCGCCGACTTTCTTGTCCCAGGTGGCGCCGTGGAAGGAGCTTCGGTCGAAGATGGCGCACTGCACGCCATTGATGAACATACCCCAGAAGCCCATCTGGCCGACGACCTCATACATGGGCCGCTTGGAAACCATGAACTCTTCAAATAGGTTGCTGAAGGCGTAGATAGTGCAGGCTAGGAGGGCAAACAGGTCACCCTTCACTTGATCTTCGGCGGGGTAGTTGGCACCGCGCAGGTAGTCGGAGGCGATGAGCATGCCCAGGCCACCGCAGGCGAGGAAGATGCCAAGGTACTGGGTGATGTGGTAGCGGACGCGCAGGAAGATGAAGGAGATGATGGCGACACAGATGATGGTCCAGAAGCTGAAAAGCTCAGCGCTGAGCAGCGAGGTATAGCGGTAGGCGAGCACCATGAAGTAGTTGCCTTCGACGTCCAGGAAGGCAAGAATGAAGTACCGCCAGCAGTCACGGTAAAGCATTTGAAACCATTTCTTGAAGCCGTACTTGTAGAGGGTAATGCTGGTGTAGACAAGATTGAGCAGGATGTAGATCCAAAGGGTCTGGAAGGCGGGGATACTGTTGCCCGCGTTGGAGAGGAGGGTCGAGAAGGTGGAGGAGCTGATGTCGGCCAGCGCGATGATTTGACTATTGTAGATTAGTATCTGACAGTATTTTTCTCCGTAGGAAGAAGAAGAAGAAGAAGAAGAAGAAGAAGAAGAAGAAGAAGAAGAAGAAGAAGGAGATGTACTCACCCTAAAATCAAGACCAACCAGAAATCGCGGGTCTTCATGTAGGCAAATAGCCTGGCCGCGCGACCCTGGGTCGGCTGCTGCTCCTGCTGGGCCTCCTGATCATGCGGTTGACTGGTCTGCTCCGACGTTTCGGTCACAGTATGCACCTGCTCTGTCTTTTCCGTGGAATACTCGGGTTGGGGCTGCACGTCGGCAACGGCCGCGGACTTTTCATTATCGGCAGACATGGCGGGGAAGCCGCAGAATGCGACGAGCGCACGGGAACTGGAAACAGAAACAGAAACGGAAATGCGATGAAGGGTATCAAATGGAGCTTTTCGCCAGCAAATGTGAACGCAAAGCTCCGAAGTCGTTCACTGCCAGGACCAAAGGGCGCAAAGAAGGAAAAGGGAAAAGAAAGCAGAAACAGGTCGCAGGGACGAGAGGAGATTTAAAGCAGGCCGACGAGGCCAGACCGCGAGGGCGACACTAAAAAGCAACTAAAGCAAAAAAACTTCAGATTTCCTTATCGCGCGGAGTGGGCCGCCGCAGCGAATGGCAGGCCGGGTGGGGGTATTTCTATAGTGTAAGTAGAATGCAGTAGTGTCTCTCCATTCTGACACCAACAGAACCATCATGCAATGAGGACAATGTCTCTGCATGAGATGGTGGTAGTCAGTACTAGTCAGAAGCCCATCGTTTCGATAATAATTGCAGAATGAGAACTGAAGGGGATCAGCTGCGGTAGAAAAGAACAGTGAGGGGAGCTGCAGACGGAAGGCGCCCGAACCCGTCTCGGCGCACGGCCTTCGCTTCTGTCCAATTCGAGTGGAGAGGCCGCCCGTTTGCATCGGGCCACAACCAACCAATCCGCTTGTTTTTCCCTCCTTCGCTTACCAGTGCCTTGTTTTCATCGCATCCATTGATTCTTCGGTTGTGTTTCTGGGGGGCTTTAACAAGAAATATAAAATAACCTAGAGGTACACGTTGGAGAGTCAGGCGGTTCTGTTAATTGGGGTCATTCAACTGCTATCCCCGGCCGACCGCTACATAGCAGTCAGTCACTCTACTACCTCCTGACTAGTATGTGCATAGCCACGTGTGGTGGCGTTGCCTATCATTGGATAAATGCCTTGGATATACAAGCAGGTATATAGCATGGATCTATCTCTCTATCGTTAATCAGAAATACTGCAGTACATGACACCACACCTGCAGATAATATTCGACTTGCCGCCCATACGAGCTCGCCCCAATCAACGCTAGTTCGCCGCCAGGACAGCCACCGCCCATGCCGGCAAACTAAAGGTAAAAGTGCCATTGCTCGCCTGCACCGTCGATTCACTCGGCGTGACCAGCGTCTGGGTGTCCGAGTTATACGCATCCGGATCACTGTCCGCCAGCACCGTCAACTTGCCTGTGCTCGTTCCTGGGATGCTCACCGTGAGGTCTTGCGTCTCGGAGCCATAGTTGGCCAGCTTCATGTAGTACGAGTCCCCGGCGCTCGACGCAACCCAGTACAACGGTCCGAAGTCGCTGTCCGACGTCACCTCCTTAATTGTATCACCCCGGTTGCGCGAGAACATCTCCTGCACGTAGTAGCTGGTCGACAGGAAAATGTCACCGGGTGACTGCGTGTATCCGATCAGGTCCGGCTACCACTCGTTAGCTCATTCATACCTGAAACCCCGCTGCTCAGTCGTGACTTACCGTCCACTGAGTCGAGTTGATTAGCTGGAGCAAAGGCGCATACGCCGCCATCTTCACCACGTCGCTGTTCCTCTCGAACCCGATCATGAAGACGGCTTCAGCGACCGATCCCTTCATGTTGGGCCAGTCAATCTCCCAGCGCGAGTACTCGCCGATGAAGTATGGTACCGAGCGGTTTAAATTGTCGAAGTAGTTGAACTGGCCCACCAGTCCATCAGGCGTGCTGTAGTCGTGGTAGTCGACCCAGCTACCCTCGGGCATTGACTCGGGCAAGCAATCCGCCTCGCTGGTGCTGGCAATCAGGATAAGGTCCGGATAAGCAGCATGAATCGCATCATAGAAGGCAGTGAAACGTTCCGCGTAGGACTCGCATCCGCCTCCCAGCATGTCCTCATTGCCAATCTCGACCATGGTAAGGTTCCACGGCTCCTCCTGTCCGTTTGCCGCGCGCCACGCTCCATAGGTCGTGCTCGTATCACCCAAGATGTACTGCCAATGGGTTAGCTTCAGTTATCAATTTGATATGCCGCTCAACATACCTCGAGCTCGTTCAAGACATCGTCGATATAAGGGGTCAGTGCGTCGCCCGTGAGGGGGGTGTTGCCACCCGACTCCAGAGCGAACCCATCCCAGACACCGAGCACCGGTACGAGCCCCAAATCCTCACACCAGTAAAAGTATTCGTGAAGGCCTACAAGCGTTAGTACAGTATCTAGGTACTTGTATATAGCCCTTTACTTACCCAGTCCGTCGGTGTTATAGTAAGTCCAAGTGCCTATATACCGTCAGGGATGAATGCTTCAATCCTAATAATGAGACATACCTTCACGTCCGGGACGATCCCAAAGATCGCCGATTGTCTCGTTCCACTTCCAGCGGTTTTCTGCGCTGTTTCCCTCACTACCTCTGATGAGCTTCTATACACTTACCGGGCGAGCTGAGACTTACAGGTTGTTACCGCCGGGAAATCTCAGGAAGGATCCTTTCATATCATCCAACACATTGGCAAGCTGGGGCTTCAGGCCATTTTCCCTACACAATTAGCCCCTAATTCACTCTTCGGAGTATAGGGAAGCAAACCTTGACTTATAGGTTTCGCCAAAAAGCGTCAAGTAGCCGAAGTTCAAAGACGAGCCAGCAGCCACGCTTCCATCAACTGTGAGCTCGTACAAAACGTTGCCATCTGGAGCCTTGGTGGTGGGGAACTTGACGGAGGCTTGGGTAAAGTTGTCTGCTGTGGACGTATGGGTGATAGTGGTAGAGCCGTACTCCGTGCCGGTGTAGTTTCCAACCAGTCGGACGGTGATGTCGCCGGAGTAATCTCCCTTTATCCAGAAGGAACTATGGAATTCGCTGCCATCGACTGGGATGCCCCAATATCCCTCATTGGTGAGACCCACCGCACCGGTAGCATCGTCCGCAATATTAAGCTTGATGGTGCTGGGGATGGCAGAGGTCAATGGACTGTCGCCATCAATGGCGATGGTAGCGTCACCGACAGCCGCCCAGGCAGTCAGATTAGGCGCCGTTCCCTGAAGGCCAGGGTTCTGCAGCATTTGCCCATAAATTCCTCCATCTCCTGAGTGATTGATATCCTAATCACCGTCAGAGAACCAATTGTCTTTTACTGCTTAGTCTGCGGCCTACCTCAAACATGAAGCCATATAGGATGGGGCTGGATGAGTTGCCACCCTGGGTGGAGACCTTCAAGGAGATTCCGTGTGCATTTTGAACGAGGGATAGTAGTAAAGAAACGGCGCTGACGCCCGAAAGAGCTGAAAAGGCCACCATGTTGCCGGCTGTCTGGAGGAAGCTGAGCCTGGTGTCATTGTTGCAAAGGGAGGATACAACGCCTTTTATGACCGGACTTTCGTGAAATTAACCGGGGCATCAGACAGGCCAAGGCAGCAGAAAATGCGGTGGGGTCATCGCAACGAGGTCGAAGACAATCAACCGAGAAGCCAAGAAATCGAGGAAGAGGAAGGTGCCAGAGGAAGAGTGGAGGAGTGTGGAGGTGGAATGTGGAATGTGGAGGAGAAGAGAGCAGAGGGAGGAAAAGCGTGACTGCACGCGGCATGGACTTCCCTGCCCCGATGTCTTGGATCCTCTCTTCTCCGCGTCCCTCCGAGCACCTCCAGTTGTTCGCTCCACCTTCAAGGTCATCTTTTTAGCCGCAACCACGCCGAGATCAAAGTGAACAGTGAGTTTGTCGTACCGAAATAATCCCGACGGCTAACCCCAGAATTCCCCGGCCCTCCATTTTTAGGACCCTTACCCGATCGTACGACATGCCGATCCATCTATTATTCAGTCATACAGTAGGTTTGGCGCATTAAAGCTCGGTTGATGGCCTCCATCCACGAAGATCTTTGTCTCTGATACATTCAGATAGCTGAGAAAATCCGTGGGTGCAGCTTACCCAGTGCTGAGTCGCTAGTGATACATGAATAATCTTGATGGAATCTACGGGAATTTCAGTCTTCTCAAAAGATGGTCAAACCACTGTCTTGAACTCCCAGGGCAGGTGCTGGACTGTCGGTCTAGTCGGCCGCCTAAACATTGCAGATCCACCCAAGCGAAACTCTGACGTCGGCCGTGCACTTCCCCCTCATCGTTACTCCGCATTTTGATGTGGTTGATGTTCTCCGATCAAGGGAAAACCCCGGCGGGACCCCTGAGTATCCTCCGATACTGGAATAGATTTGGGTTCCTGATCCAGCCACAGCCGTCCCTTGGTTCTACCCGGCTTAATCTCTCTCCGGGAAGTCGCTGCCACCTTCGTCATAGCCAACTGTTAGAGTTTTCCCCTGTTACTCTATTACTTTCAATTTGATCTCGAGCCATCCTAATCCTGCTCTCTTTATCCTTCAACTTAGTCGCCTACCGTGCTATGCGAGATGACAAAAAAACTTAGACCATTGTCATTAAGGTTCATATCGGTCTTGGAGATCGGATGCAGTGTTCCATCACGCCTCACTGCAGGCACAGCCGCTTAGTTTACTTCGCGGCACATCTCACTAGATTCAGTCAGTCCCCTTATTTAGATAGCCGTACCCATCAATAGTACAATACTTCAAAAGTGGAAAAAGTCGACGGTCACGCCGATTTCTCACTTTCCAGGCTTACTTAGTTTACCTGTATCACCCGAAGGTCGGCGCTGAGTTCCCTTTATGTGTGCCAGTTTCAGCCGTTTCAGTTTTAGAAAAGCTTCTGATGAAAATCTCGGTAAATTAAATAGCTAGGTGAGGACCTGTCCGGAGAGGAAGATTCTACATGTTCTATTCCACAGATATGCAGATACACCTTGATATGCGGCAATCTATTACATGCTTAATATGAAGTATCATACAAGATCATTGTTCAGTCCTCTGGCTAATTTCTTTTCGCAACATTATGCCTTTTACACAGATGATGAGGGTGACAGATCAATTGGGAGAAGGAGCTCGTCTTAGCTTCACCATAGGCAATACACCCTGGCTACTAGACTCCAGCACCACGGTGAGGTGCGAGCTCATCGCTGGAGGCCTGGCCGAAATCGACCAGGCACCCGCCATCCACATGAGACCTGATCGAGTCGACACAGGCCTCAGTTCCTGCTAGGGATTCTAAGCAGGGGAGTCTTTCTAGCAGGGCATCTGATCGGAATCAACCAGGCGCCCGCACCCACCAGTAACCTGATCGATTCGACACAGGCACTGGTGTCCACTTGAGACCTGATCGAGTCGACACAGGCCTCAGTTCCTGCTAAGGATTTTAAGCAGGGGAGATTTTCTAGCTGGACACCTGATCGGAATCGACACAGGCACCCGCACCCACTGGTATCCTGATCGAGATCAACCAGGTACCACATTCTCTTGAAACCTGATCGGATTCGACGCAGGCCAAGGTTTTTCTAGGGAATTCAGCAAGGTGACCTTGGTCGCCGGAGCCTGATCGAGATCGACCAGGCACCTGCATCCACTAAAACCTTGTCGATTCGACAAGGCCAAGTTTCCGCCGGCAACTGGTCCTCGAGAAGCCTCTCGACTTCTCGCTTGCTGCTGTCGTTCCTCCTCCTGGCGAGCTCGCCAGGTCTGCGCCTCGAGAGCGCGCACGTCTTTACCGGTGGTCTAGCGGTTTTCGGCTTCTTCGTTCCGGTTTCCAGCCAAGGAATCATTGTTCGTCTCGACGGCCACGGTCAGAGGGCGGGTGCTAGAGCCACCAGACGTATTCGCAACACTCGGGCACCACCATCACGACGGTTCCGACGATACGAAGGAACCGAAGTGCTGGGGAGGTTGACAGTAGGAAGAGGGAGAGGGAGGGGGAGGGGGAACAGGGACTTACCGGGGCGAACAGTCTCAAGGAGGGCGAGTCAACATGCGGTATAGGAAGCCATTCTATCATCCCATGTTCTAAGTGAGCCTCGCTCAAGTAACAAGAGTCTGTTCCATAGGAATTCTCACCTCGGCTGCTGCAATGACCAGGCTATCAGGCAGCTTGCTATTCTGGTATACAGACATAGCGAAAAGGCCGTTTGGGGGAAGAGAGGAGCTATAAAAACGAATTTGTCAACGTAAAGAAAGTAAAACCTGAACAGATCCTGTTGGCAGTGCCTTTTAAGATGGAAGCAGGCTGTAGTGAGAGGAAGAAAGAGGAGGAAAGGAGGGAGATAAGACAGAAAAGAAAAAGAAACACGAGAAGCGCGAAGAGCTAGCAAGTGAATTCAAACAGACAGAATCTTCTCTTTCTCACAACACAAGAAGGGCTGTACCATTGCGAGTATTCACTGAGCCTCGCACCCCCAATCATCTCTGCCTCGCCAGAGCTACATCCCACATTCCATCTATCTTGAGACTCATTCCTAGATATAAATCCTCATACCGTCATCATGACTGCCATAATATTACCAGAGGATCAGAATGGCTGGAGAGACCAAGCAAGGAGAAACAAGGTGGAGAATCAAACTCTACGGATGAACGTGAAGTTATATTCCGCATCGCATGTCAGCCACCGCCAATACCTCTTGTTTCGCACCCTCCTCCCTCCCATTGTACAGCCAAACCAGCTGAACGTCCAGACGTTTGGAAAACCACATCTTATGATTCCAGCCAATCAGCGGCTAAATTGTTTGGCGTTCAACGAATACATCGCGAATTTCACCAATAGACAGGCGCAGGCGACGGGGTGGGTCTGGGGTGGAACGGACCGCCTCTTTAGGGTCCCAGCAGTCCAACAACAGCAGGTCATTCGCAACCTGACTATCAACGGTATCAATCGCGGCGCAACTGAGTCGACCGTCAATACTGCCTTTTTATCGTTCTTGCACGCCCTTTCAGACTTGTGTCCGCAGCCTGCTCAACGCCTATGGACAACGGAGAGGAAGAAACTCGTGGCGGACTTCGGCACACCGCAGCGTGAGAGAAAATTCGTGGCCTACACAGACGGACAGCTGGAAGATGCCACCACCGGTCGGATTTTGGCACTCGTCGAATGCAAAAGATCATGGAGAGACAATCACTCTCCGAAAGTGGACATGCAAGAAGTGGCAGAGATAGTCGCATGGATTAAGAATTTTCCCGCGGTAGCAGGGGCTGCTGATTCACGAGTACTTTTGTCGAAAGATGGTACCGAGCTCTATATTTGTGTCTTTGGTTACGATGATGGATGGTTGAGGTACATGGAGGGGGGCCCGGGCTGTCTCTCCAGAGCTGGGTTTGCGACCATGCGCCGGTTCGGCCCCTGGGACATATGTCGGCCAACCGACGGAACTATGCCCAGATCATTATGGCGCTTTTACTATTGTAACATAGTCATTTTAAGAGAGAGTCCAACCACACCAGTGAAGATTACTGCAAATAATCTCTCGATCTTCCTCTCCTTTGTTTTCCTTTCTTTCTATTTTTTTTGTTTTCCTTCTCTATCTCTCCCACAGATAACTAGCCATTCTGAATAAGAGTAGATGCAATTCTGGGAGAAGAGTCATTTACTACCGCAAGAAGTATGCTCACCAAGCCGCACAAGTATTCCTGTATGAGTACTGACTCAGATATTAGCCGGACGATGTTGCCTCAAAGTCACGATCATATATGGCCAGCCACTACTGCACAATGATCAGGGCAACCTAGCACAGGGTATCAAGTTCGGTAATAAGTAATTAGATACAAATGGCAAGTGCTTTGAACAAAATCGGTCAAGCTCCCGCCACAGGACGCGCAAACAGCCAGGACATAAATAAATCGAGTGGAGCGTCCTGCTCTCTCTCGAAGCTATAAAGCTTCGAGAGATGAATGACCAGAAGGTTTGTGTTCAATGAGGCACAAAGTAGTCGTGCATGCTGTGGGCCCACAAAGGACACGAGTAGGACTGGAAACTTCTGTTCATCTGGGAAGGCTGGGCTTTTCTTGGAAAGATCTTCAAGCTCTTGCTCATTCATATCAGATAGACCTTCCATCACCTCCTCACTCTCCACTTTGGGCTCCTTGACACGGCTATGCATAATTGAAAGAATGGCAACGAGCTCACCACCCAATATTGAGCCATCTCTGGCATTCATTGGCTGGTAAGCCACCGCGGCAACATGGGGAAGTGGTGCACTATTGCGACTCTGTGGCTCAAGGAAAAGGCGGATGCCCCAGCAGCGTCCTGTAGGTGGACACCATCCGATTTGTGTGGCGAAACTCATGAAAGGACTCGGTGGCCTAAAGATCAGCATACTTTATTGATTGAACCAGTAATTTTAATTGAAATGTATGGTACTCACGTCATTTTGTGTACTCCGCAGAAATCCATCAGTGATGAGTACGGACGATGGAAGACTCGGTTGGCAGTAGCCCATTGGGTGAAGAAGAAAGCAGCTTCTTGGGAACAGTTCTCTTCGTCGGTCACCAACCATCCATTTTCCCGAGCCTCGTCTCTATCGGCCAGTGGGATGTAGTTGGGGAAGGGAAGACGAGAAATTGTGGGGTGGGCTTGTAAAAACGACCGAGGCTGCGGGACGAACGGTACCGATGACAGATCTTCAGAGCTTGACTCAACCTCCTAAGAAGAAATAGATATATCATGCTCTTGCAGAAACAGCGGCAGGACGTCCCCTTCTGAGCCAGAGGAATTAGAGACGAAGGGTGTACTATGCTCTTCCCCGATCACTCCAAGGTATAGCGACCTCAGTTTCTTCCGAGCCAGACTCTCCGTCATCGTGGATAATAGTCTGGAAAAGAGGTTTGATTCCAGGTTAAGGAAAGTAAATAGCCGATTAGCTGACCTTGGTAGTTGCGGATAGCTGTACCTGAAGGCAAAAGAGAGGGTGGGGGGAGGCAAAGAAAAGAGGATCAGAAGCAAGGCCACAATCATGTGACAGGGTATTCAGTGACAAATATTACCCCCGGTGTTACTAGCAGTTCTGAGCTCAATGTGAGTGAATAATGACTCTATGTTGGCTTTTCAATTTCTTATGTTCGATAATCCAACCATGGACGTGGCGGCCCGACGAACTTTCCCGAATTTGGTCATATAGCTATGGGCATACGGCTGTTTCCAGATCGGTGAATACAGCAGTGCTTTTCGCTACTAATCCTGCTGGGAAGTGGTGTTAGTGCCACTAGACGTTTGGTACAGCAGAGCTATTTCGATAATCATATATTGTAGAACAGTTCTCTTTGTCGCTTCCACACCTCCCGGCACGGCGCCGCGCAAACCACCAAGAGAGTGCCATGTTCTGTTCTGGCCCTCTACCTCACTAGGAGAGTCAAGCGGGAGAGTGGAGTATGGGATAGCAACAGGTATTTTCAAGGAAGCTTGTCAAGGTATCCTCACCTTTAGAGACACTCACCTTGGTGTCTCTTGATTGGCCCTGTTCCTTCTTTGCTTGGTGCCCCGACTTATCCAAGGGTAGCTTGGCATATCAATGCAATTTCCCTGTGCCAATGCATTTCAGAATTAACAAGATATACCATATTGTAGACTGATGCATTTCTGGTCTGATAATGATAACAGTACATTGAATTTACTGAATTGTGACAACTATCGTTGCGCGGCCAGGGTTGCGGCAATATATATCCGGCAACCATAATAATAGTAGCAGGTACTAGTATTACTTCTTAACAAAAGCCTCCAGTGACCAAAGGGAGGAATAGACCATGCCTTCGGAATCTAAACATACTATAGATATTATAGACACTGCATATGGACTAGCAAGCGACAAGATACTTTATAGATAGGTAGTGCTACGCTGCCTCGTTGGGGGTGGCAATTCAGTCTTCTAAATATCTAACAAGAACATAAAGCAAAATAAGGCCACAGCAAATAAGAAGTCCTCGATGGTCTAACGGTCATGATTTCCGCTTGTCAATCCCTTCCGGGAACAAGCGCGGGAGACCTGGGTTCGACTCCCAGTCGGGGAGATCTCTTTTTGCATTTTTACTATCCCTCTCTTCTTCACCTGCCATAAACACAGCACAGGCAATTTACCTGTCAATCCACTTTTTTGCCCCCTCTAGCCCATGTAGTATCAATACGAAAGAAACTGGGCGATTTGGCGCCTCTTCAGCTTATTCTGTGTTTTATCATTAGGGTCCATGTCCCATGTATTCCACCCAGATTATATTCAAGAATAGGCGGGCCTAGACGTGAACTCGGATGGATAACCTTCCGTTATAGTTGCAATTTTATGGGCGTTGGTAAAATTTGCCTCTGGATGGGCTATTCTGATGGCGTGGGTGACGAAGTATGGGACGCTATGCTTCGCTGAACAGAAGCCAATCACCCAACTTTCATGTTTTCGATCACTTCCATCGCTTTCATAAATCGCTAATGATCTACCCCGCCATTCTGTGCCATGAGCCAAAAGCCGGGCATTCCAGGAACCATTCGAATATCATCCCTTGACTGCCTGCTGGCAACAGAAACCATACAGGTACTCGTTCCATAAACATTTTAACTTACTCTGCACGCCCTTGCTAATATTTTAGTCTCGCTAAAACTACAAGAACAGATCAAGAAAGCAAGCAAAATACAAGGCCCGCTAAAGATAAAGCGACCGAACAACATAGATTCAAAACAGTGATCGTGACTGGAGAATCCGCCGAGCTTCTTCCATATCTTCCTCCGAAGGCATATTGACAATCATGAGATATATAATATTCTGTCATTATTATCTTAGCATCTGCAAGCTGCCGGAAAAGGGTTCATACGTACCTCCTTCAGAAGTTTTTTGATTCCTCCAATTGGACTTACTATAGATCCTGCCTGGCGAAGGTCTCTGATTCCCCGCCCACGACCGGGAACGCTTTGGCCACCAGTCGAAGCTTCAGTAACTGGCTGTGGATAGCCCTCTTCGCCTTGCATCACACTTCGCCCTTGCGGATCTTCTGCCGGCGATCGACCAAACCTGGCTGCACGAATACCAGCCGCCAGTCCACCAAGGGACAATGGTGGCGTTTCAATCGACTGCCTGCTGAGACCTCTTCTACCATCGGTTCCACTTATGCCGCTTCGAAGTTGCACCAACCTCTCACCAGTCATATATCCACCCGTGAGTAGACCGACCAAGGAGCCGCTGCTCGCAGGGTGGCTAGGGTCGGCATAACGGGAGGTGAATGTTGGCTTGTGACCCTGGCTCAAAGCGCTATCTGGATTCTTCATCATCTACAATATCCTGGTCAGTACCAATCCTCCACCATTAGTGTGGTCTCGATAACATACGAACTTGGCTTGTGACCTTCGGTCCCAGTAATCCGAGACGAACTCCTTTCTTCTTTTCGCACCCTTGAGTTTCGACTGGTTGTCTCCCCGGTGTTCTGCTAGCTCGTCAAGGTCGGGAAAGATAAGAGGTGCACACTCCGAGAAGGGCAAAGTGCCGTGCGTCTTAGCATCCGATGACTTGAGTTTATGTCGGACCCTGTTCATTAGTCCTGCTCCACCATGCTCGATGGCCGCGGAGATCGTGGAGTTCATATCGAAGGTAGCATAGGGTGAGTCAGACCCTGGTTTCCATGTCATAACCAAACAGAAGAGACCACGGGGGCGGAAAAATTCGTCATTGATCTTGTCAAAGAATTTGTTCGTCCTATAGACTATGCATCAGCATCACACAAGCAACACCACACCATACCACGCAAGCCCTACCTTCTCCTACCATCAACAGCCATCGCCACATCAGTCGCCAATTGTATCAGAATAGAAACAGCTATTGAAATAGCCTCAGGAATGAACATAGTACCAATAGATGCCAGATTGATAGCCTGCAACCACGGAGTCGCCTGACACGCTCGGTTCGATGTCTCCAAAAACTCAAGAAACATGGTCTTGTCGATACCAAAGTCCTCCAGGACGGGAGCATAGGCTCGAATAAAGCCTCTCTTGCGAGACTTTGGCCGTCGCTGAGACAGCACCACAGGACAAGACAGTCTGGGCGAGCCCGGCGAGGGTGCGTAAGGAGGTGGAGCGGGATAATTTTGGAGGAACGAAACTGCTAGACCCTCGATATCACCGCTGGCAGGCTCTGAATAAGCGCGATGTTCATCCCCAGCTAGTTCATCTTGTGCCTCGTCAAGAACCCATTCCTCCTCGTGCTGTTCATTGATAAGATGTTCGACTCCGGTGTCCTCCGTAGTCGCTTCTCTGACCGCATTGTCCGAGTCTGCTGCTTGCGCCTTTTTCTCTTCTCTGCTGGCTTTATAGGCCGATATGCTCTCCGAAGCTAGACCGATGCCGGATGCGATGCCCTTGACGAGGGTGACTCTGAGATCCATGACTTCTGGAGAAGTGTTATTGCTGATGGTGTCGAGGAACAATGTCCTGAGGCCGAGGCTGTGGAGGTGTGAAATGTGATGGATAAGTGAAGAAGAGGTGAGAAGACGCCCATCAAGACAAAGAAGTCTTATAGTATTCTCTACCTCACACTTAGGCTGGATGTTTTGGCCAGATCCCGCAACGCTTGCCCCGATTAGGCATCCAGCGCGACGGAAGTGTCAGATTACGAGGCTGTGCTGCAGCCACACCAGGCATCAGCCATTACATTTGTTGCGGGGTCAGGCCTTCACGTTGAAGAAATCATATGGGTAAGATAATACATTTCAGGACGCCTGACTGTGCTAGGTGAACATAAATCTGACTATTGGCGCTGACAGTTATCTACGTGTGAGGGCTGTGCACAAGGACAGTTCGTATCGGTAACCAGCCCCATATCAACCCTGTCATTTATGGCAGCAATGCTTAGTGCCAGGGGTATACTCCGGAGCTTGTTGGCTCTTGGCAGTTGCTTAGCCCTGGGTTGCCACATGGCTTGCTGAAAAAACTACGGTTGGATGAAACATGTGAATCTCGAATCGATTTCCTTTTCGGGATCTCAATAGTCACTCTCTTGTTTGACAAGTTACGGTCTTTGTCCTATTCCACTGGATAACACCAATCACCCAAATGCAAGCTTTCGTAGTATGTAGCCAACCTAACGCCATTCCAATTTTAAGCCATATCCGATATACAACAAAACCCCAACAGAATAGGTTTGAAATTAACATTCATTTGAACACATCTAGGATCTATGTACCCAGCTCACTCCACCAAACGCCTGAAAATGAGTCATCCACACATTAACTGAAATCGACTCTCAAACTCGGATATCATCCGCATTCTTGGGTCGGTATTCGGAGAAGCTCTCTGGCCAGAGGAACATCTTCTCTTCCCTGGATGGTGTGGCAGCGACAAACTTCGGAACCTGTTGTGATACTGTCAGCTTCATGGATCATGCATCTGCAACAATCAGCCATGCACTTACAGCCTGCTTGCTGGAAATCCGCCGCCACATATTGGCCCGGGGGTTAAACCGGGCAGGCTTGCCCACGCCCTTGGTCTTCTCCTGGTCCTCCTTCATGATCGCTTCTACTTCCCGCTTGACATCGGAAAATGAGTCGAAGCCAATGTAGGGGATCTTGTTCTCAATGCAATATTCCTCCAACCTCAGTCCCTTGCGCGCGAAAAGGACATCCGCTTCACGAGCAGCCGGGAGGTCGGACACTCCGTCACCAATGAAGATGATAAGAGGGATCTCTCCTTCCAAGGCATCTTCTGCTGCTTGCGCACGACCCTCTTTGATAGACAGGGCCTTGTCGTGGCCAAGCTCTGTTTCATGCCTCCAGATCGGCTTCCACTCCGAGCCGTCGGACTTGATATCTGCATCATTGGCGACAATCTGAATGCGCGATGCCTGTGGCAAACAATCAGCAACTGACCAACCAGACCCTCCAGACCCTCAACTCCTATACAAGAAGAAAATCAACATACCTCTTGCTCTCCTAGGAAAGTGTCCAGCACTTTCTGCAAGACCGGCTTCAAACCAGCACTGATAACATTGAAATCGATTCCCTTCTCGATACAAAACTTGTGAAATTCCTGAAACCCAGGATCAATATCCAGCTCCTCCTGCATCACATCGAAGCCGTCCTCGAAGGGGATCCGTAGCGATCCCCACATTTCTTCGGAGACTTCACGGAATGAGCGCTCGCCGGACTTGATCTGCTCGTCGAGCATTTGGCGGCGCTTGGCACCACACCCCAGGTTATCAAAAAGGACATGGCCCGTATCTTGCATGAATATCGTTCCATCGAAGTCTGTCCGATAGGTCGCGGATTAGCGGCATGGTCCAAGTGGAGATACTGATCCACGGCACGAGAAAGCAAGCAAACAAGCAAGACACAGAATCGTTTCTCTTACATACCTGAGAAGCAGACAATCTTTCTCGTTGTGATACCGTTAGATGACATATTTAGGCAGGTACGTGTTTTTGACTGGACGGATTGAAAGACCGATAAAACTAAAGTGATGATAATAATAATAATAATAATAACGATAATAATGATGATGATGTACAGATGGCGAAAGCCCAGACTAAGAATAGGAGGATATGCCCCTGGTGAAATAGCTTCGGGGAAGACTATGAAAAATCAAATGGAAAAAGAAAAGAGCAGAACTTGTGGCGACGAGAAACCGGACCTTTTCCAATGACGTACCTGGGCTCAGAAGAACCGGCAATGATGCGACCACTGCCGACTGACTGATTGACTAACAGTAGTCTAGGTCTAGCCCCAGTGGATCCAAAATTCCCCGGGGGGTAAGTTGTTGTTGTTCCATCCGGTGGGACCAACAGGGGACCGAATAATGGTGCGGCATGAAGGAAGGGGGTTTCATGGACGGTGATTGATTGAGAGAAAGAGAGAGAGAGAGAGGAGTTGTGGCTGCTAAGGTTGGATCCGATCGGCAAGCCGAGGGACACTAAACGAAGTAAGTCAAGTTAGGGACTGGATTGGCTCTGGGGTTTCGCTCTGTTTCTTTCCTGAACGTCATCGCCTCTTCGGTGACATAACGAACTGTTCTGATCTCCTACCCTTTATCCGGTTACGGAAGGTATCGCGACCAACTTGCTCCGACATCAACCAGCCACACACATACTGGACTGACAGAGCATTGAAACGACACTCGATTGTTGAATTGGGATATACTTTATAAGTCGCTTTGACTATTTATATCTTCGTGTTAAGCATGCATTCAGTTTTCGAAGATACTCCCGCGTACACATGGTACGCCCGGTTCCGAAGAGCCACCCGCCACACTCTCTTGCCGAGGAGCGGTTCCGCAAATCCGGATGAAGCCGCTCGGTTAGCGATAGGTTATGACAACATTCCTTCTCCACCCAGGTCTTTTCATGTCCAACCAGAGGCCGTGCCATCCTCTAGATATTCATCAGTGCATGCACACTACTCTCCCGAGATCTGGACATATAATTAAGAAAGGTCTGAATAGGGTATCTGTAGCTCGACTATCTCATCATATATGCATGCATTTAGTGAAGGTTGATCCCGTTCCCCTTTTAGGATATGAGACGGCCATCATCGCATTCTATATATTATCCTAATGACTATTAACAACATCTCATATCGAGACATTCACTGTAGCCAGGCATCACCTGATCGTCTGCCACCTCGACGTGGTCGGAGACCGCCATCTCTGACACTAAGTAGCCAACCATGATCTTGAGATCTAGATATATCAAATACATACATTCCTCCCTGCGTCCTGACACAACATCATGCGGAATTGCTAGTACTCCATTGACTTTTCGCGCGAATCCTCTTGCCGAACGCAAAGAAGAGAAACGGAACGGGGATCAAGACCGCCGCAACGCACCCGAATACCGTGATGCCCCAGTTCACTCCGATGCCCTGGAACATCGGCTGCACAAAGAGAGGGAATGCACCCGCCAGGATGGATCGTAGAAGAGTGGTGGCAGCAACAGCACTTGCGCCGAAGCGCAAAAACGTGTCGACCAAATAATTGATTGAACTTTGAAAGATAGTAGTAAACCCAAAACCCGTGAAAGCGATGCCAACGAGAGATGGCCAGTAGTTGATTTGAGGCGATGAGGTCCCTGCTTCTAGTCAATGGGGGCCAGGAGATGTTGTTAGGGAGTTATGGACTGACAAGCAAAAAGGAATAAGCCCCCAGTGAAAGCAACCCCTCCAACCATCATCGGAGGCAGTCGTGCTTCGGGGACGGGTTTGCCGTTATTCTCGCGAAGCTTCCGAAAGTAATATCGGTTGTTATAGACGTTGGCCAGAGCCGCGACAAAAATTCCGACGAGGAGGGCGACGAAGGGAAGGCCTCCTGTGACATGCCCCCAGCCACGCTATTCCTCGAATTCAATCGGAAAGCTTTCGAGGTTTACATATAGGATGGCTATCGAAATGGTGAGTAACCAACCGCATTCAGAACCCCTGCCAAATTGACTACCGACCGTAAACGAAAGACCCATAGATCGACATGAACAGCCCGATTGGGGTGTTCAATATCTGGAAAGGGCGAATTAGATATTTATGCGACATCTCGGAGATAGACACGTCCCATTCTTCGTGCTATTGTTTAGTTAGCATGAGAACAAACTCGGAAGAAGCCGCAAGTCTCTGAGCATCCGCGCTTGCTCACCTTCGCGTGCAGGGCCCAATTCTTGCCTTCCAGCCGCAGTCGGCGTGCTTTTTGGACCAACAGTGCGGGCGCATAGCTCTCATCTAGAACCAAGAAGTCCAACACGGATTGCACTACCATCAAGATCCCCGTCAGGTATTCCGTCCAGCGCCAACCCAGACTACTATTAGACACAAAGGCCCCGCCAATGATGGGACCAAGACAAGGACCACCAACGAGAGTGACCGAATAGACGACGATGGCCACACCGCGATGTTCTGGCTTCCAGATATCCGCCATAACACCGCCAGTTATTGCCACGCTAGAGCTGCCGAAGAATCCAGAGAAGAATCGGGTGATCATTAATGTCTGGATATCCTTTGCCGTTGCCGTTCCGAAAGAGAAAATCCCGGCGATGAAATACGGCTGCATCACAAGTCAGCTCGATTGAAATGGTGATTTAACGAGTCTGAACTAACGGTCGCATGACAGGGAACGTACTAAGATGGTGACCATTTTACGGCCATAAACCTCGCTCAAAGGTGCCCACAGCAACGGTCCCAGCCCAAGACCAAAGACCAAAAAGCTGATTCCCAATGTGGATACTTCCTTCGAGACGCCGAACTCGTGCGCGATCGGCTGCATTCCCGCGGAATAGATTGCCGACGCAAAGGTGATCCAGCAGGTAGTCATTCCGTATAGGATCGTCGTGATGGCCTTCTTCCAAAAAGGCCAGTTGATAGAACGGTATGGATCATCTGGGCCATTGAAGTCAACCAGAACATCAGGGGTTGTTGCCTCGTAGAGTAGGGGATGAGCCAAAACAGCTTCGCTTTTGGTACGCTCTTGGTGGTCGAGAGACATGATTGATGTTAGCACCCGGTTTATAAAACGATAGCAAGCAAGCAGCACTGCCACGTCTCACTTGGGGAATCCGTCCATTTATCAAGCGTCCACACAGATGGGGTACTCGAACAGATTGGTCTTATGCGCAACCGATGGCCGAGACGGAAGGCTCATGCAGTTTTGTTCGGGGCCGCATAGGCTTATCCGAACCCCCGCTGACCCCTGTCATAGTCCGTGTGATCCCAATGACATCGAGCTTAGACCCCAGGGCCAACTGAGCTTCTCCGGTCGGTCGCACTCATGGCGGCCATAATGAAGATGTTGAAAGCCCGCCTTGTGCACCCTCATCCAGAATAACATCGAATCGCTTTTATCCTTACTTCTTCCCGCCAAACCTTTCGCACGCTCGTACCTACGAATATGGCAATTGATCATCAAGGCTAAATAGTGGTACAATTTCCGCTGGGATGGCCTCTAGGAGTCGTGTACGTGATGGTCTTATGATGTGAGACCTGCAGTATGCCGAAGAAAGGGAACTCATGTCCCCTGCTTCACCTCATTCCCCATTGCCCGGTGGATTCCTGATCCACTCCGGAACCAGCCACTCAGGAATATGGGAGTCATCATAAAGAGGGAGCATTGGCCCTATATTGTCGCACGGTTCATGTGCGGAGCTCTCAACGTGCGGAGCACCGGGGAAAAGCTCTTCGAAGGGATCCAAAGTCCCCGCCAAGATTTCGCTGGGCAGAGCTCCTACCACATTACAGGCTGTGTCGACAGGTGTAGACACATATGCCGCGTTCGTACCCCAGCACATCTCGGGGCCTAGAACCCCTTGCATACTATCTCGGTTTGGCGGCGCTCTCTGTCTCCCTCTACCGGCAGGGTCTAGCTCCTGCATCTCTCGTATGTACTGTGCCTTGGCCATCAGTCGTCTAATAGGCCGCCATAGCGTACCCTTTCTCCCGCTTTCCTTCATCTTCCAATTGTTGTAGACGGTATTGACGTACTGCCATGCGCGGTCACAGTCTGCCGAAGGGGGCCGGGTGCAGATCTCAGAGAGCACAAAGGCAACTGCATGCCATTGGATGTGTGTCTTTGAGTGCCAACTCCAGTGAGCAATGGCCTTGTTAGTGAGGACTAAGCTGGATAACTCCAGAACCTCAATAGATGACATGAAGAGTTGATCGCGCACAGGGCCCGATAAATTGTCACCATGTTCTTTCTCATCTAAAAGATATCGTGCAACGAGCCACGCGCGTGCAACCATTAGACGGGCTACGAATGTTGAAGCCAAGCCAAAAGGCTGCGAGATATCACAGTGCTGCAAATATCGCTCTTCAAGGCGATCGTGCAGATTCTGCACTAAAGCTTCACGTTCTTTCAGAGATGGTCTGCCAGTCCCAAGTCTCGAACCTCCCAAGCCGGGAGCCACACAGCTAAGCTTCCACATGGTCCGCATGACCTCACACCTAATAAGACAGAAATACATGCCGGTTACACCGGTCCGCTCAGTTGGTAGCTCGCTCATGTCGGCAGTCAGGTCAGCATCTTCAACATTGAGTGGTAGCTTCGTGTCAAAGGCTGAGTCCCGCACAATCGGCTCGCAGCCGTGGTACTCTGATGAGCGAGCATCTAGGAGACAAATGTGCCACCACAACCGCCGGCGTAGCTCTGTCTCCATAGGCTTAAGCCCAAACACGACGCCATCACGGTGGAGACCCATGGCTTGTGCGATGTGAAAGATGAGTGCTGTGAGAGACCAGACGGTCCGGGAGTCATCTTCGTTGCGTAGCGCGAAAAGGAAAAGCACGGCGGCTTGCAATAGCGTGACGCTTTGCGTATTCAGCAGGTCAGCACGAGCCAAGGCCTGTTCCACGGCGAAAAGATAGGTTTCTGAAGCATGTGCCTTGGAGACGCCAATAGTTCTTAAGCATTGCTCGGGCTCCATGCTTATTACTGCAGAGTAATATATGGCGAATAAGAGGGCTTCGGTATCCTTATCAAGCGATTCGAGAGACGCAACCGCATCCCAATAATTACGAGCTAACGTGGGCATATGGAAGATACGTACCATCGGAGAGACGTTCTCTTGGAATACCCCGAAGAGGGTCACCGACTCAGTCAAGGGTGGATGGTAGGGATGAAGTGAATGAGCAAGAGCCCGAAAACCTAATATTGCAGCATTTGAGCCCGTAGGCAAAGGTCGCTCCGGAACGGGCTCCTCCAAAAAGGCAGAATCCTCTTCAACCAAGGGCTCATGTAGTAGATCCCGCAGCTCTGCAATCTACTTCGTTACTCGTTAGTTTGAAAGCGAATGAATGCAGTGAGAGTCTCGGTTGGGACCCAGACATACCTCATCACCCAGATTCGCCCAGAGGACGTTACTGACATAGTAGCTCCGTGTATCATCTATCAGCAAGCGGCCTAGATGCTGCTCAATGGAATTTTCTGAGTCTGAATTGCTCGTGCGGGGGACAGATTGGATACGGGAAGTCTCTGACGCTCTGCTGCCTGCTCGGGACGATAGGGCGACTGGCGCTGCAGGTGGATGAGTTGAGCTTTCCTGGTTCTGATGATACTCGAAGCTCCTTATGATAGACTCGAGTCTGGTTAATCGGTGCGACAACTGCGCGTTCACGGCATTGCGGGGCCGCTTAGGAGCCCTGCCGCGTCCGGGGGGATAGATACATTCCACGCCCGAGCGGCTGCAGTTGATACAAGGCCGTTGGCGGTCACATTTTACCTTTCGCTGTCGACAAGAAGAGCAAGTGCGGGCGTAAGACTGAAGTGGAGAGGAAGCATCAGTCGGACTATGTGGCATTGACGATATGGTGCTCATCGTAGGATTTCTGTAAAGCAGCGCTAGAGATGTCGTATAAAAGGGAGAGAGGAGCAACTGTACGCCCTGCTCCAGACTATCTGATCCTTATTCGCACGTCTCAATGGCAGGAAGAAATTGGACAAATGGGTGCTGCAGTTCAACGTTCTGGCTGAAGTGAAGTGGCATCGCCATGTTCGAACTACTACACGTGGGGCGTCGCCAAGCCGCATAAGCTTATGCGACCCCGACCAGCCCGATCGAGGCCGCCTTGTCTTGTCGCTCACGGACAATCGTTGACTGTGACTGACATTACTTGCCCACTGAGAACGACCTACCATCAAGTCCTCATACGTATAGCTTCTGTTTCAGTCTGGGGTTGGATATTATGTACCTTGTTGAGACATTCACTGCAGCCAGGCAGCTGTCAGCTGATCCTTCGCCTTTCTTCCTGAGTGGTCTCTGACCACCACCTCTTCCAACCACCAACCACTCTCTTGAGATCTAGATAGATCAAAATCCATATATCCTTGACCCTTCATCTTGACATACCTCAAGGCTGTGATCAATGCCACTCGTAATAACACATCATGCAGAGAGACTAGGATGTAGCGCTTTATATTGGCATTCATCCATAACAGATTAGTATACACTCTCTCGATATATTCGACCGCAGACCAGCATTTTGGTAGGGTAGGGGCATTCCAAATGGCTGAATGTTCCCAGCAGAAAACTTGATCAATTGTAGTAGAGACGCCCTCCCTACAGTAGATTGCGTTCCTCGTCATTAATCGAGTGAAAAACAACCGAGGTTCAGAGACTCTACATGCCTCACTCCATTGAAAGGGGTCCTTTTCCCGGGCTGACGACTTTCTGCCGTGTTTTCGCTGAATCGCATCCACTCCACATTAACTGGGTCTAGTTTCATTTCCCCGTTCCATAAAACTCCACGATTTGATTGCGTGTTATGCCTTGAGAACCGTTCAGAACAGCGACCGATTCAAAAATTCTCCGTTGACGGGTCTTTCCTGGAATAGAAATCTATTCCGGTCTCAGGAAGTGGTGGTGGGTGTCTGCTTTATTAGAGTCTGCTTAGAAGTGTTACCTCACTGCTGGCATTTTCTGCTGGGAAGATTGGGGCAATTATGAACCAGAGGAAAATTACTTATGCAACAACAATTGAAACAGCGGTGATTGGAACAGAAATTATGAAGCAAAGACGAAGATCACTAAACAAACTAAGCCACACACAGTAGGGCAGAGCAAAGGTAGGCCGAGGTACAATGCGAGAGAAGCAATTCTAGAAAGTCGCAGCCAAGTTTGAAGGTGGAGCGCCAAAAGTCAGGATGGAGCCACCAGTCCCGGTTAGGCAGGTATGGCCTAGTTGCCTCCACTGCGGCCTGCCTTTTTCTGGCAAGACGACTCCATCGCGATGCTCCATTTTCTCTCAACCGCGCACAATGGCACATAACGGCTCACAATGTGACACCACATTCACCCGGACTTGGTCCGTTAGTTATCTTAGGACTTGAATCAGCAGACCCTCTTGACCCTTGTCAGGAGTCGTAACCCTATCCAATAACCGTTCTTACTAGCCCCTCTGATTTGCCAGCCAGTCGGGCCTCGTCTGTGCTGTGCATCGTCCCCACCTATGCGGTTCGAATTTCTAGGAGGTTATTTACCAACACTTGGGACAATTTAGTCAAACAAAAGAAAAGAAAAACGAAGTGTGAAGGATTATCTGGGGCTAATATTAAATTTATAAATCTAGAAACAAAAGATCTGGTCGCTCATCTTCGAGATCGTTCCTGACGTCTGGAATCCAATTACGCCCAAGGTCTTTTTGCACGCATTCACCATGCCTGGGGGTCCACAGAGCATAATCTTAGTCTCTGCTGATGGGTCTGGCAATCGTTCACGGAGGACAGCTTCGTTCACGTAGCCCGACCCATACATCCACCCCTCGGGGGCCGTATCCAGCATGTACCAGAGTTTGAAGTTCTTGGGATACTTGCGAGCAAAATCTTCCAGCTCCTCGCGTAGCAGGATGTCTCCCTCGCTCCGGTTAGCATAGATCAGACTGATCTCGGTCGTGTCACGCTCGTCCTCGCAAATGGCCCGAATGAGTTGATACATGGGGGTGATGCCTGTTCCGCCAGCTACCATTCCAATCTTGGCACAAAGCCCTCGGCCGTATCGCATCGCTCCCTTGGGTCCCCTGAACTCCACCTCGTCCCCAACAGTCAGGTTGGCAAGGTATTTACCGCTCAGTAGACCGTCAGGATAACACTTGACGACCAGTTCGAGTCGGCCCAGGTCCAAGTTGTTGGAAACAGGGGTGTAGGATCGGCTCACGGTGTTCCCATCAATATTAGCGCGGATGGCAACATGCTGCCCAATGGGAAGTCCAATCACCCCTTTCGTATCAGGCAAAGCGAATACAAATCGGTACACATTGGGCGACAATAGATCCTTCTGAACTAAAGGTAGACGTTGGTATTCCTTCGAGTCGAGGAAGCCCTTAGCCATATGAGGGTCTGCCCGGACCACTTTTCGGGCCTTGATGTGCGGAGGATAGCGCATAAACCCATGATCGATCTTCATCATTTTGGCCGCTTGGCGCGCCACTACGCTGCCAATCGCGCAGGAGAAAAAGCGTAGCTGCGAGGAATCCATTGGCGAATCCACCGCCTGGTAGTCTGTATCCACTGAATTCTTGTGGTATGGCGCTTCCGAGGACTCTTCTCATATTCAAAACGCCAGGATCTTTCCGATTCAGAACGTAGAGCAGTGTTGTTACCGCTCCTAAAGCCCCAGTGACTGCTAGGCGTGATAGATTGGTTGCTGGCTTTTCAGTCTTCTCTGGCTTCTGGGAAATCACACGGACGGCCTTTGGAGGAACATATTTTTTAGCGTCCTTGAGGATACCGATCAAGTACTCCTGCAAGATCTCCCTGGAGTCTTCGGAATGGCCGACATCCTCGAAAGCTGTGGTGGCGTCAGAGCCTGCAGTCTCTAGGAGAACATCCACGCCTCCTGGATGATCCTGCAGGTACTCAGTGATGTCAAAAACTATGGGAGCAGTTCAGTATCCCGTCATTTGGACGTCTGGAAATCCCTTACCTTGCCCGTGGACAGCAATCCAGATGTCATCCTTGCGATTATGCTTGGCAATATCGGCCAAAGTATACTCGGTAAGCTGGGAATCAGCTCCCATCGAGGCTGTAGACTCTAAGGGCACAGATTGGGCCATTATTGGTTAAAGGGGATCTGGTGAGATGGTAAAGGATAATCGTACTCCTGAGAAGGAATAAAACGAACCAGGGCTCCGGCATTATAACTGCCCTTTTTTTTTTTCACACCGAGGTATAACGGTGATATGCGCCTAATGAAGCGCGACATAATTATCAACCAGATACCCACATTGCGTTGCTAAAAGTCTCGCAACGCTTGGCTCGGCCGGCATCCTTACATCGGAGATTGGCCACGTCTGACGCTTAACGGCCCGACTGGAAGGTCGGCACGGCGTAGCCGACGATTCTACCAACCTCTTGGCTTGAGCCTGCGATAGCATTCCCCTTTTTCTGGCAGAAACTCCGTAGCCAGTGGGTCTTGGGGGGGCGATCGTTGTCTTCTCTGTTGTTAGTTCGAGTTTTCGGTGACGGCGACTCACGAAACAACCGAGGCAGGCGCCGAGGCCTTCAACGTCTATGCGCATAATTGTCTCTGGAATGAACGCTATTCGTGCACTATCGCTGAAACCAGAAACCATTCCTTTTCTTGCTATGTGGATAGTGAAAACCATGACCGGTCAATGTGGGTTCATTGTCAGTCTGGGTCGTTCGCCCTGATTTGTCTGTCGCATCGAGGTGGTCTTATTAGAGATAGTACGTACTATCTATAAAGCTCTACGATGACCCTGAGCAGGCAGAGTGTCCCCATCCGCCCATTGAGAGATTTTCAACCACCACTCTAATCATGTCCGCAAAGCTTTTCCATCTCCTGGGTGAGCCCGTTGCGAATGCTCGAGAGATTGAAGTGGACTCATCGCTAGACTATGATGGGCTTAGAAACCTAATCGCTGCGCATTTTGCGATAGTCGACCCCAATGGTACCAAGCCCCCTATCCCTCAATCGTATGAACTTTGAGAATCTCCTCCAAGCTGACTTCTCTAGGCATCGGCTTTCAGTCTGAAGACGCCGTCTTCACCAGTGTGGCCGAGATCATCGCTTCTGAAACCCCAATTAGTATCGCCATTGATGGGAAACCTGTGAGAGGTCCCGGGACCAAAGGGGCTTCCGATTATTGGAAACTTTTTCGAGATCTACCCTGATCACTTGGGCAATCACCAGCGCTTGTTTGAGCAGTACGGGCCTCTCTTCATGACCACCAACTACGGCCGCACCGTATACCACACGAACGATCCAGAACTCAGTGCGATCGTCTTCTCTGAAAGTGATTTCTTTACTAAGAAAATCAACGAATCCCACCCGCTTCATGCAATCAAGAATAAGGAAGCGGGCGTGTTCCTCGGCGACACCGACACGCCTGAATGGAGAACTGCCCATAAATTTCTCCCTCCCGCGTTCGGTCCGAAGGCTGTCCGCCATTATGCGCCAGTTATGCAGCAAACGGTAGAAGATGCCTTCAAAGTGTTTGATGCCTTTGACGAGCAAGGCGAAGCGTGGAATGTCTATCAATACATGTTGAAGCTTGGCTCTCAGGCGGTTGGAAAGCTAGTCTTAGGCATCGACTTCCAACACTTCGCCAACATGAATGCGCCCCCGCATGAATTGATTCTTCTGATTGCCGAGTCACTTGAACTGAACAAAAAGATCACTGCCAGAGGTGATTGGTATGCCAAGCTGCCCTTCGGGGACTCTAAACGCCTTCAACAAATCCGTGGTCGGGTCTGGAACATTGTCGACGAGTCCATTCAGAATGCTAGTCGTGGTGGCGTTGAGGATCTCCCACTTCAGGATGCCGCCCTCAAAGCCCATAACATGATTGGTATGTTAAGCCAGTGTTATCACCTTTCAAACAGCCGCTAACTGCCGAACAGACTACGCCATCCGGGCGACGGATAACAAAGGCGAAAAGTTGCCCAAAACGAGCTTAATCCAAGCTCTAGTTGTGGCAACTGGAGCGGGCTTCACCACCACCAGCTCGCTGCTGTCATGGCTAATTTACAGCCTTGTCAACTACCCTGGTGTGCAGGATAGGCTCTTGCAAGAGCTCGTAGATAACGGCATCGACGCCGATACGCAGATCACTGCCGACTTGACCGACCGTCTTACATTCATGGACAAGTTCATCAAAGAAACTCAGCGCCGACACAACCCGTCCTATCAACCCGCGCGCACAGCTAAGGTGGATATGATCCTGCCTGGCGGCTACAAACTGCCTGAAGACTCGGTCGTCATCGGCGCACTTCATCACCTTCATAACAATCCCGAGGTCTGGGACAACCCGACGCGTTTCAACCCCGACCGATGGGATACTGAAGAGGTCAAGAACCGACACAAATCTTCCTACATTCCCTTTGCGGCCGGTCCTCGCATGTGCATCGGCTTCAACTTTGCTCTGCAAGAAGTTAAGGTGTTTCTGCCCAAATTGGTGTACCGGTACAGGTTCACAAAGGAGACTGATGGCCCGATTGAGTACGATCCTATGTTCCAGCTGATCAGGCCGAATAACCTGTATGTCCGTGCTGAACGGCGCGTCAAGTGGCCGCCGAAGACGGAATCTCCTCTGCCGACGGCGTCGCTATGAGCAGAGTCTCAGTGAGGGATGAGAGTTTCCGCCTTTGTCGAGAGTGTTTTGATGTGCATTGTTCCTGTAAATAGATCAGCGTTGATATTGTCCCCATATCATGATAGACCATTCTTCTACTCCCCTTTTCCACCGTTGTACTCTTGCAGAAAGAAGTCAACCACGACGATTAATTTAATGCCCCGATAGAGCTGGATGATACAAAAAGGAAATTTTCAAAAAGATATCTCCCCGACTGGGAGTCGAACCCAGGTCTCCCGCGCTTGTTCCCAATAGGGATTGACAAGCGGAAATCATGACCGTTAGACCATCGAGGATGTTATATGCTGGGAACTATATCATATTGTTATAGAAAGCAAAAAAATAGTAAGCGCAAAATAACATCTCGGGTTGGTTAGTTTTCTGTCTATCGGTTCGCTTAACTTTCCCTCACAACTTGGGATTACTATTACTGTCGTGAACTGAGTAATCCACCAAGAAATCACAAGTTTAATAACCAGTAGAGCTATTCTAGTTTGATATTAGAAAATAGATCAACTACTACCATTCCGTATGTGCGTTTTTCCAAGGTGTTTAGATGGATAAAGTGTAGAATGGCCGATTGCTAATCTACCGTAAGGCTGAGTGTCTGTCAGCCCTATTTGTGGGCCACTCTCGGTAGCTATTACTCAGCTGCTTTTGTATTTATAGTTTGATGTCAGCCGGATAGTCCGCGGTAGGCTGGGCTGTCGAGCACAAGGGAATAATTGACAATTGCGCATTGAGGGTCTGGTCTTAGCATCGGGCGTTTCTAGTTGCAGTTCGGCATAGAAGAGACAATTTTGGGAAGCTACAACCGGTGAGCCACGACCGCAATTGTAGATGGCCGGACTGGGAGGGTCGTTGTGTAATTAGTCGTAGAAAGTGTGTCGGGCACCGGAAATGATGAGGTTTATGATGAAGACGGAGTATGAGAGCAAATCAGAAGGAGAATGAAATAGGAAGAGGAGGAAGGATTGGGACAGGCCATGCCATGTTGACCGAAAAGACATAACTAATATTCAACATGATTTAATGTTGAGACATCTACTGTAGCCGGGCACCACCTGAATCTCCACCACCTCCTCTACCTTCATGCGTCTCTGACCACCACCTCTTACACTATCAGCCAACAATCATCTTAAGACCTAGATCATATTCAATCCTTCGTTTGAAGAAGGCATGAGCCCGGCTTTTGTGCCATAAAGCTATATATACTCTAAGAAATTGCAGTTAAAGATCAAACAACCACTGGAATACCTGTGGTAAGTAAAAATATTTTAAGTCTATAGCTACTGAAATACTGGTAATCTGCAGGGGCGCGTCTCTAGTTTCATCTTATTTCATGACCTATCACTATCTCCAAAAAGCTCGAAGACGTCTCTTGGAGATCCATACGATGACTCGACGTTTGACAGAATGCGAATGCTGCAAAGTTTTACTCTTACTTCCTTTAACACACGTGCCCACACAGAGTCTCTCATTATCTCGTCCATCCTTTCTCTCATCTCGTCCCATCTTCTGTTTCCCAAAAAAAAAAAAAAAAAAAAAAAAAAAAAAAAAAAAAAAAAGCTCACGCCTCCAGTTCACGTCCTCGGGCTCTTTTTTCACGCTATTCGCCTGTCTCTTGCTTTATGCGGCCTTTGTAGTCTACGGAGAGGCTTTTTTATGAGCCACTTTCGCCTCCTTCTTTGCCTTCTGCTGAATCTTCTTCTTATTGGCGGCGAGATTTCTTTCGATAGGCACGTCAGAACCAGGTTTTTCACCTATAGCCGTTTCCGATGCCTTGGGAAGCTTTCTTCCATTGAGCGCCAGAGGTACACCATTGTCCGTTTCGGGGTCCTCGTGCTTCACGGAAGCGCGGCGTCGCTTTTGCTCTGTTGACTGGTCAGCTGCTCGAACGAACAGCGACAGCAATAGCGTCGCAAGAGTAGGGGGGAACAAAGGAACCGGCTTGAAGGTAGTCGGCATACCAAGGGTTGATCATCCTTCTACGCTTCCTCGATTATTGTTAACCATGCAGATTATATTGCTTCCTGAAGAATACTGGCTCGGCCAGACACTCGAGGTCTCCTCACCTCGCTCGACTTGGAAACTCATCGAAAAGGTTGTGGAGAAAGCCTTTGTCTGCAGCCGAAGAGATGTTAAAGAGCTGGGCCGGCTGTCTTGCGCCCGCGCTAATTTCGAGTGTTGCAATGCAAGTAATCCTTACGAGCAAGCTCTGATAGAAATTTCCTTCAGAGCACCATTACTGCGATAGCTAGGAAGGGCAAGAATTTTGTTCGTAATGGAGGGAAAACCTGACTGCAGGTCCAATTGAAGGTGTTGGCGCCAGTCAATTGATTGATGATTTCTGGATGGGACGCTGGATGGGTGCCTGGCTGCCTGGAGGAGACGATCTTTTAGAACTTCAATCCCGCCTTTCCGTCCCTCCATCTCTTCTATTTCTACTCTCTTCCTTCCCCTCTTCGTTCTCTCTCTCTCTCTTTTTTTTTTTTTTTTTTTTTTTCTTCTTCACCTCTTCCTCTTCTTGTCCATATTCACAATTGAGGGTTCGATTGTCGGTTCAACTCGAGCGCATCCTTAGCATGTCGGCCCCGTCCGATGCATCTGCCTCCGCTTCTTCGCGAGGGACGCGTGTGCATCACCGCATCCTCGCTGAACTTGGCCTGACTTCAGTCTGGCAATCCCCTCGCGATGTCAAACTTCTCTGCGCCCAGCGCTTTGTGCGTCTCTTCGCCTACGGTGGTTCGACTCTGATTCTGGCTGCCTATCTCTCAGCATTGGGTATCTCCGATGAACGCATCGGTCTTTTCATGACCTTGACCCTGGTGGGCGATGTCGCCATCAGCTTCCTCCTCACCCTGTTTGCCGACGCCATGGGTCGCAGGGCTGTCCTGGCCCTGGGTTCAGCCTTAATGGTCGGGAGTGGCATCCTCTTTGCTTCGGTCGGCAATTACTGGGTCCTTCTGGCGGCAGCCGTCTTTGGCGTCATAAGTCCGAGGTAAGTTCTCCGATCTCCGAGCAAAACATCCGACTATTTATAGTATCTCCGACATGTCTGGGCATACGCGCTTACAAACTCAATAAAACAGTGGAAACGAAATTGGCCCCTTCCGGGCTGTCGAAGAATCAACTTTGGCCCATCTGGCCCCCAATGACATCTTGAGCGATATCTTCGCATGGTACTCGCTCATTGGCAATGCGGGAACCGCTCTGGGCATGATGACTGGCGGATGGGCCATCAACCTGCTTCAGGTTATCTGGGGATGGCCCTATATTCCCGCCTGTAGAGTCATCTTCTTCGCCTATGCCGCTATTGGCGCGCTCAAGTTTCTCCTGTCTATTGCACTGAGCTCCGCTGTGGAGGCTGAGAAGAAGAAGCCTGCGCGACAGTCTACTAATGAGGGTGAAAGACAGCCTCTGCTGGGCGATCAAACGGGCAACGCCACCCCCCAAGAGCAGCAGCCTCAGAAGAAGAAATCAATTCTGTCTTTCCTCGGCGATTCCGAGGTCGTCTCCTTGTTTCTGCGACTTGCGATTCTGTTCGGTTTGGACTCAT